AGATGTAGTTTCCTTCAAGATGATTTTTAATTTAGAAAATTTTCCTTATCCCAAACATAGTGGTAATTCTACCTCCCCAAGAAAGTAGAAATTAGCAAATACAACGTTAAAAGCAACACCATAGGCAACCCTATCTGTGTGGAGGTTTGGTGGGGAATAAGGAAAGGGAGGATCGCTAGTTGTACTTCATTCTCAAGCATAAGAATACCATATCAAGAAAAAAAGTACAGCGTGAAAATAAATTATATAATACATTTGCATGTTTGATTTCGTGTTTTAGTGTTACATATCTATCCTTGTATTGCTGCAATTTATTTTAAATATAATATATTAAAATAATTTTTTTCTCTAAATTGTATTTAAATTAACCCAGTAATTTATAATTATTATATTGAATTAAAATTATATTATAAACTTATTTTAATTTTTAAAAAATATAAGTTATATTCTTTTCAATTCATCATTAAATAAAATTAACTACAAACGTTTATCTATGCATTAACTTGACTGATTGGAAATTGCTTTTAGCGAAGGCAACTTATGCACCGCCCCAGTGTTACCTTTTTAAGTCTTGTTAGACGATAGTAAAAATTTAAAAATAAAAATGATTAAAAGTTATATTTAAAATATTAATTATAATTTTTTATTTTTTAAAATACACTTGTTTACATTTATTTTTAAAAATATCATACTTCATTTTAAAAACAAAAATATTTTTAAAAAATTAAAATAAACATGTTCTTAGAATTTTGGATGTTAATGGGAAACGTTTCTACAGTGAGCTTAAACGATGTTTAAAGAGAAAAGAAAGAAGCAGCAAGTAGATGTGCCAAGTTTAGTAACGGGCCAGGTGTCTGCATTTTACAAAACAAACAGCAAGTTCGTTGTTTTTATGCTCTCGTCTTACTTTTTCTTCTTTTCTAAAGTTTATTCTTTGTAAAAGATAAAAGGAAAATCATAATGGTGTAAATTTGACTAAATTTTTTTTTATGTTCGTTAATTTTAGTTTCTATAAATTATAAAAAAACATACAAAGTATTATATTTGACAAGTAAAATAATGTGTCATTAGGAAAAAGATTAAATAAATGAAAAATATTAAATAAACATTTATGGATTATGTTTATAATTTGAAATAGAATGATGTTTTGTGAATAATAATACTCATTGAATATATACTTAAAAAAGAATAAATATTATAATATGATAAAAAGAGGGATTAAAAAAAAGTAAGAACAGTTGGAGGCGAATCACCGTACTACATCCATGTGCATTTTTTTTATCATGCGTAATTTTTTACTGGAGAAAACTCGTTTCGAATTACCATTAGTGATAAAGTTTTGTGATATTTAACACTTTATTGAGATTTAAATTCAAAATTATAAATTAAGCTAAATTTATTTGTGTATTAACGGTAAAAATTGAATTTTCGTAGTTTTTAATTAGAAAATACATATCTCAATAAAAGTACGTGACTTAAGTGAATGTATATGCATGTTTTGATTAAGTTTTATAATTTAAAATTATATTTATTAAATAAAATTTATCTAACTTTGAATGAGACACGGATTCATCTATGGACGCAGAAGTGACATCAATGAGTACGCTCGCAGATAGGTTAACAATATGCGTTAACAAACTCAAACGAGTCATACTAATTAACAAATACAGCTTTCAATGCACATTTTTAATTACAATATAATAAAGTTTTTAGATAGTTTTCTTAAATTATAAAATTGAATTTGATTGAATAAAACAGATGAAAGTTAAAGATTGTAGGAAAAGAAGAAGTGGTGTAATATCCCATCGGTGATTAAGTGTGACATTGGAGAGAGAAGAGTGCGATAAACTCTCCCTTTGGCCTTTGGTCGATTGGGGGTCCGCTCAGGATTTTGTCTTTGCACCATATCTCACTGACGTGCCTCGTTGCAATTACTACACCTAAAGCCTAAACCACCCTCTTTTCTTTATCCAACGACAAAAATAGGAAAAGTCGTTTAATCCACGGTGCAATGAACTTGGTTCCATCATTCGATGTTCGATCCAAAAACCACTTTTCATATTTCGTCGTTTGATGTTGATGTTCAATTTCAGAAGAGTCGTTTTCATGACTTTCTTGTGTGTACCTGGACCCCATGCTAGATTCTTCACTCAGATTTTCTATGCCCTTTATTTCCACCTTATTTTTACAAACATGTTATTTCTATATAGTTTTCTTAAACATGACTTTAAAAGAATAAAAATTGCACACGCAACCCCTTCTTCTGACGAAAAACTATACACACACCGGGAGAAGAAGGGTTTTGGGCACTTAGAAGCATATGTAGGAACAATATGAAACACCATATGTCACACTTGATAACCATTCTGTTCCCCCAGAGACCAAAAATCGAAGGAACAGAATATCACGGCAATCGAAGAAGGAGAGAGAGGAAAATAAGTTCGTGTGCCATAATGTAATAAACATACTATGGAAATAAGATCGTTGTTAAATTCTTTATTTTAAAAATAATCATAAAAATGCATTTAATATAAAATTTAATTTAAATATATCGACATTATAAAAAAATACATTCTCACTCCATCATAAATTGTCATGTTAACAACAATAGTTGATATATATAAAAATAATATACAGATTCTATTTTTTATGTATTTAAATTTATTAACATTGTAAAAAAGTTATATTTTTAATAGGCAATACAAGAAAACAAAATAATATTTTTTTATATCTAATCTATTTCTAACAATTGTTAAATCAATAACATATAATCAATCTATCCTACGAGCTTGCTTGATATTTTATCTAGTATAGATTTTATTTTACAAGAAGACATGAATTAAAAATAAGCACAATAATGTAACAGTACAGGATATCTATTTTAACTCAAGATATTAAAAAAAAGGCTTATAAAAGATTATACGATATTAATAGTTGTACCAAATACCTTTGAAATCTAAAAAATATTTTAAAAAATAAATTATTGAAAAAATATTAATAGTTGATTATTCCGAGATGAAGTACAGTGGGAAATTACAAGAAATAGATGTTTGGGTGATGACTTGCCGCCACAGCCACAGTGACCAATCCTTTGGACACCCATGCGGGTTGCCTCCATTCGTGGGTTTTGAGATTCCAAATGTTCCAACAAATCGCAAGCTTGTCACTGTTTATTTATTTATTTACCTTTTTCAAAATTTAAATATTATTAATTGTAATTTTTTAATTATATTTTAATCTATTTATACATTTTAAAATAATTTAATATAAATGAGAAGTATTAATTATATTTATTAATATAGATTCTCTCTTTTAAAATTAATAAGAATAAAGATTTACTTGCCGCGACATATAGGGCAGTTTCTTCTCCAGTTAACGATAGGAATCGCAGTCACCGGAAACAACAGCAAACCAAAAACCTCGAAGTTCAGTTCAGACGAGCAGGGACGCGAATCAAAACAACGCAAATGTCAGTAACATTTTTTAAAAATGTATTTTAACTTTTAATAAAAATAAATCAATTACATTGGATATATTAAATATTATATTTTAAAAAACTGTGTTACACACTAGGGTTGCTCAAGTGCTAGCTAGACAGCAAAAGAGAGGGGCAGAAAGATCTTCTTAATGTGTAAATTCTATTTTAGAAGAGTTTAACTAGTCAAGCTAATAATGCATTTATGATAATAAAATTTTATTTCAAATAAATATTTGACACATTTAAAATAATAATTTTAGGAAAATTTTACAATTACAATACTGGAAAAAAAAACTTTTCTTAAAATTGTTATTATAGAAGACAACAAAGAGACGCATGATTCTAATAAAAATAAACGTGTGTTAGTAAATAGGAATTTTAGTTTTTGGTAATTGACGAGTTTTGATAGAGGCTGATGTTAATCTATTTATTTTGTGAATGATATATAAGCTTTTGTTTTATCTTAAAATTAAGGATGATAATATGTTCTATACTCGTTTATTTATTTATTTTAAACCATACTGAGAATATCATTATCGAGTAAAACTCTCAAATCCTAGGCTGCACTAATCTGGAAGCAATGTGCTGAATATCATTGACGAGTGTAAGAAAAGAGTTTTTCTCTCAGAATAGTAATAAATATAGTAAAAAAAAAAACAGACTTTGATTCCCTGAAAATAGTATAATAAACTAAACACAGTTTTTTACTTTGGTTCCGTCAAAACAGTAATATACATATTTTAAAAAAGAATAAGATTCTAATAATAGTATAGGTTTATCTTCCCTGCAACAAAATAAAAAGGAAAAAAAAGAAGTGAATGGAAGTGTTTAATTATGAGTTTCACGCGCTGATAATAAGAGCGAGTGGAATGCATACATGTCTGTTCATCAATGGTCACCATCATCACTGCTCACTGCCAAACTTTGTCCTGTTTTGGGGCACAGTGCCCTCTTCTTTTCTGCTCATCATTTAACCCTCTCTTCTTCTCACTTCACAATCCCTTCTTACAGTCTCAAACCTCAACCTCATATGGTACGCCACAACTCTCAGTTTGTTTCCGCTTTTCTGGAAAAAGAAAACTCTGCTGATTACCTCATCAATTCTTAGCCTTTCCCACATATCAATCATTCCGTTTCCAGCAATTCCTTTCCTTTGCTGCTCCCTCTTTTAGAATCCTCTCTTTCTCTCTCTCTTAACTCTAAACTAAATCAAAACCAAACAAAATAACTCTCTCCCGTCTCATCTTTCCACATACTAATAATATTAAAAACCAAAAGCCATGCACTATTCTACCCTTCATCCTAACCTCTTCCCTTTCCTCCTTTCAACCCTTCATATACATACTCTCTTCACTTAATTTCTACTTACCAACACATCACGACAAACACACAGCAAAAAAAATAAAAAAACCCTAGTCTTGGATCAAAAGAAGAACTTCTATATAGCAAGCTCTCCCACCATCTTCAAGATCTAAGGCAGGTCCGAAGCTACAAGGGTTTATTCAGTTCAGATCTTGATACAATGGATTTGGTTTCTGAATCAACAAACCGAAGCTACGAGGTGGCAGCATCCCCAATAGGCACGAACACGAATAATAATCATACTATAGGAAACAGTAGTGGAAGCACGCCGAGCAGGTACGAGAACCAAAAGCGACGAGACTGGAACACCTTCTGCCAGTACCTTAGGAACCACCGGCCACCGATGTCGGTGGCGTTATGCAGCGGAGCGCACGTGCTGGAATTTCTTCACTACCTTGACCAATTCGGGAAGACGAAAGTGCATAACCCCACGTGTCCCTTTTTCGGGCTACCCAACCCTCCTGCCCCTTGCCCCTGCCCGCTCCGGCAAGCTTGGGGCAGCCTCGACGCCCTCATTGGACGCCTTCGTGCCGCTTATGATGAGAACGGTGGAAGACCGGAAACGAATCCATTCGGTACCCGTGCTGTTAGGATTTACTTGCGTGATGTTCGTGACTTTCAGGCTAAGGCCAGAGGAGTTAGCTATGAGAAGAAGAGGAAGAGGCCCAAGCCCAACATCGCCAATGCTACTGTTCCCAATAGTTTTACTGCTACTCCTACTTGAACTTTATGGAATTAATTCATCAATGTAATCCATGCCCATCATCAATATCATCATGGCATGCAAATGGTATATCTTTTAATTTCCTTTTTTTCTTCTTTGTCTTTATTATTGTTTTTCAAGCTGTGTCTCGTTGTTTTATGTTTATTTTTCCCCATTATATATTATTTTTAATGTGTCTTTGCCAAGACTAGATGTTCTTCAGATATATATATATATATATATATATATATAGGATCAGTTCTCTGTCAAGTGATCGATGCATGATTTGAACTTGCTAGTAGTCCAAAAAATTTGCTCTTTTTTTTTTGTTCAAATTAATAGACATTTTCGGACATGCACTGAAATCTCTATATATGTTCCCTGGATTACTTTACTTGGCATATATACATGTCTGTGTCTTCAGGGACACTTGAAAGTATATTAATGGTTGCACTGCACTTGCAATTGTGAAGGGAGACTTTGCTAATTTCTGGGTATTGGAATCTGGTTTTATTTTTTTAGCTAAAAGTTATAGGAGGGAGAGTTTTTCTTGTCTTCATAACGCGCACACAAAACGCTTTCAAGTGTTTCTTTCTCTGCATCCATGTGCGCAGAGATATGTTAGGAGAGAAGCTTAATGATAAGAAACCTGTTTTGACTAGTTAGCTCCAGCCCAAAATAGTGGTTTATGATATTCGTGTGGAAGTCATATGATTTACACATAGGTAAAGTAACAGTTAACTTCCTAAAATTATCTTAGTTATTGTTGATTATGTAAATAACTCACGAGCTTAATATAATTGGTCAATCGAGTTAGGTATATATTAGTTTAAAGATGATCTTGTGAAATCTGCCTTAGACAGTAAGACAAAACCTATATTATCTTTTCTATTAATAGCTGCCAGCTAAAAATGGACATGTCAAAAGTAACTTGATATGGAAGAACAATTTTAATTTGGGTATTGACAATCAGGGGAAGTTATTTGCCTAGACCCCTATAACTTGGACAACGAGCCCTTAAATTTTGATGAAAAGTGGTTCTCTATGGTAGGCTTATGATGATGGACTGTTTCCTTTCTTGTGTGAATATTCATGTGTGGGTTAGGTTTTCTTGGATAAGAAAATACCCCATTTATTCATTTATCTATATAATTCTAATGCCTAAACCCAATATCTTTAGTTTTAGTTTCTTGGTAGAATCAGAGAAACTTGATTTAATTAATCTAAATGGGGAGAGCTTGACCAATGATGATTATTGTCACTTACGATGGCTGTACAGAGTTCGAAGTTATTTAATTGGAAAAGAAAAATTAATTAGAATGCTTGTATTGGAAATTTTATTTATTGACAGTGGTCGTTGCAAGCTTTTATATTTAGGTAGATAATGACGATATGATTTCTTTAGTATCGTAAACAAGGACCAATTATTTGAATAAATTTAAATTATTGGCAATTTTAATGTGCTCAATTTATATTTTGCTAAAGGTATGAATAAATAAACTCATTTTCACAGTTTTTGTTATTGTTAGATACAATTATTACCCTGTAAGATTCTAGTCCTGTCTCACCTTAATTATAGTAGTTGGTCATTAGGGGCGACAATAATGGTCACAAGTCTCACGATTTGTCTTACTTATAGTTCATACAATTACAGAGATTATTGCTTTATATGTTACGAGGCAATTTTAAAAGAATGAAAAATACAGTGTCTCCTTCCACCATTGGCCCATTGCGTCCTTGTTTACCATTACAAACACACGTTTCCATGAATTACTTGTTTTGGATGTTCTTGGACGATTTTCCTTCTATGTTACGTTATCATTCATCTTCCTAGACTTAAACTAATTTGATCTGACACGATATAATCATCATCATAAGTTAAATTTATAGCTTTAACCTATCCCGTTGAACAATAAATTTGACCCCAATTTTATATATTTGATCAAATAAGAATTTAGATGTGTATTAAATTATAAACAAATCATAATTCTATATTTTAACATAAATATAACTTTTCTATAAATTAGGAATTACTTAACGTTGAGTTTGGATAACAAATTTTAAAATTCTGAAAAATATGAAATTAATAAAGAGATGCAATTAATGAAAAAAGTCATGAACGATAAATATAAAAAAAGCATGATATAAAGATTTTTAAATTTTTTCCAAGACAAGTCATTTAAAAATTTATATTTGACATATAAATTATTTAATTAATTTTATAATATTTTAAAATTCTTTCTATTACTGTCTAAATGCATGTAATATACAAATTTTGAATTACTCTATCTAAATAACTACCAACTTTTGTTAGTTTTTTAAATCATTTTATCGCATTAATACTTTTATGTATCGTACATTAAGTTGGTTTATATACATAGTTTACTGGTTATCTTTTCCTAAGAATAATTTTAGCTATACAGTAGTAACTGCCTAAAAAAATCAAATAAATAACAAGGAACTTACATGTGTTTGGTTATAATGATAATTTATTCATCTTCTTCTTCTTTAAGCTCAAAAACAGGAGGTAATAAATTTGTAGAAACATACATAGATTCAAAATATCGAGGAACAAAACATTAGAAGTCGGAGCACCATCTGATCGCAAACTTGTTCATTAAAAAATAAAATATATATGCTTGTTTCTGAAATAATGTTTTAATAGAATTCAGATTTCAAAATTCTTGAAGATTTGACCTCCATTCGATTAATATTTAGATGTTTCTTAATCTAGAATTCCTTTCTTTAAGGTCATAAAACATGCATGCAATCACGTTAGATTAGATTCCACTAGTGCTTGTGAAGAAGAAAGGAAGAAAAATAATCAAGTAGGAGAGAATTATTCGTGTAGGACTTTATAGTTGAACTTATTTTTAATAAATAATAATTTAATTTTGTTAATTTTATAAAAAATTTGTTAAATAAATAATTATGAATTCCTAATCATGCATTAAGCTAGCATGTGTTTTTTTTTTTTCATTTGTCAATCATGAAATATATTTTAGTTTTTTTTACATGTACAAATACAAAATTTTAATTTTAACTAAATTAAAATAGTACAAACTGTTTAATCGGAGTCCATATCTAATTTTTTAAAAATTTACTATAAGTTAACTTATTTAAGTAATAAACTTAATTTAATTTTTTTAAAATATTTAATTAATTAAATATATATGACTTGATTTTAAAAAAAAAATTATTAAATTTACTAAAATAACTTATTTAAGATTTATAAAATTTATAATAATATGTTAAATATTTTTTTATAAAAAATAATATTATATTATATTAAATAAATTAAAATTAAAATAAATAAAATTTGAAATTAAAACTTTAATCTTTTATTTTCATTGGAGTTGAAGTGTCCTAACTACATACCTATGAAAAAGAGAAGATACTATTTAATAAAATCTTTTGTATTAACGTTACTTAATGTATCTTTTTTTTTATTAAATCTTATGATTTATTTTAAAATAATATTGTTATTTGTATATTTTTATATTTTAATTTTGTTATATTTACTAAATTTAAAATTTATTTAGTTGTATTGTGTTTGTTGATGTAAGTCGTACTATTGTATATTTATTTACTAATTTATAAATTGATGTTAATTCAATTATATTTATTATATATTTAGTGATTTATTTATTTATATTAATGTTATTTAAAAGTGATAATAGAAATGTGCAATTTTATTATAAATATCTAAAGTGTTAAATCATTTTTTTATGATTTATTTATATATAATTTTTATAAAAATATATCTATTTAGATATTTTGATAGTGTATTTATAAAAATTTAATAGCTTATTAAATATTTTAGTACGAAATATGTTAATAAAAAAGTTATAACAGACTTAAAAAAAAGTTTATAATAAATAATAAATCAAACTCATGTTTTAAAATTTTTAAATATATCAAGTCTATTTATATAAAATCTAGTATTTTTAGATAATATTAAACTTGATTGGATAAAATAATATAAAAATGATTTAGAGGTTGCTAGGTTCTCATAGGCAAAAACAATTACATTAATTCGGTGACCAGTAAAATTTTGCTGGTATGTGTGTTAAGAAAAATATTATACTAATATTATTTAAATAATATTTATTCTATAAAAATTAATTTAAAAATAAATATTTGTAAGGGTGAATCAATTTCCACATACCAACAAAACAAATTTATTCACCAAAATCGAGTTGAAACACTCGAATTCTAAGTGCAAGTAAAGGAGGAATAGTCTCTTACTATTAACTCAAATAATTAAAAATCAGAGAGATTATACAGAGGAAAGCAATCTAAATGGAATATGGGAATTTAATGTGCGTGGCAGTTAGGCAGAAAAAACAAACGATAAAGGTATGCTTCTTCTTCTTCTTCTTCTTTTCTAAAAAAGAAATTTATGTAATTCTGAAAAGTACCTTATTTCATTGAAATGGACGACATTGCTCCTGGAAACGATCCCTCAATTCATAAATTGTTGTCTGGTAAGTACAATACTGGAAAGTTTCCACTCTGCAAAGCAATTATTAAATCCCATGTGACAATGTACTCTATTTAAGTTTTGAGGTGCAAAAAAGTTATCAAAATATATGACTCAGAATTATATTTATATAACAAAATAGTGTTTAATTCTTGTTAGAGTCTTTGTGTTCGTTGATCCAAAATGAAAGGACTTTGATTGATTCCTTGATCTTGCAGAGTTAAGTTCAATTTTAAAACTTGTGTGTATGAAAAAACACGGTTTAAGATTGATTTTTACTTTGGTATCCGACAATTACCTAGTTTGTGAAATGAGATACTTGACAAAATAACAATTAACTCTACAATTTTCTTTAACCAATCACAAAAAAACTTGTGAAATTGACTAAATCAAATGAAATAGAATATATAAAAATGTGTTAGAATTGGAGTGATGTGATATTGACTCGATGCACATCATACGATACATTACTGGCTGGCCACGTCATGTTTTGTGGGACATGAGAGTAAAGTTTGTCATTGCACGTCATATACTATTGATAATATTTTTTTATGATATTAATTTTTATTTATACACAGTTGTTAAATATGAAACAATAATATTCTTATATTTTCACCTGTAATCAAATCGAAGAAAACACTTTTTATATGCTTCCTATTACTTAACTTTATTTATCTTAAAATTCTAGTCCAGATACTGAAAAATTTTCAGAAAATTTTATTTATTTTTATTGTATTTTAGTAATTAAAAAAATGTGACCCCGGATAAACAGTAGCCATACAGTGGGATACTCAACATCCATTGGCCTCCGGTATTGTTAATAGAAATGTTAGTTATGCACTTTAAAAACATTTAACTGTTAAATTCAATCTTTAAAATATTTAACAATTGTATTTTTTGAAACTTAAAATCAAACCACGTATTAAATTAAAAGATTTCAATATATTTTAATTATATTCATATGCTAAATTCTCAAAATTAATAATATTAAGAAATTTGTTACTAGTGCTTAGAAGGTATTATAATGCTCTTAGTAATGTGATAATATGGTATGTCCCCATCATAACAAGCATCTGGCAATCTACGGTCAAGCCTTCAGATGAATACACGTCGCCATTTTACTATCTGTCGGTAAAGCCACCACCACCTTGAGACTCGAGACTTCTTTAAAACAATTGTTTTGAGTTTTTTTATAATGATATTTCTTATTAATATAGGACGTCCTTTTGCATTTTGCTTTTATTTCATCCTATTTTTTCTTTGTCGTTGCAATTTTCATGAGAGAAAAACACGTATAATATTGATTGCACCGTTTTTTCAACATAAAACATATTTTTTTATAAAATCCAATTTAAAGGAATGAAGTGAATCATGAACTCCTTGATTCCTGAAAATACAACTCAACCCTACATTTATAATTTTGTTTGAGCCTTTTCAAAACTATTGAATTTTAATACTAGCATATCTCAGTTAAACTGTATCAAAAGATTTTCTTCCATGAATTATTTAAATAAAAGAGTTGGACAAGAAAAAGAAAAGGAATTAATAATAGTACTCTCAATGGTTGCGCTGGAGCCTGGATGGAGCATGAAACTTGTGCAATCGTGCGTACACTTTAGGTAAAAGGTACCTACCTGTACTTTTTTTCTAATAATATATCTGAAGATGCTGTACTTTGAACTTAATTTACAGAAATTTTTCTGCCATAAAAGGGACTGTCTCGTGTCTTACTCCATACTAATGCAAGTATACGTGAGTCAAAAACCCTAAATTGTACGACCTTCTCATAACCTCTATTTGTTGCCGTATTTAAAAAGCAAGAACTAAAATTCGTATTGTGATTTTCACCAAACCGAAGCCCAAGAGGAGAAACCAACAATTGGTGTCTAGCCCAACAATCGTCTTCGAATAGATCGATGCAGGAGCGTTTCTTTATATGGTTTAGCTCCATAATTTTCCAACAAATATAGATTAATTAGATTGTATTTTTTACAGTGGATTTCTTGTTTTGATTACCCACCTTAATTTATTCACCCCCCCCCCCCACATCATATCATTATCGATATCATTATCTATATTTCTCTTTTCTTTTCTTTAATGTTTTTTCAAATATGAGAACCAAATATTAACTACAAGCTTGGTTTGCGTCTTTTGCCATTTCTCTGTCAGATGTAGCCTTGAGCAAGTTGCCACACCATCATGTTGGTTAGGCTGAGAAGCTTGTGAAATATGTTCGAGACCGGGACTCCTAACACCCAACACGAACTCGATTTCAATCTAGTAATATTGTTGGGGGGGTGCCCAACATGTCTGCGTGCAAGAATTCATGAGTTTTTTCTGTCCCCCAATCTTATTAGCCAATTTTCTCGCAATCCACAAGACACAGCTTTCAACATTAGTACCCCAATGTATAATAATGATAAATTTTACGATACTCTCTCTAAAAAATTAAAGACATTTTATGCTCTCTTACATAATTAAATTAATGATTTATTTGAAAAAACATAAACTCTTTAATTTTGAAAATATTAAAAAAATCACACTCTTTAATTTAGAAAGAGTATATAATACCTCCTTAATTTCAAGAGTACTATAGCAAGCACCAATAATGTATATAAAATGAACTTCAATATAAAAAAATAAACTATCAAATTAGTCTTGAAATGGTTTTTTTCATAAAAAGATTAAAGACTAAAATGCACGACTCAATCTCAAAAATTAATCTGGGAATTAAATTGCGATATAATATATCCAAAGTTGTTTCAAATGTTATAGTTTGGATAGAAAAAAGGGAGATCGAACGCAATAAAATGAAGTGTCGTGCAACCAATTTGAAACCTGTCTCGACCTTTCCTATCAAAGCGGCCATCCTGCCTGCTTTCCAATCCCAAAAGCCAAGTAGCAATTACTTTCCATGAATGAATAACAGTGTTGCATCTATATCTTGTATATGTGAAGGATTATCCATGATGAATGACTGTCCCAGGCGATCCCTAGCAGTCATCCTCAATGTAAATTAGTCAAGGAATAAAAAAAAAGTATACGTCAGTGAAGATTCAGCGTGAATAATTCATATTCAGCAATTGTAGTCATATTTATAGATAACTGTACATATTGACGAGCAAGGGCTAAACATAAGTTGCAGACACACCAAAGGTGGAGCCATATTTTCAGTTATTACAACTGTACTTGGAAAACTTTTGTGAATAAAATTACTCTAGCATCTTGATCTTTCCAAGAATCAACTTGCCTAAAAGCTTAAATTTGCATTAGCTAATGAATGTTTAATATCTCTAATAGATCTGAATGGATTGCGTGCTTGTGCAGTAGAGCACAAACAACATGAAAGGGTGTGGACAGAGAGACCCCAGCCAAACTAAGGGACAATAATTTATATCTACACAACGATGCAGTTTGCCAGAAAAGAATTTGACTTGAAAACCATTTTATCCCTGAAATGCTCGTAAGATCCTCAGAGCCTTTCTGATTTTTTGTTAGACTGACAAACATAAATAAGCAGCTTTTACTATTGCAAAAAACCCGAGTGATATGAGTGACAAATGTCCAGTGTAGATAGGACTCGCTCGATGTTTTCTGTAACTCCAAATATTTTGTCCGCCAAGAGCTTGTCTTTTTTTTCTTCCCCAGCTTCTGGTTTAATTAGTGATGTCAACTCTTTTGAAGTTCTAATACACAGCCATATATGGTTGATCACATGGTCCTGAGAAATCCACGAACTTCAACTAGGAAGCTATTAAGATTTTTCCTAAATCTCTGGTAATTTATTCGATCAAGGGAGGTAGAAAGCTGATTTGCACTTGTTAGCGTGTGCAATGCATTTGCCAACCTTGTCCTGAGTGTTGGATTTGCTTGTCTCTCTATCAATTCATTCCCCAATCTCTGTAAAGAAATTTACCAAAGACTTCTCAGGAACCATTCAATAAATGAAGATGGGGCGGGAATCATAGTAGGAATGCTTCAATATATTGTACGATAGCATAAAGTGTGAACATATTTACAAATTTCTATAAACTGATCGTAGGATTTGTAAAATCTTGTTTATGTTGGGACCAAATGTAGGATTTTTCCATGTAAGAACTAAAAGAAAGCAAGTTGGTGTAGAGACCAAAATTATAATTTAACCATTAGAAAATTAATAGCTGAGATTGTAACAATTTTAGAGATTGTATCACAACTGTTATTTTTCAAATCAACGGCTGTAACTGCTCTTTATTCTCTTTAAGTGCACCCTCTTTCCTTTAGAGCAGCCAAATCCAATAATTTTATTCACTGAAACAGAACATTTAAGAAATCTACCGTGACTTGAAAGGGATTTAGATAGAAACTGAGCAAAAATCAAGAAAACATATTCTTGATACGAAAAGTGTCTTGCATATTCATCATTGAAAAGAAAAGACAATGATATATTCATCTATAACTCATTTTTTATAACAGCTCAAACATGTTAGCAAACTTTTAAGAAAGCATGCTTTTAACTGAAAAGACTTGCATTGAATTTTTGACCAAATGCTAGCTAGAGAGACATACCTGATACAGGCCTTGCTCGCAAAGGATTAATGGAAGGAGAGCATCTGCTGCAACACTGATTAGATCAGAACTGAAATAACAACAGAAATGCTGTTAGGCAATTACAATGTGGTTTTGCAACAGTATTAGTTAAGACACAATATATTGCATTCACTACCATAAAAGTAGGAATTCAGAAACAAGGTAAGTGAACTGTGTTTGCAAGTCAAAATCATCCAACATATATTAAATACATATGAAATACTGATTAAAAAAAGTATGCGGGTATGCTCTAAGATGCTGCAGCGTTTGAAACTTTTCCCAATGTCAAATGCAATCAATCTCCCACCAGAAGAGCGATAACAACGACCAGCTAACTTGGTGACTAATACTATAGATACCTTCGTTTCACTGTGCCTAAATTATTCATATTGATAATCCTAAAACTTGCATGGATAAACAACCCTCCTCTCAGGCCCATACCATAGTGGGGTTTGGTAAATATAGGGAAGAAAAGGGGGAAAAAAATTTCCTTTATATTCTCACCTGTAATCCTCAAACAGGAGTAACTGCAGCAATGAACGGAGGAAACGACTCAAAAGACCTTCCTGAAAATTCCCATTTGAACCCTTATGACCCACAGCATTTGCACCCAAGCCTATATTACCATTACCAGTCTCCTTGTAGTGGTAAGAAGCAAGAGCTTGCAGAGCTCTCAGACACTTGCTAACCACATCAGCATCCTGCAAAGCAAAGGATAGAGTTCTCAGCCACCCATGGTAAGCACAATCACAAGTTACAAATTTGGAAAAAAATATTTTGATTTGGGAAATGTAGTACGCAGTGGAGAAACTTCCTCTTTTTTCAAAAGAAGAAACTTTTGAGGATATTGGAAATGCTAAACAAATGAAAAATTTTCTAAGCTTAGAAGTTTGTGTCTAATCCTTTGTAGTTTCTCACAGTTCCATCAAATATTATTTGAAGAAGAAAAACCGTGTGCACAAATATTACCTGATGGTGGAGACCAAAATCTAGGGTTCCAAGTACATGAGCAAAGGCTTCACTATTTAGTTGCGCAAATGTTTCAGGGTAAACCTCCAACATATGTGACAGGAGAGAAAAATACTGCAAACAAGTTCTACACATCAGCTTCTGGATAAGGATCAGTCTGTTGCTATTTCTACAGGGCACAGGAATATCTTACATCATGACAAAGTTTGGGATATTTCAGGAGGTCCATAGAAATTAGTGGGGCGACTATGTGAAGACCAAAGTAAACCACCTGCAAGGCCTATGCATTAGAGATCAACTATCTAACTTTGCATGAAACAGGTAAATGTAATAATGATATGACCTGAGATATGTTAGTGCCTTGGGCTTCAATTGAATCTGATGAGAAATCAATCTGCGACATAAAGTATTTTTCAGTTAAGTTGGACCAATTTTAGGTATGAGAGACAGGTAGATCTCTTTACAACTGCTTCTCTAAATAATTTCTGAAAGAAAAAATCTTTACCATGTCTTTGGAGCAAAGACTTGAAAGAAGTTGAAGAAGAGCTCGTAAATCTCTATACTTATCTGTTTTTGCCTCACTAAGTAAGCTGCTTGAAAGACTTAGCGATATCTGAAAAAAGGATCAAATGGAACTTCAGGGAGAAAATTTTTAAATAATGAAAAAGAAAAAGTGAATAAAAAATTTCTGTAGGATTTGTTCATAGAAAGCAAGAGTATATAGACTTTACATAATATATAATTAAAACAATTATATTGTTGGTGTTGGGATCACCTAGTGGGATAAGGATTTGTTGTTGTTGGGATCAAAGAGACAGGCAGATCAAAAGGGATCAAATGTAAATAAATATTGCTTTTTGTATCTCTTATGCCTCATTCTAACCGGTAAGTAAGTATTCATTGAATTCTAAAACTGCATGTATAGGATTGCAATGATTGTCCTTCCAACTATATGATCTTAAGATTCATATACAGTTTCAACCAGATTGAAGCTTCAATAGTATAATTAATTTTTATTTTATTTTAATTTTGAAAAAATCATATTGAAGAAGGAGTTTGAGGATACAGATTAGAAGTGCATGCTTCCCCAAGAAAATAAAAATCCCTAGCGAAAAAGAACAGAAAAACTATTTAAAAGAAAGATTGAAAAACCATTCATACCGTACTTCTTTACTTAATTCAAATTATCAGGTAACAACTGAATGCACCCGAACAATTTAGAAATTGTAAGCCACAAAGAAGCTTCTCCAATCTCAGAAGTACCAGAAAGAAAGTGAAACTAGTCAAAATGATCCTTCTCACCCAAAGTATTTTCCATTTAAAAACAACATCATTGGTCAGAGAAATTTACCTTGCCAATATTGTGAGATGAATACAGCTGAAGCAAACGCATGCAGAAATTAACAACAGCGGCAGTTTCTTGGGCCTCCAAGTAAGTAATTTGTCCATCAACCCAATCGACTACAAATTTAAGTAGCAGGTAGACAACTGCAGACTAAGCAACAATTGCGTATAAATACAGAATAACAAGATGTCAGAAACTTGAAAGTTTAGACACATTTGTCAAACTGAAAATGAACATGAAATAAAATTAACGTAGAAAATGGACAATATAAATAATATAAAATGTTTGCCAAAATTACAAGATAACCATAGAAATCATGCTTGTTTCAAGAGCATTAAGGATATTAAATTATGTCAAAATACCAATAGATGTGAATGCTACCTCATGTTTATACACTTCAAGAAGAACTAGTACGGGATTCATTACAGAGAATCCTAGCTCATACATAGATTTTTGTGTTCGAGGTTCAGAAGCACTTGCAGCTCCACGCAGCCGTTCTAACATGCAGCTGACCTACAGAATGATAATGATGATATTGAGGATGTATTTTTATCAAACATTGGAATGAAATAATTGTTTGTGCCCTCACCGAAAGGATGATATCTGGTTGTTGGGCAATACTTTTAAAATTACTCTTGCTGGACATGTCCACTATGTATGTTGCAATATGACCCATGAGATTTCTTACATACCTTGACATAAAAATAGACAAAATTCAGTGTCTTAGGCTTTTGAAACTATAGAGGAAAGAAAGTTAAAGTAAATACTCACTGGCTAGATGCCTCTGAATTTCTTATGCCTGAAGCTGAACGAACAAGCGTTTGTGCAAGAGATCGCTGAAGCAAGAAACTGATGGAATTAAAGAACAACCCATAGCAACGATGTAGTCGGTGGGTAGAAGTTGATAAAGTTCTTACCTGATGAGAAGTATCCAACAAGAGCAAAGTCTTTTCAGTGGAAAATGCAGTAGCCAGTTTGTGCCATGAATTCTGCATGTGATATTAGAAGTTCAAGAAAATAATGCTCAGATAATATTTACTGCATGTAATGTACTGACCAGTATTGGAACATAACCATTATTTTAATGATAGATGGAATTTGGGTCCCTTGTATGTCCTCTCACTTGCATACAGCAAATATATATATATATAGACACAGTGACACACACACACACACACACAAACTCCTATGTTTGCATCAAGATAAGACTTTGATGTGTTTGGTCAATCTAGAGGAACATATATATAAGTGTTGACTCACCAGAGTAACAAGGTGAACACATATATGCTTTTGCTGAACCAGTGAATGAAGTAATTGGTAACAAGTGAGGCCCTGGGTAAAAATACTTTGCATTAAGAACAACCAAAGTGCAAGGCGGTTTATCACTTATTCCAGTACCTTCTACGGAAAAACTTGTGGAGCTTATAGATTGAAAAAATAATTTTTAGAGGAAAAAAAATGGAAAAGAAATTATGCATAATAAATCAATCAAACATAATTGTCTAGTGTGCTAATACAGTTCAACCTGTTATTTAGCAAAGTTAGCAGTGGACAGTAGTTAACAGAACTGCAAGCAAAGTATTTCCTTTTGGAAGATAATATAAAACATCATTTGGAATAATTACTTTCATTCCCTCTAAGTTTCATATGTTCTCATTTAAGCTCATAATAATTTTGATTTGAAATTTCATATTCAAACCTAATTTTGTCAAATAAATAAATAAAATCAAATTGTAGTTTGTTCACAATCTTTAGTTTTGTCTGTATGTATGTATTACATAAAGAATTAGGAAACATATATGAATTAGATTTATTTTAACAGATATATATCACCAAATTTTAAACTACCACACCTATATGTATCAATCAAAGTATTTTCTTCTGGTGAGAGTGGTAGCATTGCCAGTGGAGGTAGAGACTAACAGTTGCAAGTGTACTGCACTAGGTAGGTTGGGTGGTTACTGGTTACAAATGGGTTTTATGATTTACAATCCATGGAGTGTGATCTAAAGACCATCTGCTTAATTCTTTGTTCTGGAACTGGAATTTGCTCCGTCTACGTGAAAATTGAGAAGGAAAATATTTATTTAGTTTTTATTTCAATTCCTAAGAAATTTTATAAAAGGACTAGACCATACCAAACTTGAAATTTAGAATTGGAAAGCCAAATTCCATTTCTGAAAGGTAGATTTCTAAGTCCAAGAGCCAAAGGAAGCCTTAACACCTTATATTATTCATATATTTTTTTATAAAAAGAGCTGAAAATATTCAGTGCCACACAAAGAAATGAGGAAATTACATGTACCCCACCCACCTTTATATTTCAGCACAATTGCATTTTGCCTCTTCACAAATATTTCACGAGTTCCCAGAAAAACATTTCCAAATTGGGACCAATTAACTAAACATATGGTTAGTTTAATCAATTTATAAATAACTTTCTCATTTTGGTAAAACAATATCTATGGCAAACACATTAACCAATTGTATGGTAATTGTTCCAAACCTAGAAATATCATTGTGGTGGTACTCAGCACTCCTTCCTGTTTTAGAATTCTTCCTAAAAGTTCTACCACAGTTAACCTCAATATAATCTATTTTAGCTAACAGCCTCAAAATCATTCAACATTCTATAAATTGTAATAGTAAAACAAATCACTTGACCTATTATAAATAGAAAAACAAGCCTGTATTTGCATTTTGGATCATGGACTGATAATCTCGTGTGGATGTTCAAATTTGATAGTCCACAAATAGATCATGTTTGTAAGAATACATGAAAATATCCAACAATATCTTGATCACATCTTAAAGTATCTTTGAATTATTTAGAGTATTTAATAACATTTAGATTGTATCCTAAAATATTTAGGGGATCTTTGAGATGATCTCTTAGGACTAGATTCCATATTTCCTAATATCTCATGATTCATTTCCTTATATAGTTAGGACTTAGGATTATGATTAGTAACAACAAGGATTATTGTTTTAGGTTTTATGAACATCATCATGTTGTAAAACAATACAATGCACAAGTGAATATTATTCAATGTCTCTTTTCTCCCTATTCTCTCCCTCTATACCTAAAATCCCATATTTATAACAATGTCTTTTGTGTAGAATCAGATTGATCATCAGTAGTCTCTACCACCTATATTATATATTTACATAATATTATAAAATATATTACGTTTGACATCTATAACAAAATATGCATCTAAAATCTGTAATGGTGAACATCCGATTTTGCACGTATTACTAAAGTATATGGATGAAAAAAAGGGAGACAAGTGACAACCATGTGCAAAAGAGAATATCCAAAATTGTTAAACTGATAGAAGTTTTAAACTCAAACCTGCAGATCCTTTTCCCCTGGATATGATGTAAGTGTGATCAAGGATATACGAACAATAATATCAAGAACAAGTTTCCCTTGGTTATGCTCTCCAAAGAAATTAAGCAAAGCCTTTTTCGAACTATGCTCATGATGATGACCTGAATCAACGATTTTCTCCCCAATCCGATCTGAAGACATTAGATATGTACGAGACCACCTTGCAAGGAACCATATAATTGACTGGATAGAACATAAATTTTAATGGGTGAGGGAAGCAGTATCTTGTCAGAAAAGAACCATAGAAATTGCAAAATGCAGTATCATACTCAACCAAAATGATTAGATTCAAATGAACTAATTTCACACTTAATCTCCAAATAAGACCATAATTTAAAACACTGAATCAGTAAAAATGGCTTATATTATCACAAATAATCAAGAATGACCAAGAGTAATTTCATTTTTTTTTATTTTTTGAAATATATGTAATTTGTTTCCCTAAAAGTACTACAAAAGAAAATGGTGATGTAGATCATCAGTATAATAATGTTCTTGAAAAAATACAAAACCTTTTAGAATAACCGTTTAAAGGATACATTGAACTACAATAAAGCTAGAGGACAACAAAAGCAACATATCCAAATTTGATGCCTATAACAAAGACATTTAAAATGAATATTGTAGGAATTTGAATCAAACACCACTCTCCCAAGTTTCAACCTCTGCTCAACCGTATTCACCTTCGTATATTGCCCACTGCTCTTCTTACTTTGGATTGAAATGTTCATTTCACCCCAAATATTTTCCAACCAAATCATTTCAGGGCCTGCTTTTTTTGTTCATTTTTGGGCCTACTAAAATGACTTCATTTTTTGGTCTGGGCCTAACTATCGGCTATGATGATTATTCAACTATTTCTTATTGTTATCTTTGAACTCAAGTACATATGGACCAAAAAACTCTAGCACACAGCCAAAAAACACTCAAGTGTGTAACGAAAAAAAAGAGAATATAGACCTTTTTTTTGGTCATGAGTATAATAGACCTAAAGTTACATGTAGAGCAACAGATTTAGTATTTAAATAGACCAAGGCTACTTAAATAGCCTGTTTCATCGGAGCATGGTTTGTTAAAATATAGTTAGGAGTTGTCTGATAGAAGAAAATAAAAATAAAACTCATTTATTAATATAGTTTTCAAAACTGTTTTTAAGATTAGAAAAAAAAATTAAATCAAAAAAATTTAGAGGCTATTTTTATTTTTTAGTTTTAAAAACTGAAAATGAAAAAATTATTTTTAATAATAGTTTTTAAAAACTTAGATTGACAAACAAGTTTTTATTATTTTTTATTTTTAAAAAGAGAAAATTATATTTGAGAAGAGCTAGATTAACATTACGCAAGATGAAAATGAAATAAAAGCATTACCTCCGTCAGTCGGGGACTAAAAACTGACGCTCTCATTTCTGGATTAAGGCACTGCTCAGCAAATTTTATGATTGAGCTGCATTAATCAAGAAACAATAAAATCCTTGACACAAGGAATTGCATCTAAGTGTTATCTTGATTTCAACATTCAACTCATCAATATCCAAGAAAGAACCCATACCTAAGAACAGCTGTTTAAATCTGAAAAAGTTAAAAGGCTAACAGAGTAAGAGACAAATGCATGTGCTCACAATTGGACAGACCGCATAGACACAGGTGTAAATTAAAACAATTCTTACAAGATAAAATCTCCTGTACCCCTATAATTAAGAGAGTTTGGTATTCTTTCTTATACGTAAAACAATCATTATAGTTAATTTTATGTTAATGAATAGTGGAATTAGTGATTTAGTTAAAAAAGATGTTAATATTCTCTAATTTTTAAGATATTAGAGGAATCACAACCGTTAATTTAAAGAGGATATAGAATACTCTATCAAGTTTACAAGTAACGTAACAAACACCTTACAAAGTTTGCCTTCTATAGGATGTATTTCTCACAAAACCCACCTTTAAATAATAAGTCTCAAACATGCATAGTCATGCCCATCAAATCAAATTTCATATTAATATGAAACTGCTTTGTACACCATTGACAGATATTTTTTTAAAATTAAATTACAATACAGATATTTTTTTAAAATTAAATTACAATATACTTTTCCAAAAAAGAAAAATATCAATTGTTTGATTACATATTATTAATATACTACAAATTTCCTCAAATTTAGTACAGAAGATAAACATGACATTGATAATTCAATAAATTAATTTATGAAAATCATTTTTTAAATATTTTGTAAGAGAAATTTTTAACAGAGCCTAAGCGAAAACAAGTCTAAATATCTGGATGAGGTACACACTACACACATAATTTACAAAGATTCTTTGCAAGAACTCAAACATCAAATTCCAAATCAGAAAAGCAAAAGAAAGTAATTTACCTGGAAAGTAAAATAACAGGATGTTTATCTGCTTCAACAGCATTAACAACAAATTGGGTTTGTATGGCATTAGGAACCTAATAAACATCACATGACAACCTTCAATCAACATTACACATTACTGTCAACAGTCACAGAATAATAAAGATTAAAGATAGAATTATAAGGAAATTCAAAGAATTGCTTTTTCTACATGTCATATTGGCAAATTGTTTATAGTATTAAATATTTTCCTCTCCCCACTCACCCCCACCCAAGCCTTTTTTTTTTTTCAAATTGAGTCTTTTCTCTTTAATATGATTTCTTTTATCCCACAAAAAATCTGAAGCACCAAAAAATAGTTCTAAGTTAAATATACAAAATAGGAAAATACAATTCACATACCAGTGGTATTTCACCCTCCCCTTCATCTGCAATTACATGACCAATAATCAACAACATTGAATAAAGTTCTTCCAACGTTTCAGTCAAGTCCATAATGCCCCTGCCCTACAAATGAAGTGAATGAGCTGAGTTATGGAAAAAAATCAAATAAATTAGCACATAATATTTTATTATAGATGGAACACAAACAAAAAAAGATGTAACAGATATATAAATACACAGAGAGAGAAGTAAAAATCTGAGTGGTATGAGTTACTGTTATTATGTCAGTATCATGATATTTTCTTATAGAACTTTAGTTTTTGCATATTTCAATTTGTATTTTTAGGAGACAACATTTCTGCCCCATCACTAAGAATTATGCAGCATGCAGCTTTTAGTCAAAGGAGAAACTGATTTATTATGCTACTTAAGTTATGGAGGAAAACTTTAAAATTACAGAATATATGCATTGTATCTTTAGCAAAAGAACAAGATAAGGATTGTGCGTTAAAAGTTAAAATTGAAAATGATATTATACCATAAGTTTTCAGTTTCAAGTACTTGAGATTAATTATATAAAATGATGAAAAAATTAGTGAAAATGTTTCTCACAAAATATAAGTTGAGTGGTTAAAGTAGAAAAATATATCAAAAGTTGTTTGTAACAGTAAAGTATCTATGAAGTTGAAAGGAAAAATTTACCACAATACAACAAACTATCTTATATAATAGTGAATGTTGTTCTTTAAAGGAACAACACAAAAAAAAAGTGCAAGTGATAGAAATGAAAATGCTAAAGTGAATGAGTGGACACACAAAAAAGGACAAAATACAAAATGATAATATACAAGAATATATTAGAATAATACCTATCGTGGAAAAAATGACAAATGGTTCAATCATGTGCAAAGAAGACTTTTAAAAGTGTCAATAAGAAGAGTAGATTGCATGACTCTAAATTGAGAAGGGTTGAGAGAATCTTAGATGAAGTTATTAAAAGAAATATTTTGATTAACTAAATTTTTGAAAATTTGATTTTAGATCGAGTTCAATAGCATCCTGTAATATATATAGCCGACTATACCTAGTAAGATAAGGCTTGATTGTTGTTATATATTTAGACATACAAGTGGTTTAGTTTGATAAATGTAAAAAGGATTTTGCTTTTTTAATCAATAACCAAAATAAACTAACCATCATATCGAAACTTCAAATTCATCAAAACCTCTAGTCATTCTAACCAGTTTCCATTCCACCATTTGATTACAGCACCATAGTGTCTTTTTATATACCTACACTCTGATTTTGTCACCTATGCTTGGTGTAAGGTGATAAACACCCGCAAGATATGTACCAAGCATTATTCAAAGTGTTAGAAACACATTTTTTAATACACTCTTAATTATTGATTAAAATTTATGATAATCAATAAATTTGAAATGAAAAAGAGTGAAACCCACATAAATTTTATATTTTTATAAATTTTAACTAATAATTAAAAGTGTGTTAGAGAGTATGTTGTTATCATTTCTCTCCTTAGATTTTGTACACCTCTAGCTTTGTATGATTGTATCATGTATGGGTAATGGTATAGATGAAAGTATGCTGATTCACAAATGTTTGAAGTTGCATTGTATCTTGATGGGTGTAAACCAAGAGCTGCTCCTGTTCCTTGTGAGAACATTTGGCAGGCTGGGCTTCCCAGAAAGATTGACTTATCATCCATGGACAGCCGAATGGAGAGAGAATCTAACATTCTAACAACAATTTAAGGGCAAGGAAAGTGGTTATTGTATGTTAACTTCTCCCTAATTATAGTTTAGTTACTAGAGCCCAAGACCATATCCTTATAAGACTTAGATGCTGTGGGTTGACTAGAGATGTTAAGCTGTTTTAATGTACTGTGCAAAGGAGTAGGGGACGTAGCAAAAGTAAAGATCTGAAGACCAGTTCCAAGTTTCTCACTATGACATTGGGCTTGAAAAAAAAAAAATGAAATGCACTAATACTTCAGGGTTGAGAGCAACTTGCTTAATTACTTTCCGGCGATTCCTTTTATGGAATGCAGTCTAGCAGCCTTCCTTATTTAGATTGTCACACATATCCTCAACTTCTTACATTGCTTACATTTTGTGTTTTTATTTAACAAATCTATAAGCACTTTTTGTTTTATCTACCTAAGGTAAACTGTTATAAATTTACATCCTTTAAAAAAACTCCCTCGGTATCTTGCCTCTCCCAACCCCCTAACTAAACATCTCAATTTTTTCAATCTGAACAATTACAAATATCAGTTTTTGCAGTTTGAACAATTGCATTACTAATCTAAATTTTTGTGGTCTGAACAACTACTAATCATTAAGAACAGATGAGGCAGCAGAAAAGCAAGTTTGTATATGACAAATCTGGACTCTCCATCCAAAGAAGTTACTCATCATTACAAAATATAGAGTCAAACCCACATCATTGTATAAGTTCCAATTAATTTTATCAAATCGTAAAGCATGTTGAAAAGAATGTATTAAAAAGTGTATAGATAACATTCCTCAAATAACAAAACCAACCTGATTAAGGCGTGCAACCCGCTCTGAAAACACTCTCATGAGCAAAGGAATTGTAACATCAATAGAAGCTCTCGCAATAAGAGCATAGGAGCTTAACCTTTCATCCATGGCTGCAAAGACAATATCATTAAAAGAAAAAAGAGGATATTCATCAGCCAGGTATGATGTATATTTGAAGTGTCAGAGACGAAAATTTATGATACTGTTGATAATGTTTGAAGAGATTTTCAAACAATAACTGGATGTGTTTAAAAGAAAACCATTGGAATTTAGTAAAATAAATGATATCGTACTGTGGAAAACTGGTGTAACTTAACAATATATAATATATATAAGGAAGTAGTTGCAACTGCAGGCACCGGTTGCTTGTGCAATTTCAGTTCATTTTGACTTTAAATTTCAATGGCATTAAATGAAGAAACAAATAAATCATTTTCAAGGCAAAAACTAATCATTTTCAGCACTAAATTGAATTCCCAAACAAGCCCAGACTAATCACGTAATAAAGTAGGATTCCATTTGCTGCCCATATCTTCTTTGTTACGTAATCTTTATTTTTTTTCGTTATTAGAACAACAGCAAAGGAATATCAACAATAACATAAATCACAACAGAATGTTAGCATGTGCAAGTTTTTAAAACTTTGTTTCATACCAGATACAGAAGCATGAAGATAGTCTGAATCACCCTCATCATTAAATGCTGATGCAGAGGCCACTAAATAAAAAGAAAATTCACATTATCATGAAATAATATGTGAGAAAAAGAAAATTTAAAGGAAAAAGACAGCATAATAGAAAGTTGCTAATGGGTTTTACTTCGTAGCTCGCATTCTACAATGAAACCAAAGAGATTGGCAGCTGCTTTTATCCCTTCAGGTGGAAGCAAAGCATTCACATTGATAGTATTTATTGGCTGGAGAAAAGTAATATATATAGTTCAGTTTAATGACTGGAACTCAACAAGTTTCAGAATTTTGATTTTACACTGTAGAATAGTCGATTTAGGTTCACAAAATAATATCAATAGTTAGGAAGAAAGACTACCATAAGTTTAAATAAATAAAAAAGCTATACACCTACACCATAACAGATAGGACAATAACATTAAAATTATGTAACAGGCAAATTGTTTTTTCAGATAGGAGAAAAGCTATTAGAGTTAGAGGAAACAAGATTATGTCAAATAATTCTATTTAAATGAATACCATTAGAATTGCAGTCCAAGTATCCAATAAGACATCACGTGCTTCCCAGCTCCAAGTCTCTTCTTCTGTGTTACTAATCATGAGGACTTTAATTACTTCAGACATCAACATTGACAAAAAAGTCAGCGTACTGATGTGCCTGAAGTATCAAAACAAAAAGTTTACTCACATCAATTTATTTCAACTATCATTATGGTTAACACTGAGAAACACCTACAATAGAAATTAAATTACAATTGCAATGACCTCAAAGATTTTAGCAGTCCGTCAAACATATAGGGGGTTGTTACATTTGCAATGGCCAATAATGCACGACAACCATCAAGCATCTCACTGAATGAAACCAGCATCAATTTGAGGGTCAAATATATATAAAAATCTGTGCAGGGATGTGTGTGCACAGGTAGGTGGGTACATAACATCATTATAGAGATGAATATCCTCCAAACCTATCACTTTTCCCACATTCAATAGCCTTTGAAACAGCATCAGGAGGATCTACCCACTCTATTATCCCAGATAGTAGCTGCAGAAGATGTCGTTCATGCATTTTTCCATCATCTAGATCACAGCACAAGGTCAAAACATTTGAATCAAGGATCACCATAAGTTGACTTTTTTTCTTTTATTATTTGGTTTGGAGGGGGGGTTGCAATGGTGATACTGAGAAGTGAAACCCTAAGACCGATCATGATCCTTTTAACAACAACTAATTATCTAGCAAAATCTGATAGCATGAGTAACAGTTTGAAATTTTTTTATATTGATGTAAGAACTGAAAATGTGGTAATAAATGTTTTTATATCTTTGAAGCAATATCGACTTCTATAAACTGAATTCCTATCCCTACAGTCTCATCCCACACTTTTCAGAAGTTATAAGTCTTAGAAAAGATAAAGTTTTTGCAAGGGCCAATAAGTTTAATTAAACACTTCACTGAGGATGATCTTACAATCAGTGAAACTACAAGACATCTTTGTCAAATTCATTCAAAGGCAGGTAAATATTTATCAACTTAAGACCACAATACTAAGAAATTCACATACAATTAGTATAAAGGAAGACATGGAAACACTTGTACCAGAAGGAAATACAGTTCCTGTTAACGAACAAAATTGTACAATTAGTTTTCGAGCAGAGAGTGCAATAGGGCAGTCAAGCCAGTAGCCTTCACATGTAAATTTCAGCCTCAATGATGCATATAACCTCAAAAGCCATCCAACATGACCACTTAAGATCAAGACATCATGCCAATCTGAACCAGGCTGCATGTAAGTCAAAAAGACAGAATAAAGGTCAATCAGTATGAGATTTATAGTCCACATTTCTAGTTATGATTTCAATCATGGTGTTTCATATTTACTGCAGATAGTAACCAGTGTGTTGTCTTTCGTTCTAACAAATGCATGTAAACTGTTAATAAGCAAACCAACTGATTACCTGCACTAGATGACATTCAGACCTTTTGGGAGAATCCACATCTTGTCTAACTCCAGCACAGAAGACATTTACATTTATTTTTGTCTCACTGGTATTGCAACGAAAATCCCAATTCAGGATTTGAAGCATGAGATCCATTGCAGCAGTGCAAACTTTAACCTCAGGTATGGCAGAGTCAGATTCAATAATCCTGTTTGTGACACTTAAAGCAGCTTCTTGTGTCCAACAGTAGAATGTCTATAATATAGGTAACGTAGAAAAAGGAAAAATTTAACATTAACTCAGTAAATAATTCTCCAAGTATAAAGAATTGCCAGTTATAATAAAACAAATTTTCAATGACTTAAATATGTTTTTGGCTCCTACATTTCACCAGTTTTTTATTTTAGTCCCTCCTAACTTTTTTTTTTTATGATTTTAGTCCTCAATTATTTTGGAACCAGTACTTTCAGTCCTTAGTGACTATAACCTGATGATGTGGCTAATAAAAAGACTATCATGTGTCAATTATTTGTATAATCATGTCAATGAGAGAGACCAAAACATCTAAGTTGCAAAAATATAGGTACCAAAACAAGAGAAAAAAATTTAGAGGAACTAGAATCAAAAGAAAAAAAACATAAAAAGAAGAAAAAAACTCATGAAAATGCAGAGAGTAAAAACATATTTAAGCCAATCTTCAATTAACTCAGGAACAGAAAACTATTAACACAATAAAAATTCAAAACTAGAAAGACCTTCAGGTAGTCTCGCTCAAGTGACCTTCTACACTGCTCATGAAATTCCCTTGGAAGGCCCATAGCACTTGAAGTAGATGGAGAAAATTCTGATACCTATATAATAAATAAATCAAATGCTAAAAAACAGATAAATTTACCAGCTGAAGCAATAAGAGGAAATGGCTATAATTTCTTAACAATAAAATAATCGCACACCAATGATTCAAGGAATTTGATTCCAGCAAACTGCACATCTACTCCATGAATGCCCACAATAGCCTGGTTCACCTGCAGTATGTGAAACTGTCAGTCATGTACAAATTACAAAAGGTGACTGTTTGAGAGCAAATTAATAGTCCTGAATGGATATCCTAACAGAATTGTGTTACAATTAAGAAAAACGCATAGAGAAGAAAAAACAAAGAGGAAGAGCATTAGGTTCTCATAAACTGTAACACTCACTTCAAAATTTGGGGAAGACTTTGGAAGATGAGAAGGGATGGGGTTCAGGTAAGGTAACAGATACAATATTCTTTTTCTAGTAAAGTAGAAGAAGAAGAAGATAAGACTGTGTCCCAATGTCCTCACTATTTAATTACAAAATGTCAAAATGATTTTGTACCGCACAAGTAATAGATTTCAAATGTTCGAATCCCATACCAAACTGGCATATAGTTTCTGTTCCAAGAAAAAACCAACCTATCCACTCAAATTTACTCCAGTTGTTCAGTCATCAGAGTATAATCAAATCTGAGGGATTTGAACAGCCCACCAAAGAATTTCACACATATAATTAATGTTATGATAAAATTCTTCATTTTGAGTCCATAAATATGAGTAGAAGGAAGAAGCAGACATGCAAAAAAGAATAATACTGAGACCAGAGCTGAAGGAAAGGAAACTATAACTAGAAATAAAATATTCTGGCACCTGATAAAAGAGTGTCTCCTTCTCTGCAGCTGCAAACTCAAGCCTACAATTAGAAAATAGTTGCCAAACCTTAGCCATTACGGATCTGCAACAATATATTAACTTTTCTTTTTTGGGAAAATAAACAACACGATAATATATTCCAAAAATAGAAAAAAGTTACTACCATGCATTTAAAAATAGAACAAGTCCAACACAGGACATATCTCTAAATCATTTATCATCCATGTAAAACTAATTCAAAGCTTGTTCATAGTTATTATAGTAAAGTCAATATCTAAAGGGGACATAAGTCCTAGAAGTTCATGTTCTGCACCTATTGCATTTCATTTTAGGCAGCATCAATATGTTGAATTATAGGTGCTATTTTTGGTAAAGGAACTTATGCTTATGTATAAATGGATCTCTCTCCAACAGTCATACACATATTTCAAGGGAACCATGGTTTGTTGATAAGCAAGTGAAGGACACTACAGGTTACTAATGAGGAGAAAGTTAAGTACTTTTCTTTATAAAACCAGGTTGGGATTCTCATATTGTCAAAATTCACCCAATTCAGCCATATCATGTTAAGCAAAATATATACCTACAGTAAAATCTTTATCTTCCCCCTCTAAAAAATTGAAGAAATTTGACTGGAGTCAAGAAGAGGTGAGACCTTGTATCCATCTGAAATTTTCTCTGTTTCACCATTAACTTGAGCTCACCACCCATCTTTTGCTAGGGAATACAACCGGAATTTAAACCAGTATAACTCAATACGAGTTTAGTTTGCACAAATTCAATAACAAATATTTTTATAAAACGCATATTTTCCACAGAACTCAACCACAAGGTCACAACTCACAAATCATCCTTCATTGAAATGAATAAAAATGAGAAGAGTGCACCATTGAAACCTCAATAATCTTAAATTTTTGGACAGTATTCCCATTCAAGTCATTGTTATGTGTAATATCCAGAGAATATGATTTCAACAATTTCATATTATATTTCAAAATAGGTTAAAAAAAATTTATGACATTCAGTATAAAAATATCATCTTTTTATGAATGAAATGATCTGACCATTCTAATTCGAAGTCACTTGGAGCTTTTGAAATTTGAATGTCCTCAGCCTACTGCAGCCACATTATTATGGTTTGGGTTTACTTATTGAAAAGAGTTTTGAATTTTATTCCATAGATACATAATTTATAGAATCACATTACTTTATTGATACAGTAATATAATTTCTTACAAGTCATTGATATTTATTGAGAGTGAATAAGAATTTTAACACCAGTTTTTGAATTTTTATAGTTTTCAAATAATTTATATGGATGCACTAAAGTTGCATTTTCCCTAGAAGACTTTCACAATTTGACAAAATCTCATCAGCATCTGCACTCACTCCCATACCACACGCTGGTGACTCAAGGTCTAAGACAGACAGTATATAGCATCCCCCTCCCCCTCTCTCCCTCCCAGAGCTAATTATTCAATTCAACAAGAACCTGGCGCATTCCTCCATTATCTTCACAAAAAAAATGCAGACATGCTAAAAGTTTGTGACAAAAAGAACTGAGTGGCCACAAGGTCAGATATACAGGTTACTTACCAACCCCTCTTCATCAACTGAGTAGCCACAGAAGAAACCTTTGCTTGGACATAGCCATCAGGAGAACTAGCATGTTGCATGGCATAGCATAAACAAAAACTGCAAGTAGCATATAAGTAATAGATCAAATAGTAGAATGATAGAGTCTGATTGAGAAACGTCTTTTAACCATCAAACAAGTGATACATTATATATATTTGACTCCCAGCTCAAGGCAAGGATTAAGGAACAAATACACTATTTGGTACATGGTTGCAAGCACAACATGTAGAGGATCAATTAGTAAACTTTAAGAACAAATGACACAACAATGTTTTCCTCTTTTAGTATACAAGAAAAAGTCCACGTATCATTATTATTATTAATTCCAGAGTTCAAGTTAAAGTGGTATACATAACATCAACTGAAATTAAAAAAAAAAGGTAATAGAATAGTTCATTTCTTCTAACCTAAATCAACTTCTTCACCATTCTTTTGTTCAATAAGTCTTGATAAGCCCTTCTGAATCATTATCTCAAGATTTTGCCCATACATGCAAGAAACCTCACACACCATAATCCTCCCCCCCCCCCCACCACCACCAAAACAGATGCACACAAATGGTGACTGCAAATTGGCTTTACATACTATTTCGTTCAAAGGACGGAAGAAGAGAAATTTTAACGGAGGGTAGAGATACCTTGTTTGATTCACAAAAGAGAGGGGAGGAAAAATAAGTAAATTTACTATTATAAGTTTCTAAGTTTCTCTCCCCTCCAAATTTTCCTAATTTTGAAGGGGACATAAAATTGAGTAATGAGGAATTTTAGCCCCCCTCCCATCACTTCCCTTTAAAAATTTGAACTAAACATGAAATATTATAAACATCACTCCCCTTCAACCAAACACTATGTCAGAGAAAATGTTGTTCCAAACCAATTAAATGAGGTTGGGTCTTTTTTAGGAGAAATTATTACTCAACTCAATCAAAATTTGGTTATGGTTTGGGTTATGTTGGGGTAGAAGAGTTCAAAATTATTTACTGACACAACCCAAACCAAACTGGTTTATTACTAACCAATTTAATTTATGGATACCCAACCTAACCCATTTTTAAACTTTGGGTGGGATTGGGAGGATTCCACATCAACTCAGACGTGTGCCCCATCCCTACCAATAAAAAGGAAATGCTGTCAATGGTACAATACTTTTTTTGGGTAATGAATGGAATGACAATTATTAGGTAGAGAAGAAAAATGTTCGTGATGTAAGAATTCAAAACAGTAAAAATGCTTGTGGAATCAAAGACTATTAAAAACCTAATCAATCCTCTTCTGTCATCAGCGGTAAGAAAACCCCATTCTCTAATAGCTGCTTCTCGAATTGCAGCAGCCGCTTGAAACCTTGCAGCTGCCACCAGGGAATTTTCTACACAGACAAATATGAGTACAAAATCAGCATAATCTAAACCAGAATACAAAAACACCAAACAAATCAGTGTTTAGAATGCTGAAATTTAAAAAAAGCCATTAAATAAAGCGTAGTGAATGAATATGATGGACACTGGACAAAAACTGTTCCAAAACAAAATCATCAGTGAGATGCCCCATATTTTTACAGAAAAAAAAAATTGATAGGTGAGACACACAAGCACCAACACAACAGCACTTTGGCCAGCAAAGAAACCTAGAAATGTCATCTGTCACAATTAATAGAACTTCTGTTTGAACATTATACAGGACTTATGTTGGCATTATACATCAGAGATTCTCTAAAGTTCTGTCCATAGCCATGCAAAATCTTTTACGCTATGTTTGAAAGCTTTTCAGCAGATAGGAAGTTGGGGGAAGAAAAGGGAAAATTGATTCTTCCTGGTTTTATACTTTAAGTAACGGGAATTTCTTCCACTTATTTGGGAGTTAAAGTTAAAGAAGAAGCTAGAGTTACATCCCCTTATTTAATTTAAAGTAAAACCGTTCCCCCTGCTTACCCAAAACTCAAAGGAGAAAGAATTGTGGGGCCTTGAGGGGGAAGAAGAGGACAACATCTCCCCCTCTTTTCCCCTCCATAAAAATCTTCAAAACAAAGTTTTGGGTAACTTTCCCTTCCTTCTACAATGTACTCCACTGACACAAGGAACAACTAAATTTCATTATAAAATATAAATATCTAAGAAACTAATGAAGTCTTCAGTAAATTATCTGAAGTATAATTTTCCTGTTTTAAAAAAGAAGTAGATCCTGCACTGTCATGATTTCACTTTAAGTAACCTAAAACATTGACAATATGCCTATCAAGTATCAACACATATAATCCAAGTTAACAACACACTCTTGCTTGTCAGTGATTATTTGAATTTTTTATTTGGCAAACTAGTACCATTTGGATAATACAAACAGCAGATAGTTTGTGTGCCATACAGCAAACTCACCAAGAATGAATTGGCACGTCTTATATGGCTGAGAAGATTGGCCTAATGACAATATAACAGCCTCAGAAGCTACTGGATTGATATGCATCTGAAAATAAATGAACAAGAATAAGAACATGAATATATATATATATATATATATATATATATATATATATATATGTATGTATTTGCATTCCTATGAGTGCATACTTTAAATGAAATGCTTGCAGATTCTCTATTCCTTCACTACACCCACATGAATTTGAAGTATAAACTATAAAGTGTTCTAGAAAATATCATCTTCAAGAAACAGTAGTGAGATTATGGCTCTTCCCAACTCATTTTGCAAAATTTAGTGATACATTGAAACAGAGAGAGGAAGAGATTCCCCACAACATTTCACGTGTCACATGTGAAAGACATGTGCTAGTCTTCATCGATTTTATTAATGAGCAATACGCAAATTGTTAGCATGCAAAGAGATGGGTCAGAATAAACCAAAAAGAAATAAACAGAAATGAGGAGTTAAAACAATTTCTTAATCGTGCAGCTTGAGAGCAGAAGAATGTTGAAAATCTCAGTGAGTGCTAAATACATCCATTGCTTGTCAAATATTTTCCACTAAATAATATTTCAGAAGCAATATATTTGCAATGTTCCTGAGTTTGACACCTGCACTGTTTGTCTGTTTCCAATAGTTTTCTTACTGGAGAGTGAAAAAAAAAATGTAAATATACTACCATAAGTCAATACAACATGATCATAACTTTTGCTTAAAGTGAACACGATTATGCTATTTTAACCTTCTATTTTAACCATCAAAATATCCAAGCTAGTTTCATACAAAAAAGAAGAGACTATAATTGGAACCACACTGAGCAGTTAAATGTGAAACACGTGTTGTCGGAATCTTTGCATTTGCATTTCGATCCTCACTCAATCTGATTTCACATCTACAGAAAAATGAGCTTGAGATGCATACCTGTACTTTATTTTCTTCTTTACTTTTTAAAAAGATATATACGGAAAGATAATCAGTAAAAAGAGTGAGTAAAAAAGGAAGAGAGAATGAATGAAACCTGAATAGAAGTGCAAGCGAGCTCAAAGGTTCGCATGGTAGACTGAAGCTCAGCCAAGTCTGTGGTTGCTGTAAACCCTTGCATCTTCGTGCGATCGGAATAAACAATGTAAAATTCTTAATCGCGATTTGTTCAATTAGTTTCACTTGCTGTTTTTAGTTTTAAACATTGATGGAAGGATCACCGCGAATCCCGATGATGATAAACTTGGGAAATGAATCGATCCAAAAATGAGAAGAAGATGGTGCAGTGAGGGAGTGGTGTTGGTGTAGTAGGGTAGTACTTGGTACTCAAGTGAAAGAAATATTTAATTCAACAATCCTAAGAGCAGAAGGAGGGTGTGCTGTGCCCCCTGCGCATGGGCTTACTCTACTGCTTTGGTGTAAAGCATATACCCAACAAGTTTCCTTCGCTGTGTCTGCCACCCAGCGCCCTGCTTCGTATCACTACCCCAAACCTTTTTTTGCGGGGCATAAAGCAGAGGAACATTAATAGCTGGTTTTTTTTTTTACCAAATTAATATTAATTTAAAAATATTTTATCAAGATAATAAATTAAAAATTATTTACCATTTCAGACCTTCTTAAAATAAGTTTAAAAAACTATAAAGATTGATATTATCATCGAACTATAATTTAATACTAGTAAATGTAGATGTGCTTTATTTAGTTAATTTGTTATAAAATAATTATTTTTAATGTGATAAAAAATATTAAAAAATTATTTTTAAAAATAAATTATATATATTAATAAATATATCAGTTAAATTTAATTTATATGTGACTTTAAATATTTTAAATTTTAATAATTATAAATTTAATTATAAATTAATAAATATATTTGTCGTTATACAAGTTCTTCTTATAAAGTTATATAAAAAAAAAAAGATTATGAAATAAAGTTTTTAAAGGGTCTTATTGAATAATATTTTGTAATAAAATTTCAAATTATGCTAATAAACTCATTACTTATTATTTATAAAAAAAAATTATTGCTAATATAATAGGAAAGACAACTTGAACAACTAATTATAAAATCACAAGCTTTAGTAACCTTAGCTAAAGGTTATAAAATATGACATTTTAAAGAAAGAGGGTTTAAGAGTCAAAATATAAATTAAAGAAGTAAAGAATAAGGTGAAATAAGACAAAATGAAAAAGTGTGCATTTTCTGTTGGAAGAGTGGACATTCAATGGAAACATGGTTATCCCCTACACACCAAGAAAATTTTCTCTATGAATAATTGCATTATAGAAAATAAAAATGATAATGTTAACAAAGTTAGCATATTTTTTCAAAGGGAGTTTAGGGAGAATTCAAGTTTGAATTTTATATTACATCAACACAAAGGCATTGTTAGCATTGCTTCAACAATCATGAATTCATACAGTGAATCAAGTTCAATCTTCTTTAACAACACTTTAAAATATCTTGATTCAAATCCATTAGATATAATAATTTTTCTAATTTTACAAAAACTAACTCCTAAATCATTGATACATGAGTCACATATCATGTGTTGCAACTTTCTACGTCATTTTTTTAATTTATAGAAAAATCAACCCCAATTCATATAAAATTATCCGATAGAAAATAAATTTCTTGTAACAATTTCTAGAACAAATTTTTCCTCAAAACACTTCTACTTTCTACTTGACAAATATTCTATTCATTTCTAATTTCAGTTTTAATTTGATATCTATTTCAAAGTTAACCAAATCTTTAACTTACAAATCCATATTTTCTTATTTTGATTACCATATTCAATAGTCCAATACTTTGAGGATGATTGGTGTAGTTGTGTTTATACCTATATGCAATGACTCCTTTAAATTTGTCAAGAATTTTTTAAGGATGTATCAACAATTTTTATAGTTGCAATAATAATATATGGCACTTAACGTTAAAACATCTCTCTTATGATAAATTTAGTGAATTACAAAAATTTCACTCCTTCATTGAATCTAATAAAGTCAAAAAACCTTGTGAAATATGTCACTTTGTCAAATTTCTCTAATAGTGAGCATACTGTTTTGAAATTTTTTATCTTATCTATATCTATATCTATATCTATATTATATATATATATATATATATATATATATATAATTGACTACACCTACTTATTACTGAGTGTATTAAATTTTGAAACGTAACTTCATCTACTTATGACTTTATACATTAAAATTCAGAATGTATAAAGTCATTCGCATTGACTCCACTTACTTATTATTCTATATATCAAAATTCAAAATGTATAACTTATTAATTAAAATTATATTTTATCACACTTATTATGTTTTAGTTGTATTTAAAGAATATTTATTAGTATTGATAGTTATATTAAATTATAAACGGTAACATAAATATTTATACTATAAATTAGCTTAAATTACTATTATTAAAATTAATTATAATATTTTTCATAATTTCTGAATTAAAACTATTATTTTATTTTAATATAATCTATATTTTATTATGTACTTCAAACACTAAAATATATTTTGAATTAAAAAAATTAAACTTACAAAATTATTAGTTTATAATATATGTTATTAAATTAAATTTACAATAAAAGACAAATTTACATATTTAAATTATTTTATTAATTAGTTTAACATAATCTATATTTCATTATATACGTCAAATATTAAAATGTAATTTGAATAAAAAATATATTTATAAAATTATTTATTTATATTATATATTATTAAATTAAATTTCTAATATAATAATAAACTAATAATACTTTAATATTGTCTATTCATCAGAAATTTAACTTAACAACTTGTAATATAAACTACTATATTTGTAAATGTAGTTTTTTTTTTAATTCAAAGTACATTTTAGTATTTGAAGTATAAATTAAAATATAGATTGTATATATAATATTTAATAAAATAATTTAAATTAATATCAATTAAAATGTTACTTAAGAAATTAATAATTTTTTTTACTATTTAATTATTTTTGTTCATTAGGTATAATTTTACTTTACAATGAAATTTTCAAAATTTTTTATATTTAAAAATTTAATAGTTTGTTATCAAGCATCATATCATTCACAACAATATTGTTATAGCTGTTTTTAACATAATATAATAAAATATAGATTATATTAAAAATAATAATAATTTTAATTCAAAAATTATGAAAAATATTAAAATTAATTTTAATAACAATAATTTAAGTTAATTTATAGTATAAATATTTACGTTGCAATTTATAAAATTATTTATTTATATTATATATTGTTAAATTAAATTTCTAATGTAATAATAAACTAATTCTACTGTAATATTTACTATAAGTAATACAATAAATTAATTAGTTTTGCATAAGTAATAATAAACTATTTATACTATACATATTATATATAGTATAGTATAAATTATATATAAGTGTAATTTTTTATTAAAACTATAATTTAACAATTTATAATAAAAGTAATAAATAGTTTTAAAAAAACTACATTTACAAAGATAGTAGTTTATATTACACGTTGTTAAGTTAAATTGCTGATTAATAGGCAAATTTATATATTTAAATTAATTTATTAATTACTTTAGAATAATTTATAGTTTGATATGTACTTTAAACTCTAAAATTTACTTTTGCACTAAAAAATTTACACTTACAAAATTATAATTTTATATTATATATTGTTAAATTAAATTTTTAATAAAAAGACAACTTTATAAATTAAAATTACTAAAATAAGTTATAATATTTTGCATAATAAAAATAATTAATAGAAAAAATATATCTATAAATTTGTTGAGTTACCTTTTTAATTAAAATAACATTGTTTATTTATTTTAAGTTATGTTTAAATTTAAATGATATTAATTTAAATTATTTTAAAAATTAGTTTAATATAATTTATATTTTATTATGTACTTCAAACATTAAAATATATTTTGAATTAAAAAAATTACACTTACAAAATTATTAGTTTAATATAATTTAAATCATGTATTGAATTTTATTTCTAACATTAATTTGTATCAAATCTATTATTATTTTCTTTAATATATCATAAGTAATTATTTACTTTTATATTTTTCACGTTTTTGTAGAAAATAACAAGTTCTAATAAAGATAAATATATCACCGTTGTAGGATACACTAAATATATATAACAAAAAAAAGTTAATTAATACTGATACAGTACTAATTGATAAAAATGTATTAGTATTTGTATTTTTCTGATTAAAAATTTATTATTTTTAATAAATTATAATTATGTTGTTTTTATATGTTGTTGTATAATAATTAATTAACTTAATTTATTTTTAAATTCTTTAATTGATTAATTTTTCTTTCTACAAAGCAATTACATACATGCTTCTATAGTATGAGGTATTTCTTATCAGTTCAAAAGTATATTAAAGTAAAAAAAAATATATTTCATAACAAATTTTTCAGTTACAAAGAACAAAGATAGATTTGCTGCTGTTGAAAACAATTCTTTCATTTTACAATTCTATGCCACTAACTATTATTAAGGAATTAAATAATGATAACATAATTCTTTACAATATCTTTGAATTTGTGAATTTTGAAGATTTGAAAATTCGTTGTGAAAATAACATCTTAACAGATATTTTGTTGTAAAATTTTACCAAAATTGTTATATAATTTGTATTTAATTTATCAATTAGTTTTTTAAATTAATTTATTTTATGAATATATGTGATTAGAGTGGTCATGCACACAAGTTCAATTGAAAAAAAAATAACTGCTTAAGGCAAGATAAAAGAAAGAGGAAATTAATGTATAAATTATAAATTTGTAATATATTGTTCATAGATCATACAATAATTTATATTTTATATTTTCTATCAGGTCGCAACTTGAGAAAGATGAAACAAAAAATAGTGAACAAAAAGCAACAATGGAGGATTTAGAAGATTGAACCATTTTTATTACAATATTATATAAATGTTTTTAATATTATGTAGAATTTGAACCAAATATTTTTGTCTTTTATAAAATAATTTTATCTTATTATATATATATATATATATATATATATATCTTATTTTATTATTATATATATTATGTATTGAATTTGTTCTTAACATAAAATTTGTTTAAATTTTATATGTGTCTCGTAAATTTTATATTATATCAATATCTGTAATTTTAATTGATATAAAGATTAATTTTTATATTAAATAAAATTATTATTCTCTTTTAGTTTCAATCCAAATTTTAATTGAAAATTTTGTAACTACTCTTTATTCCTCTACTTCTATTATCTTATTTTATTTTTAAAAATAATTTAATAGGAATTGACTTATCATAATTATATTTAACCTATTAATGTAGATAATGTTTTAATTATATTTTATATTATAATAATTATGATGACAAATTTAATTTTTTAAAATTAAAAAATTAATATTTTTACTTAATAATTTTGGTGCAATTTTTTTTATAAAATGTTATAAAGATGATGATAAATTAAAAAATCTCAAATTAAAACTAATTAATTATAATAATTGAAATAAATAAAATATTATTAAATATCATAACAATGAAAATGAGTATGATTTGATATTTAAATATTTAGGTAACTGTTGGTTTTATATATTTAATAATTTTATATTGTAATGAACGAATATGTAAAAAAAATATAACATTTTAACTCTGAATTAAGTTTAAATTTTAGATTTAGTTTCTATATATATATATATATATATATATCATTTATTTCAAAAATTAACAAATATTTCCCTTTAGGTACTTCTAAAATTTTATGAGTATGAAGTTTAAATCTTTACAACTACCGAAAGACTTATAATCTAAGAAAGATTGAGGTTAATATTTAAAATATTATAAAAATATTTTTTATATTAACATATCAAATTATATTTATTTATTAGAATTCTATATTCTCACTATATAATTATTCAAAATTTTTAAATTAGAATACAAATTCTAATGTTTTTGAAAATTTTACTGAGAGTATTCAATTACAAACGCAGACAACCATGCTTTCTAATGAAAAAATTTATTCATTTTGTGGACTTAAAGTTAGTTCCTAGGATGTAAATCAAAATACAAGTATTATATATAAAAACATTAATTCAATACAAATATTTTTTTATTAATATATATTTATTATGTTATATTCTTAAAATTATAAATTTTTTAATTTTTAAAAATATTTAAATCAAGTTCACTAAATATTGACTTTTTATTTTTATAAGATTATGTGATATATCACATATTAGACTATAGAGATAGACACAAGAACATCACACATTCACACAAAAATTATATCTTAAAGTAATTATCAAAATTGTTAGAACACGTCTATTTTTTTAATGACAGTATAATATTTTAATGTGTATATATTAAATTTATATTTATATTTTTAAAATAATTACAGATCTAATAAACATTTTAATGACAGTATAATATATATTTAAATTAAAATTTTATTTATTTATTTATTAGTCTTTTGTAAGAAACAATATATTATTAAATCTATTATTATCTTAATTTTATTAATTCTATTATTATTACATTAACAAATAATAATAATTTCCAGGTCGCGAATCTACATCAACATTCTATTTAAATAAAAAAAAAATAAATTCAAGCGCACAATGAACAACGTTAGATACAAATAAAAAAATTAATTAGACATTAAAATAATAATTTTTTAATAGATAATAATTTAAAATAAGTTCTATTTAGAGGTAGTTAAAACATATTTAAACCCATAATTTTTAAACAAGCTTACAAATATGAGAAGTCATACATTTAATGAACATATTATATTAAAAATATATAATGTACCATGATTCTTAATTTAAATTGTTCATCAAAACTCAAAAATTATATATATATATATTATATTTATTTACTTACTGGATTAATATTTGTAGGTGAGCATACTTGATAAAAGAGTAAAGTTTTTAATGTATATATTTTTTATGTCTAAAATTTAAATATTTTATAGTTAAGAGGAATTAAATTTATCTTTTTATTACTTTAAATATTAATTACTAATGTTGATGTACATTATTTTAAATTATAATAATTGTTTTAAGATTAAATTTTACATAAATTGAAATTAATTTTTAGTAAACTTTGTGTTATAATAATCTCATATCGATAAAATTTTAGATTTTCATGCGAGAACTAGATAATTTTGTTTAGACAAAAAAATAAAAATAAAAGTTTTAAAAAAAATTGTAAGAGAAAAACGAGAGAGAAATAAATGGAAGCTGAGCAGAAGTAATTTTTTTTTTCTTAAACAAAACTGAATCATTTAATTTTTGCATAAATTGGAACGGATCCGTTTCTATAATAATAAACATAAATTTTTTAATTTTTTAATTTTAAAAAATAATAAAATATTTTTTTGAGTGTATTTTATTTTTTTATTCGTTTCTACCAAATAACTTAATATATTGATACTCATTTTTTTAATATAAATGCTAAGCGATACAAGCAACTTAATTTACACGTTCTATCAGTTTTTTATACAATCAAAATAAGCAGTTTTCTGAGATGCAGCTTTCTTTAGAACAAATTAAAACCAACATACAAGTCTATAAAACAAAAAATAAAAAAGTAGAAACTAAGTTAATAAAGCAAACAATATAAATCTTTACTAAGTTTAATAATTTTATTTTCTGTAACTAGAAAAATGATAAAATTGTGCAGTTTATTTTTGTGATACAAAAATTGAAATTGAAGTGTACACAGAAAACGTACAAAAGAGAAGAAAGAAAAAGTAAATAATTCGAAAAATATTTTAAAAAGACCAAAATATGCTTCTTTTTTTAGTAAAAAGAAATAATGGAATCATGGATTGGAATTGGAAGTGGTGTTGACTGTATACGTAATACGTAGGATCCTTCAGGATTTGGTGACTGATGATCGCATTCAAAAGACTGCATTTCCCATAAGCAGATCACGTGTCAGCCTCCCAACGTATTTTTGTCCTCTCTCTCTCTTTTTTCTTTTTGGTTACAGAATCCCATATTTCAATTGTCAAAAAGTAAAAAATACTCCACAAGTATAAAACACCTATCTATTTTATTTTTCCTTTTTGTTTTTTTTTCAGTATCTGCACAATTATTTGTTCTTTCTCCCTCCAATTTCGCGTGGATCTCAATAGAATTTACCCCCAACTTTTCTTTCACGCGCATTGTTTTTTCTATCCAAATCTCTCCTCAGATCACCGGCACCGTTCCATTTTTTCCACCTATATTGTAATCGATCCTAAATTCTTAACAGTAGAAAGATCTAGGGTTAGAAGCTGATTCCACAGCTGTTTCAAGCACATTCGTTTCATTTCGATACAGAATCCAATTGATGCACGCGGTTTCGATTCAAAGGCGTTGAAATTCAGCCAATCCAGGTTTCGTTTTGTTCTCCGTGAGGTTAGCTCGGTTTGTGAATGACAGATACGGATACGGTTTTGGTTTAGATGACGAGCATGGAGGTCGTTAGCGATGCGGCGTCGTTGGAGGTCGATTTGTTGCAGCTCCCTGAGGTGTCCGCTCTGGCACTCAAGTCTAACCTCAGCTTTGTCGAGACGCTCTTCGAGCAGTGGTTGTCGCTTCCTGAAAGCAATCGTCTGGTACGCTTCGTTCCATGTTCATCAATTTTGGAATCAACGTATTGGTCTCTGCATTGTTTGTTTTACCATTCTTATTGTCTATCTGTTCATAGGAACGTTAGCTTTTAGATCATAAATTAATAATCATTTGGATAATAATTGTCAAATCCACAAGGTTCGTGAGAACGATGCATTATTATTTATTAGTTTACTTACTTACGTAAATAAAAGATAGCCACCGGTATGAGATTCCATAGACCTATCTCTTGAGAATTATAATTTTTCGTAGATATCCTCACCATATGTTAGGACATAGGCGTAATTAATTTCAACTGTTATGTCTAAATCTCTTTCTTCGGAGAAATCACCTTAACCTATTCTTGGAAATATTATATTTTAAATGAACTCTCGGTGCTATGAATGAAATATTGGTTTTTGACTTTTCGATTAAATGCCTTTTTATTTTTTTGTTTTTGAGTTTCCTTGTGAGGTTAAATTTTCCCCTTCGAACACTAAAGCATATAATGCGTGCATTTGTGATTTTATTCTCAGGTCTTGCTTATTATGTGTGTAGGTAACATCGCTGCTAAATGAAGCTAAGTCAGGTGCTCCCTTGAATGTCCCAGGGAATTGCTCTAGTCCAAATGCTGCAAGCAATTCTTTGCCCTCCATGTTTCCTGCAGGCACTGCACCACCTCTTTCCCCAAGAAGTGTATCGGGCTCCCCTCGCATAGTGAAACAGAGAGTTGGCCCTTCTAATTTGAGTTCTCCTTTGAAGGTTGTCAGTGAGCCAGTTAAAGAACTGATACCTCAGGTTAGGCACTTCTGATATGTTATCTTAATTTTTATATGATAGTAAAAGAAAATTCATTCTAACAAAAGAGACTGAAAGTAAGGTGTCTTAAAATATGCCAGCATTATGCCCCAAGCCTGTATTTTGTATGCACCAAAGGACTGCATGGATTTTACATCGACACAAGAACTTTTCTTTGTTTTTCTGTTGACATCAATGCTGTTGCCAAGTAGGACACGTCCAATCCTCATTGAAAACCCTACAAACTTGCTACAAATCATTTGCATTAACCCTATCCAATTTTCTTAAAATCTTTATCTGATGATATTTTCCTTTTTTGCCTGGTATGCTACTTCTTTTTTGGTTCTCACCCTCCTCCACCCCCAACCTTATCATGCTCATAACATATATACTTGTGTGCTTGCAGTTCTACTTTCAATATGGACGTCCTCCTCCAAATGAACTGAAAGAGCAATGCTTGATTAGAATTGACCATTTATTCCATGATCACCCAGATGGGCTGCACATACATGGTGAGCCTTGCACATATATAATGGGGTTATAGCCAGAAGACTGGTTGGCAAATATTGAAAAGAGAATTCCACATGCACATTCTAGTTGTTTTAAGCAATCACATCTGCTCCTTATTCTGAGTATAATAGTTTAAGTGTTTCCAGAAGTCAAAAGTGATTATCTATCTAAAAATTACGTTGTAATGTAATGAAGAGTTATAGTACTTAGTAAGTAGTAGCTCATTTCTGTTTTACTTATTTCCTGGTATGTTCAGAATTCAAGTCACTCACTAAGGAAGTGTGCAAGCTGCCATCTTTTTTTTCCACATCTCTTTTCAGAAAGATTGATAATGGAACTGGTGTTGTGACAAGGTGTGTACTTTCTCAGTTTTTTTAAACAAAGCTTTTAAACTTTTTTTTTTGTGCCATGGATGGTGTTTTTTGGTTTTAGCTGTTTGGATACCTCAAAAGTTTCTGTTTAGATGTTGAGACCTTGCATAGAGCATAACTGAAAGAGCTTTTAAGAATATAAAAAAGTCAACAGTGACGTTGAAAGTAATTAGTTTCTGAAACATGGGTACTTCATTTTGTCAAGCCTACCTATATTTGATATGTACCAGATAGCGGTACATGTTGTGTACATTTGGGTATTTATCAAAATTAATTTTTTCAAAATAATCATATGCTACGTAATGTGATTTTAATGAGACTGGATATGATTTAAGGTATAGGTAATTATATCTTGAGCACTAGTTAGACCCCATTTTTTTTCTAAAAAATAATAGTTTTTCTAGTCAATTTATAGATTATTTTACCTTTCTCTCAATTTTCTCTTATTTATTTTTTTTATTTAATCAATTTTCTGAAATTCAATAATGAACTTTTACTGTTGAAAATTTGAAGAACTGAATTTCTTGGATTTGGCAAGTATTGAATTTGGAGCTTTGGGAAAGATCTTCATCTGACATCTTGATAGTGTGTATTAAAGGAAATCAAGAAAGTATTTCCATTTGAAAAATGAATGGTGTGTGTTGAAGAGACTACAGAAAGTTGTGATTTTGTCCCTAAGCTAAATGTTTTTCTGTCTTTTTCTCCCTAGAAAGCTTTCCTCTTCTTCGGTGTCAATGAACATGACTAACATATTTGTAATTTTGATTGATTTAACTCTGATAATTTGATTTTTCAAACCAATCTTAACTAGAAAGTATTTCAGTCAGAATGGTTTTAATTAGAAAGGAAAGAACATTGATTTTTTTCTTGATCTTTGTGCTAGTTTGCGAACTGCTTTTCGCTTATTTTCAAAATGCCTCTCATGAATTTGGCAGAAATAAGTGAGTAATTCTTGAAAATAAATTGATCCAAACACTTGCTTTGTCTGTTCAATAACAAATGTCCTCAATTATTCATACTAAGACATATAACATAACATCTGACACTGTACTCTTCAAGGCTGAAAGCTGGAGGACCGAATATTAAAAGGAAGAGGCAAGTTAGTGGAAACAAGCATATATTGCCTGAAAAACAGTTCCATTCATGGTTTGGCTGAGGGTCTCTTGTTGGGCTAGGTGCTAAACTAGGAGTTACCCTTGCAAATTGCCATTTCAATTCAATTGGGCAGCATGCTGATTTATTTCTAGCTTGAAAGACCTTATTTATTAATAAATGAACATGGTTTATTTAAGTCTCGTTCCATGCTGTAAGAATTATAATTGAATGGTCTTGTTTCTTGTAATTAATATCTCTTTATAGTTATGCCTAATTCTTTTATTTAATGTTCCTATAGGAAAGCATTTATTGATTATTGGATTAATGGAAACATGTTGACAAAGGATATAGCAACCCAAGTATACACAATTTTAAAGCAACCACAGCTCAATTACCTTACTCAGGTATTTTGCTACTATTTCTTTTATTTTTGCCACTTTTTAATTTCTCCTCCTCTGATAGTTACACTCACTCATGGTCTGATGATATCTATTAGAATGTCATTTATTTGATTCCCATTTGATACTAGTATGATTTATTTTTTTAGGGGCCACATTTATTGATTTTCTTGGCTTTGATATTATATTCCTACCCATCTTGTTGGTGAACTATATCATACTTCATGTCAGGATGATTTTAAACCTGTGCTTCGTGAGCTTTTGGCAACACATCCAGGGCTGGAATTCCTGCAGAGCACCCCTGAGTTTCAAGAGAGATATGGTTTGTCTTCCATTTTGTTATAACCTTGCATTTAGGGGTTTATGTAACCGTAGATATCAGCAAATAAATTTGAAATTCTCGCTATACTTGATTTCTTTGAGAAACCATTTATGGGGTTATTGGAAGGCATAATTTTGTTCCTCTACCAAAGAGCATTTGTTGATGGTTCATTATAAAGAATTAAGTTGAAACACGAAAAACTTATATGGCAATGGGCAGTTTTACTCTTTGTTGCATGAATGGAGTGCTGTCGTGGATATTCAGAGAGATTGGGTTGCTTTGTTGCTTTCTTACTTCTTACTATTTCCCAATTCTCCTTTGTATAGAGTATAGACTTTTCGCATTGGTTGGTTAAACCAAATTCTACTCACTGGGTATGTCAAACTTGTTTCCCCATATTTTGACTGAAAAAATTAATGGGCATTGCTGTTAAGATTCTGATTGAAAAATCAGACATTCCATGCCCAAGGAGAGTGCTTTATTGTGCCAGGACATTGACATATCCTATGTCTATATTTAACCTTAAAAATGGATTGATTGAAATGACTTTGGAGCAATTTTTTATGGTTTGATTTGTTAGAGTATCTTAGAAGGATTATGATCCTATTTTCTTAGTTTCCATGTTTCCTTATATCATAATATTTGTTACCTTATTTAGTTAGGATTATTAATTATTAATACAAGAATAAGGGTTAGTACTTTAGGTTTTATTATTAAATTGTATTTGTATTGAATCACATCAAATCATGTCAATATCTATTTTATTGTATTCTGTTTTTATTCGCTCCATTTTCTCCTTCTAAACTTAAAACCTCATAATTCCAATATGGTATCAGAGCCATGGTTTACACCTTGGGGAGAATTTCTCTTTTTACCCATGTAGAGTTCATGGAACCCATCCTTAAAATTGTTATTCATCATCTTAAAGACTCGGATTTATTTTTTGCTCATCTCTGTTCAGTCCTGCCTTTGATGTGCATTCTTTCTTAGTTCCCTGATGCCCCATGCCTCTGATCAATTCCTCCATGCCCTGTCCTACCACTGTTTCACTGTTGAGTTCCCTTAAATACGGATATCCTCCAGTTCAACCCTGTTTTTGGTTTTTTAGCTATTGCTGGGGCTGATGCACTTGGTTTTTTTATCTTCGGGTGTCTTGGCAGAACCTGTCTTATTCAGAAGTTGCTGACTGGCCATCCCTCTGAGTGCCATTACCTAAGCACATCGTTATGTGTTCTGTTATGTCTATTTTTAGCTGTTCTTGTTGGTTGTGAGCCCCACATGCCGCGGTGCCAGCTTGCCAGTGTGAGGTGTCACCTCTTCTGTTGCTGATCTTAATTTGTTCATCATCCTCTCCTTATTCCGTTTTATCCTAGTTTGGATCATGGGTCTTCCTCCTGTTGTCTCCTTGTTCTATCACTAATATTTCTGTAGTCATGACTAAGCCTGATGTTTGTAACTGCAACTAGTTTATAAAGGGTTGCTTTACAGCAGAAAAGGTACATATTACTTATGGATGAACAAATTATATACCACAAAAACTGTCAATGAATTAGTAGCAAACTGATGTATTGTAATGATTGCAAAATACACATTTATGGTTTTTCATTGTCTGTAAATATTTTTTTTTATTGGCATTTTTTCGGCTATTTAAAATTTTTATGTAAAATATGAAATATATATTGAAGAGTCACACAACATTTATCTGAGTATTGGGAGAATCAGTTGAAAGACTTCTTCCATCAAAGTTGGGGCACTACTGGTCATGATTTCTGGTGTAATACCATTGTTTTAGTCTATGGCACAATTTTCATAACTACTTGTTTTTCCAATGGCCCAGCTGAAACTGTCATATACCGAATATATTACTACGTTAATAGATCAGGAAATGGTCATCTTACGCTGAGGGAGCTGAAGCGTGGAAACATAATTGATGCAATGCAGCATGCTGATGAAGAAGAGGACATAAACAAGGTTTTGAGGTAAATATACCATTTGAAAATGTCATGTCCATTAACTTCACAAAATGACCTTACTTTCTTTTTTCAAATGAGCTAAATATCTTTGTATCAAGATGCATTCATCCTTTTTACCTTTCCTTAATATTGTCCGCAGGTACTTCTCTTATGAGCATTTTTATGTCATATACTGCAAGTTTTGGGAGCTGGATTCAGATCATGATTTCTTGATAGACAAAGAGAACCTTATCAGATATGGTAACCATGCTCTCACCTATCGAATTGTCGATAGAATATTTTCTCAGGTTGGTGGGATTACTATAAAATGTTTTGCTTCTTTCTTGAGTTTTGACAACACCTATCTTCAGCCACTGACAACCAAAACTCCCCTACCCCTCTCTAATATATACGCACTGTCTGTCCACTTCTGTTTATTCAATTTATCAGATCAATTGTTGAAGTTGCATATTTTGATTAAATTTGATATTATCTCAGGTTCCTAGAAGGTTTACTAGTAAGGTTGAGGGAAAGATGGGTTATGAAGATTTTGTTTACTTCATACTGTCAGAAGAGGATAAATCATCTGAGCCAAGTCTTGAGTATTGGTATTTTGTTCCCATCCCATTTTGTTGTAGACAAGGATGATGCATTGATATTTTAGGCATGTATATTGCGTATGCTTTTTTTTTTTTTTTTAAATTTGAACTGTGCATATGCATGGGAGCATGTGCACATGCCCACAGTTATGTCTCGAGAAATTTTGGATGTAAGCAATATAATTTCGGTTGCTGTAACTACTGTAATGAAAGTGCAGAAAGCAGACCAAGTGGCAATACCTAAGTTTGGAACAAATTTCATTTTTGTTTTAGTAAACAATTTTCATTTGTAGTAATGAAATTGTTTTTGATTTTATTTCAATAACATTTTTTCAGAGTAGAAAAAGGAGGCAGCAATTACAATTTGTATATTATTGCATGAATAAGAACAGTTTGAATGAGTTGTTTGGCTTTGTTTTTGATGATTTCAAAGTACAAAGTCTAGAAAGCATCAAAATATAAAACTGTTTTGAATATGGTGAAATCAATCTCACAAACAGGTTTTATTTTTAAATTTTAAAAAACTATTTGGGAAACAATTCCAAACTCATCCAAATTGTTGCCTTGGGAGTACAAAGCCCCTGTAGCAATTCATTAGTGTCTTAGACAGTTTGAATATGATATTTTAAGCTTGTGTTGTAAGGTAGTTTTCTTAAGTATAGTGTCAAAAAAAGGCACAGCTGAAAATAGGACTGGAAATGGATTGATTGAAAATTTGGGCTGCATAGTATAAGGAAGAAGTTTGAAAATTTGAGTGCTGTTTTTTTTCTAGTTTTGTTTTAAAGTTTGTTTTTCTCACTTCTCTCTGTTTTCTTGCCTGCTGAGTATGCTACATTGGAAGTTTGACTTTTGTGGTTGACTCTTATTAACTATGTGTGATTTGGCTTGTCATGATTAGGTTCAAGTGCATCGATTTGGATGGGAATGGAGTTCTGACACGGAATGAATTGCAATTCTTTTATGAGGAGCAATTGCATCGTATGGAATGTATGGCCCAAGAACCTGTGCTTTTTGAGGATATACTGTGCCAAATCATTGATATGATTGGACCTGAGGTTTGTGTTTCAATCTTTTTTCTATTTATTGTTTGGCCATGTTTCATATGTTGTTGGAAAGTCTCATCAACTGGAATATGATTCAAATCTAGTAAGTAGTTTATAAATTTCTGTTTTGTCTATAAAAAATGACGTGCCCAATTTCCATTTTGGTTCCCCCTTTTTCTTGTCCTCTTTTGCTATCCTTTTGGTTGATATTGTGTTGTTACTTATCCTTTATGTAAGATTTTTTTTTTAATTTAAATTCTCCACTCTGCAGAATGAGAGCTATATAACTCTGCGTGACCTGAAAGGCGGTAGACTGTCGGGAAGTGTTTTCAATATCCTGTTTAATCTAAATAAGTTCATGGCCTTTGAAACTCGTGACCCATTTTTGATTCGTCAGGTGCTTGACTATTTGATAGAAGTTATTGGGCTTTTGATTCAGTATGATTGGTTATTGTTGGTGAGTTTGACTGTCTTGGTGGTATTTGTCTTGTGTGAACAGGAACGTGAAAATCCTACATTGACAGAGTGGGATCGCTTTGCTCATAGAGAATATATTAGGCTTTCAATGGAAGAAGATGTCGAGGATGCCTCTAACGGAAGTGCAGAAGTTTGGGATGAATCCCTTGAGGCTCCATTCTGACATCATTTATGTAAGTTGAAGTATGATAGTACAAATCCAATTTACTTTGCATTTTTTATATAATTCAGAAGTTGATGCTTTTGTCGGCTGGCCTGACCAAATTCAGGCTGGGCAAATTATGGATCAGGCCAGCATAATTCTGGACCAGCCCTAGGCAGTTCAAGTTTTGCATGCACAGCCCATCTATTTTTTATCTTGTTATTTGAAGTTAATTTTGACCCTTTTTAACATCGGAATATTATGCAGTGTGCATTTCTTTGCCTTGATATTTTTACAGTATTCCGTTAATTATGACGCCAATTATAAGTTTATCTCGTTTTGAACATTAGACATTAATGCAGTGTATGAAAAGATATTAACGCCCCGAAACCGAATGGACTGGCCATTGTTCAGAGACATGATTCAGGATCAGCTTTGAACGCCAACTTTGCCCCAGCAAGGGGAAAATTCCAAGCTTAGCTATGGAATGTTTTGAGCAAACAACAGCAGCGATGTTCATACCTGCTGGTAGTGACATTCATTGGGCCATTATCATGGAAGTTTTGTCGCTTGTACCAATGTTCATGTAGAGTGAGGACATTTACTAAGATGTGATTAGCCAAGTTGAATTAAATTGACATCATTGAGACACTTACCATAAGTAGCGAGATTTTCTGATGGATTTTTTCTTTGTTTTTTACGATCGAGTCACTCTTGGCTTGGATCTGAAGGAGTACATCCTTGATTTTTTGTCATCTTTGGCTCAGGCCGTCTTTTACTGAATTTCTTTTTTATGTTAGGCTAATTGAAAATTTTAAAGAAAGTGTAATGCTACACATAAAAATCTCATGCCATTTTTGTGTTATTAGACTTGCCTGATGCATACGGAGTTGTAGTATTATAAGCCGTACGTTGGATTTTCTTTATCTAATATTTAGGGAAAGCTTTGGTTCATATCTATCAAATTTACGTGGATATTGCATCCATGTGGAACTTATAAGTTGATTACTAATCAGTCTTTTAATTGAATTGAAATAACTATATTCTAAATTTAATAGAACATAATTTCAAATCCTCAAAGAAAAGGAATATATCAGTTTTGTGACGAATTAAAATTGCTTAAAAATTAAAAGAATATCATCTTACCTGAGATGATGATGGTTATCAATTTTACGATGGTTAAGTGAGTTTATATAAGTTTATTTGATTGATTGGTAGATCTTTATTAATTTATCCTATCCTTTCATTATTAAATTCATCTTTTTATATATACTTTTGGTTTTCTGCCGTATTTTCCCTTTTTGTGAGTGCCAAAGTAACTCTTTCAAACATAAAATGGATCTCACCCCACGTGATAATGTTTTGAAAAAAAAATAAAAATAGAATTCTTCATTATAATTTATAGTAATAAGCAGATTTATCTTATCCAACCATCAACGAAGAAAATTGTTAGGTTAAATATTCAAATTTGAATTACTTTAAACAGCATTGTATAATTAGTTTTAGTTAACGAATTTTTATGTAAATATTAATTAACCAAATGCATGTTTGAATGCTGAATTTCATAATATAATTTAAACTAGTGAGTTTTGTCTGTGTTGCATGAGTATCACTAAATCAAATATTTTTTTGAAAATAAAAAATAGAAAATATACTTCTTAATTATTTTTTAATTTAATAAAAGATAATGCTCTCATTTAAGATAGTTCTTAAAAATGTTATTGTTTAAGAATAATAACTTATATTTAATATATAGAAGTAAATATTTCGATAATATAAAAATTTATTTATATTATATTAATTGTAAATTTCCATGTTATTAAATATAATTAATTTTCAAAATAATTATTAATTGATTGATAATACAAAAAAGTTTTATCACGATAGCATGTCAAGTAAACTATTTTTTTTATTATACATAATTTTTTTCTCATATCTTTTATATTAAAAGTTTGTTTAAAAGTAATGTTGGATAAGATAAAATGGAGAAGTATATTTAACAAAATATGAAAAATGAAAATGCCAGGTGATATACATTCGTTTTATATATTAAAAAAAATAAGACCCATGATCAAGTCATCGTATCAATATAAAATCTTAAATCATTTTTTAATAGTTATCAGTATAAAAAAAGGAAGATTTTGATAATATACTAAAGATAAAGTTTATACCAGTACTAGTGCACAAAAGGAATATCTCACACCGTTGAATTGAAACAACTCTAAATAACACTTCAAAATTCAACAACCCCAATTAAATTATCTTTTCTGCTGTTGAATATCTTGGTTAAATTATCTTGATTAAAACTAAAGATAATAATATAAAACTCTTGTCACTACCATGATCATGGAAATCAAACGTTGAAAATAAACGGAAAGAGTCAAAATTGTGATATTTGAACAGCTTCACATAATTGATAGCGAGAGGGGAGAGAGCCTTCAGCTTAGAGCCTCCTCCCGCGCAGTCGTCCTCCGTCAAGTTTTAAAACGTGGTGCACCTTTGAGTGGGTCCTATAATACAAAATTACCAATACACCCCCATCAAAACTACCCGAATATTCTCACACTATTCTTCACATCACAAAACAACGCCTTTCTTCTCCGCTATATATATAAAAAAACCCTCTCATTGTTCACTTGCAAACTCATCCTTAAACAAAACATGATGTGCGAAGAAGCAACCCGTAAGAAACAGCAATACCAAGTGTTGGAGGAAATCGGTCGTGGCAGGTTCGGCACCGTTTTCCGCTGCTTCCACACCGTTACCAACAATTTCTACGCTTCCAAAGTGATCGATAAACGCCTCCTAACCGATTCCACAGATCGCCAATGCCTCCAAATCGAATCAAAAGTGATGACCTTTCTCTCACCGCACCCCAACATTCTCCAAATCTTCGACTCCTTCGAAGACACCCATTTTTCATCCATCGTCGTCGAGCTCTGCCAACCCCTCACCCTCTTCGACCGCATCTCCGACGGCTCCTTGCCCGAACCCCACGCCGCTTCCCTCATGAAGCAGCTTCTAGAAGCCGTGGCGCATTGCCACGCGCTCGGAATTGCGCATAGAGACATAAAGCCCGACAACCTGCTGTTCGACTCGGGGAACAACCTTAAACTCTCCGACTTTGGATCCGCCGAGTGGTTGGGTGAGGGGAGGAACATGAACGGTGTGGTGGGTACGCCGTATTACGTGGCACCGGAGGTTCTGATGGGAAGAGATTACGACGAGAAAGTGGACGTTTGGAGTAGCGGGGTGATTCTCTACACAATGTTGAGTGGTATTCCACCCTTTTATGGAGACTCTGCTGTTGAGATTTTTGAGGCTGTTGTTAGGGCCAATCTTAGGTTTCCCACAAGAATTTTCAAGTCTGTGTCTGCTCCTGCTAAAGATCTTCTCAGGAAGATGATTTGTAGGGATCCCTCTAGGCGAGTTTCAGCAGAGCAAGCCTTGAGTATGTTCTCTCTATCTTTTTCTCTTTTCTTAATCAAAATTTTCACTTTTTTATTTTATTTTATTTTATATATATTAATGTTTATTGACTTGCATTGCAGGACACCCTTGGATATTGAGTGGGGGTGTGACGAGTGGTGATCTATCTTGAACATGATTCCACCAATTGCCGAAGCTGAAGCAATTTTCTTCATATTTTTAAAACATATATATATATATATATATATATATATATATATATATATATATATATATATATATATATATATCACACACACACCACACTTTCTCCTCCTTGCCTTGCTGTGTATCAAGGAGTTTATGATCTCAGTAGTAAGGTTATTTTTCTAATACTGACTGTGACCACATAGAAGTAGTTTAAAGAATTATAGATTGTATATGTGAGGTGTAGGAAATAAGAATCGCGCATTTCTTTTTCTTTTTTACTATGTAACGAAATGCGTGAACTTTGCTTGGGATTAAGCTTAGTTAAGGAAATATCATTGTATATCAGTAAGTTGTCATTTTCTGAGGTCAACGTTCTGTTCCCCACTTTTATTAATGCCAACAAATAAATGTTTATAAATTTATTTTCTAAATTATATATGGTTGTTATAATATTATTATATTTTAACATTATATATTATAATATAATTATATTTTAACATTATATATTAAATGTTGTTTAATTAATATATTTATTATTTAGTTCATTAATTATCAATCTATTTTAAATTGATCATTGCTTGGTTGTATTTAAACACACATGTATGGCATGTGCCGCCGTGAACTTGGTCAAATTTCTGGCAAACATACACGAACCTTGACGTATCACAGAGACACTCAAATTTAAGGAAGTATGATTGTTGACCAAAAAAACAAGAAGTGTGATCAAATGCTTTCAACATGAATTATGCCGGAATGGAAAATCGAAATTAGAAAAAGTTTTGTTACAACGTTTTAAAGACAATTTAATGAATGAGAAAGATACTGTAATTTATTTTCTAATGCTTAAATTGTTAAACAAAACGTAAATACATTTAAGATCTTAAAAATATAAAAGAAATTTCAATACTTTCTTTCTTCTATGATTCAGAAGGTATAGAATTGTTTTAAAAAATCCTATGATACTTTCTAATGTCTTTCTTAATATTTTTGATATTTTTACATCTATTAAAATATCAGTCTCCCTCGCATCAACGCAATTCTAGCCCTAATCATACGGCATTATAATTTAAGGGAAAGAAAAACTAATATGGGAATAACACTCCTGAATAAACCCTAATGAAACCAAAATCGCTTTTTTATTATTTCTTTTCAGGTCCCTTTAATTATAAAATAACATATGAAGAAAATAAAGCTAAGAAAAGGGATGTTATCAATTAAATTAGAAAAAGAAAGCTGATATTTGATAGAAAGAAAAACAAAGCAAATGATTTGAATCAAGTCATATCTTTGTCCAGCACTCCATTAAACCTTTTGGGATGAATTTACTTTGTTGAATAACTTTTCATTTTCAGATATTATAGTGTCAAAAACGGTCTTTTTAAAAATCCGTCATGTTTATTTTGATATTTTGTATAGTTTAAAAATTTGTTTTTAGAAATATTTGATCATAAAATAAAAATATATCTAAAAATAAATTTCATTTTCCCCTTAATGAGTTTTTAGTTGGATAAATAAATGGTTGAAAAGGATGGAATATACGCTGACGAGTGAAGGAGAAGCACGTCTACTTATGAGGTTTTAGTTTCATTGAAGTCATATGATACGTTCGTGGTCATTTATTCGGAGGAATATTCTTTCCACTATGTTTTGTTTTTTGTTTAGTTCTACGTTTGACCATGGAAAATTGATACTGCTTCTTCAGTGAAGTTTCTTAGTTTACACCTTCGTTGATGTTACGTTGTTTTGTATGTCAAACAAAAATTACTCAATTTTTGTGTTGAAAGTTCGCCATGCTCACATGCACCTTCGGTCACTTGGTATTTCATATTCTATAGCGATTATTTGAACGATCCATAATAATAGTTCATGTGAACAAAAATGAAGGGAACACCGAATAGCACTTGCCAGTTGCATGTGATTAAAAGAAAGAATAGTATCCCATTTTTTTAATTATTATAATCAATTTCTTTTAGAACATAAAATTTGAAATTGAGACCTTACTTTTAAAAAATTAAGAAAATTGACATGTGATTAAAAAAAATGTGAGAATATATCATCAATAGAAATTAAAAGTATTAAATTTATAAAATTAAAAATAACTAAAATAATATTTCATTAATTTTTGAAAGTGAAATATATATTTTTAATAACTTATATGATGTATGAAATTAATTTTAGAAACTAGGCTCACAGTCACAGGCATTGATTGACATGATACGCTATCTTGACTTTTGAGGACTTATCAAGTGGAATGCCTTCGTATCGTATGTATTGGGATTTTGGGAAAGCGTGCAAACTACAATCGGCGTTTGTAAGAATTTGGAACCCTTCTGCAAAAATCAGAACTTGTTACTTAGGATAAAAAGGTACTTTTCTTTATAAATATATCTTAAATTATCAAATTTAAAAACATTTATCAAAAATGAAATTTTACCTTTTATTTTCTAAAACCTACCTCCAAATATATCTTAAATAATAAAACTACCGTTTTCTTTATAATATTTAAATATATAAAACTATAATAATTTTTATAATTATTGTAAGTATATTAATACTAAAGGTTAATTTTTCAAAATGATACTAATCAATTCACAAAAAGTCGGTGAAAGAAGCAACTCCTCGATAGCGTCACACATGCTTGAAGGTGTTATCCTGCCAATAATTATATCAAAAAATATAACCAATCTCATGCCTTAAGTAAATGTAATAATAATCTTCGATCCGTTTGCATGCCATATTGTTAATAAAAAATATATGCTTTAATAATAAATTTTTCTTAATAATTTTTAAATCAAATCAAATTATATTTCAACGCCACCTTGAACGCCTCAGAAGGTTTCCAATTTTTAGTAAGCTGAATTAACTGTTAGCTAATTGAATAATTAAGCAGAAATAATTGTACCTTAGTATCTAATGCTTAGCCCACACATGCCCCAACTGCTAAGCACATTCCCATCCAAGTGACACGTGGGTTACAAAATTGCTTCCAGCATGATATTTTCAGTAAGGAACTAGACAAAACAATTTTCTAATTAATTTATATAATCGAAGTAAATGGATAATTTGGAATGATGTTACATGATCTTGAATATTCCTCTAATAATGGAATAATGGAGAATTATCAAATAATAAACACTATGGAGTACAAGTAATTTGGATTATAAGAAGAATGAAAGTCACTTTCATTTGATCTATCTAGAGAGTTTTGTGTTCTGGGGAGACCTGTTTTGTCGCCTAATAGTTGTTGTCGACAAAATAATACCATGCATGCAAGCGTGGACAAGGCATGGAAGGCACATCACCTTAAGCTTTGTATTATTATTATTAATTGTTTGATTAGTTGATGAGTAGTGATGATGTTAATTAGATTACTAAGAGTGCTCAACCCAAGCAATCAGGCTGTGTAGTTTAATGTTATTTACAATAACTTAGTTCTCTGGTCGGCAGATGATTACGTTTACAAAACACAGCTTATTGTCAAGTAGATGGCACAACTTTTGTCTGTCAGTTCTTTTATTTAGATAATTAAAGATTGATATATATATATATATAATAAAAATTAATATTTTTAATTTCAAGACAAGAATGATAATCTTTCTATGAAAACATATTTTCCTTAAAGTAAGATAACTTCGGTTAAATAAAAAATGAAAATAATTATAATACTAATTATTTAATGTTAAAATAATAAAGTTGAAAATATAAGTATGGTGATGTAATGGAAGGTCAATCGGATATGATTCATTTGAAATTATACAAATTAATGCATAAAATAGGAGTGTAATGAATTATTTGAGGTTGATTCATTTAATTAAATTTGTTTGTTTTAATAAATAACTAAGTGCAAATTTAACTTTTAGTTCAATTAGATAAATGAGGTAAGTTAAATTTCATATGTTTAATATTAAAAATAAAAATATTAATTGTATATAAAAAGCGAGATGATTATTTAATAAATTATAAACTTATCTTAAAAAATTATCATTACATAACTTAAGTTTAAATATATTTTTCCTTTCTCTTGTTTTCAAATATGAAAATATCCATAAATATCAAATTAATAACCTTAAAATAATTTTAAAATTTATTTTATAAATAATAAAAATAAAGTATAAATAACTTCAATAAATTAAATTTAGATGTTATATTTTTTTTAATAAATTAAGCTCAAATAAATTTAAATAAACACACACACACACACAGAGAAGTGTATTTCAATCTTTCACATTAGTAAGATGTATAAACAACCTTTCCATAACTAATCTGTGACTAAACTCGAACTAATTATTATTAATTAGATAATCCCAATCTAATAAATGACAGATTAACTCCTTAATAAAATGACATATTACCCGCACGAGTTATTTTACTCATAGCAATAGGACAATTTTAAGATGTTACGAAATCAAATACTCATTTTGAAATATCAAAATTGAAATGCACACCACCCAAACTTACGGATAGTGAAATGCAGTATTCCTATCAATTCATACGTGTTCTAAGAAATCTATTTAATATATTTCAGAATTTCTGTTCAACATTTATCTTTGGATAAAATAGAACACAGTTCGAGTCTCCATTGCCAAATACCACAAACAAAATATCTTGATATCTAGCATGTTGAAATTGATATCTAAGCACAAAACAAACAGGGTTCATATGCTCGCCTAGAGCAATCACCAATGTTAAAAAACGACAAACAGGAAGTTAACGATATCTAGCAGAACCACCAGTGGGTAGCACCAGCTTTTTGAAAATTGACATGCAAGAATCACCCACCTTGCTTATGACAACAAAACGAGTTAATGTTTGATATTAATTAGCAGCAGAAGGGGGAATAAAATGGATGTAATCCTCCTCATTCTTGCTGTTGGATTTTCCCGCATAAACACCACCACGCGCTTTAGTGTGTCTTTGCTTTTCTTTTCTTTTCTTTGGTAAAAGCCTTGGTGTGCATTTAAGTGATTGTTTTTAAACCTGAGTTTAAAAAGGCACTTAATGGAATATATTTTACTTAAAAATGAGTTTAAATAAATTTATGTTTAAAAGATTTTCTTTTAAAAGAAAATTTGTTGTAAAACTCAGAATAATTATTTTTAACTAACACAAAATATAATTACCTCTACTCAAACGTAAATTTAGTGTAAAAAAAATTTCCAATACAAAGCTTATTTTTACTGTGAATCTAACCTTCGGCCCCTGCGTCAAAATTATATAATTTACAAGAAAAAATGTATACATGTCACCAGGACCATGGAAAAACATCTCCTTGAAATGAGAAAACCAGTAGATCATATAAGAAAGCAAGAACACATGACAAAACTACTAGTTCGTCAGAACCTTATTTGTCTCAGTCCAATGCAGAATCAAATTTTAGGAAGAAATCAAGTAGAAACATAGGATAGATCCCAAACCAAAACATGATTTCTCACAAAAGTAAAAAAAGAAAACCAAAACGAGAAACGAAGAGATTCGACCATGTTTTACCAGCCTCAATTGCCATCCATATGCCAATTGTATAAGCATTTTAAATGGTTCTCAGCAACAGATGCGGATGTATACATCTACGCTTGAGAAGCATACAATTCAGAAAAAATATACCAACTACTAGTGTACAACGAAGACAAGGAGATTAGGGCTCTCCAGCTTGAAAAGCAAATTTGTACCGATGAAAAACAATGGTTTACATAGTACGTGATGGTTTTTCCCTTTGATTTTACAATTCCATAATATCATAGTAGACGAAATGGAACTTGACTTTCCCTTTCTTGCAATCATTAGCAGTTCAAGACCAGCGGACCATTAGTAGCAGCAACCTTTTTGCCAAACCTAATTTCATACTTTCGCACCCAGGAAGGACTGCAATGCATAAAGAGGGAGACAAATTTAGAATACAACGGTAAATGCATAAACTGTGAGAAATGGACAAAAGAAAACATGGACACTATTCAGTACTAAGTGATATAATCGCTTCAATTGATTAACAGATTAGGACATTGAACTTCAGCTAGTTTTTAGCATCACACTAGGTATCCCGACATGACAAACCCGTTGTGTCCCGAACTAATCACCACTTGGGTATCTGAGGTAACGACCTCGGTCATAGGTGCTTCCAAGTCCAAACCAATAAGATTCAAATCCTGCACTGCAGGTAAAATCTGCCTATATGGTATGGTTCATCTATTTTAGCACAAAACCACATACTTTTAACACCCAGAGTATCATAAATGCAACAGCAACCATTAACTGATTAGGGTGGGAACTAAATGAAACAAATACATCTGGTAGCTTTCGTTGCATTCATGATTAAATGAAAACTTCGTTTCTGTTTATTTTCTACACTGCTAAATTCAATTTCTCAAATGTTTCCTAGCATGATATGCACATGAAATAAGATCATTCCAACTATCCTAATTATGTTGGAAATGGCTAAAGTATGGAAATCCTGCAAAACTACCAAACTGAACACAAGGGAAATTTTCATGAAATAACCTATAAAGTAGTAAATGTCTCTTCCAATTACCCAGTCACCTAATCTCAAGCACAACCAACTCATCTGAAAGTTTTATGTAATAATGACAAACACCTATTTCAAGTATTACTTTTCAAAGGTAGAAGCTAGAAATAAATCACATTCACAAATGAATTCTCAGCCAGAAACAAAAGCCAGCCAGTGTGCAAGAAAGTGCAAATTCATCATGAAGACTGACATTCAGAAATATCTACATTTGTCTGAAGGAGCTTAAATCAGAAGACATCTCTCTAAAAGTCACAATCATGAGAAGATATGTACATCGAGCAAGTATTGTCAGCAAATACCTAATTATCCTCCTACCTTTACACCTGCTGGAGAGTTCCCATGCTTAGCAGTAGTGGTACTTCCAAAATTGAGTTTTATTTTTTTCTCAGCTGGCTTTAATATTTGGAAGGAGCACATAAGTGTCTCATCAACACTCATCATAGCACCCGCATTGTCAAACTCCCCACAATAATTAGGTGCTGAAAATATTGTTACAAGCTGTCGGTTAGCAAAGAACTCGTATCCATCCTCCACAACCTGGTCAAAAAAGATTTGAAACAAAACCAATTTATTTTCAATAGTATAGTGGATCAAGACCTACTATCCTCGAATTGAAACACAAAGGCATGTAAAGAACGAAGCATTAGATGCTAAAGCTAATGCATGGCATTACATTATAAGGTGTTTAGGCTTGAAGCATAAAATTGTCACATTTACATGGCAAAAAGCAATTCCCAGTTCAAATAAAATTAAAGCAACAGTAATAATGCCAACAGAGAGATGAGGATTGCCGAAAAAGTAAATACATTTAAGAGTTATTTTAGTCATAGAAATAGAAATGGGTATACAAACTCAATCCCGAAGATCTGGTAACATTAAGTACCAAAGGCAGGAGTTTAACCTGATGAGCACGACAAACAAGATCAAGATCATGTTTCTGAAGAAACTCTGAGACCTTATCAGCACCAAATGTATATGAAACTCCCCTGTCATTCATTCCCCATCCTTGAACATCTTTGCTTGGGTCAGACCAGAGGAGATCACAAAGCAAACCTGTATCAGGAACATCGGTGGGCCGCTGTAGATTTCTAATCTGATCCAAATTATGTAAGTCAGGAGAAAGTCCCCCATGCATACACAAAATCTTTTCATCAACAAGGGCTGCCACAGGTAGGCAATTGAAGCAGTCTGTAAATGTTTTCCATAACCTTACATTGAACCTTCTCTTGCACTCGTCATAAAACCCATATATTCGGTTTATAGAAGCACATTCATGGTTTCCCCTCAACAGGAAAAAGTTCTCAGGATATTTTATTTTATAAGCAAGGAGAAGGCAAATTGTTTCTAAACTCTGCTTCCCTCGATCCACATAATCCCCTAAAAACAGGTAGTTGGCTTCGGGAGGTAATCCACCATACTCAAAAAGCCTTAAAAGATCTGAATACTGCCCATGTACATCACCTGAAACATCAAATAAGGATCATAAGAATTACATCACAAACACGCTACTATTCTATGGTGTACAGTAATATGGTACTGACAAAATCAGCCAGTACAAAATGTTCAATATATGAATTTCACAACAAAAACAAAGCAACATCCTGCTATGTGGACGACCACATGATAGATGCCATGCCAGAATTGACAGAGAACCAATTCATCCAACATCCTTCTATGACCACATGCAGGGTGGGCGGGCTTGTTTATTGTCCTCATTGCAATTCATCCAACATCTTAACCTTTTGGGATCATTGGTTCATGATAGATGCCATGCCAGAATTGACAGAGATGTGTTTGACTTACGTTGAATCTAAAATGTCAGTCACACTCCCTAAGGTTTAATAAAACTTCACCCAATATCCCTCCTTTTTTTTTACCTTACACAAATATCCCTTAAATTATGCACTAAAATAACACCACATACCCTTTTCGATTACACAAATCATCCTTGATTTATTGGGAAATTATATAAATTAAGGAAGGTTGAAGTAATGTAAAAAAAGGGAGGAGTTTTGGTGGGTGAGATTAAGTCAAACCTTAGGGGCTGCTAATGTAATTTACCCAATATAATGTTAATAATTAGAGATGCCATAATCTTAATACAAAAAAAATTCAGGCTTTTCAAATCAATCCACAACACCAACAAGTAAAAACACAACAGTTTTAGCAAATAACTTTTGCAAACCAGTAATATCAGAATCAGAAGCAAAAATTGACATCTCACGGGAATAAATACATCAATGAACAGAAATTGTATTGGCAAGAATTGGAAGAGTGCTAAAAAAATATCTTATGATGCATGATATTGCAATTTAAGTTAAGCTAACCTAACATGAGATAAATTGTTACTACAAGATCAGTGATGTTAATTGAGGTGCTTTTCATGTAAATCTATCAAATTTTCATTAAAATCACACAGTATGAAATCCAGAAAACAAATGAAGCAAAATCTCAAAGCTCGCATTATATGATTATTTACTCCAATTCATACATTCATAAAGGACATACAAACACAAAAGAAAATTTCAATTTTCGTTATGTTCCGCCAATAAATAACATCTCATTGCTAATGCAGTCCAGAACAAACTCATCACTGATCAGTAAGCGTACAAAAGGTAACCAGATGATCATAAAAACATAACGGAGCTTGCAATTTAACTCATGGAAGGAAATCATAGCGCAATGCATCCCAAGATAAAAAAACTCATACATGGCATCTCAAAGCACACTACATGTTATTCGCTCCCATACATAGATTCGTCAAGGACATGGAAAGATAAAGGACAGACTTCAATCAAATACATGTTCCACAAAGAGAGAACACTTCATTGCCATCGTAATCAGGATTTTCTACAGTTGTACAGCAGGGTGCCGTTAGAGAAAGGCAGAGGAGGAATAAGAAAAAGAAAAACACGTGGCTCCCACAATTTCAAAAATCATAAAATTCAACTGCACATGCAGTTCAGTACACACCAATCAAGTAATCCCTACCAATCCAGTTCAAAACACACTCATCAGTAAGTATGCAAAGGGCAATCATATAAACACAATAAAGCATGCAATTTAAAGCAAAGATTTATAAACAAATAAATAAATAAGCTAAAGCACCCCAACACTGAAAATCCATACATAACGAAAAACCAAAACCTCGTTATTTTAGGTTATTACTTTTCCTAGAAGAGTAGAGACCACAAAATCATTTAAAAATTTGGAACAAGAAGAACTCAGATCATGTCCAACTTCAAACCCCAAACTTAAGAAAAATCATTAACGCTAACGAAATAAGATGATAAAGATGTTGCCATGGCGAAGTAATAAGAAAGGGGGGAAACAGTGAGAGAATACCACAAATCTTGATAGGTGCTTCGAGCTCCAATAAATTAGGTTGTTGTAAGAAAATCTCTCTAGAAACTACGCAGAGTTGACGGATCTCGGACTCCGATAGCTGCACCTGCTTCCCCGGACGGTTTCGAACTTCGAGCAAGCGATTGATTATGTCATCCAAAACTGATTGCTCCATTTTCTTCTTCTTCCACGAAAGTCAACGTCTCTCTCTCTATTCGATGCGAAGATGCAGAGAAGAGACACAGTAGAAGGAGTGAGGGAAAAAGATGAACATCAGAACATGGCTGGCTGAGGTGAAGAAGACGAAGACGAAGACGAAGACGAAGACGATGATGAATGAAATGTTGAGAGTGGCGGAGCGGTGTCGTTTCAGGATCACATCCCTTTCAGAGAAAAAGAGAGCCTTTATTTCCTTTCTTTTTAGTATTTATTGATTATTGATAATTCAATTTCAAGCGTATAACTCATTATTTATTATATCATAATTCCTTCCTTTCTTCAAAAGAGAGTCTTCCAGTCACCCCCAGAGACACTTCCTCCGTTAAATCTTAAGAAACAATAACCTTTTTCAATTTTTTATCAACAAAACTTTAATACTCTCTCCATTCTCTTTTTCAGCGATCAACAACTCCTATCAACCCTTTTAATCTTTTTCTCCTAAATTACAATAATATTCAATCAACTTTATTTTTAATACCAATGTTCTTATTAATTTAATAGAATAAAACAATTTATCTTGTTTTATTTACTTTTTATACACGTTGATATATAGTTTATTTATTTTGTTACTATAGTTCAAATTTTTATATAAAGGATTATTAAGTTAAGAAACCAAATATGATAACTTTTTTATTATAATTTTAATATTTTTATAAAAATTATACGAATATTTATAATAAAATATTAAAAATATTTTAAATATATTTTTTAAAAAAATAAATTTTAAAAAGTGTGTAAAATATATTTTAATCATTTTATAAAAAAATAAATTGAATAAAATTATTATAATTTAATATCAAATTTTGATGATATCATAAAAAATTATCATCCTCTCATCGTATTACATAACTTTGTTATCAAGTATTTTTTATCAAAGTAAAAAAAGAATTCTTTCTCCCTTTCTTAAAAAAATAAAATACAGAGGCATGTATCCAGTGATTTACATTTAAAATTATTTTTTGTATTTTAAATTTATATTTACATATGGTTATAATTGAGTCTAATGTAGGTTTAATTTAACTTTTGCTATTTCTCTTTTTTAAAAAATAGAAATTTAACCAGATATAATTTTAGAAGAGAATCTTACAAATAAAAACAACGTTTTAATAAAAATCCTTAAAAAAATGTTTTATATAGATTAATTGGATGAATTTTTTTAACTTTGGAAAGAAAGAAAGTAAAATAAATAAAAAGAATCAAATATTACAAAATCTGATCAATTTGAGTTAACTCGAAAATATTGAATTGAATAATTTGCTTAGAATCTAGATTGGAATTAAAAAGACAAAATCAATAATTATCCGATTATCTCGTAAGTCTTAACCTCTATTTGTTTAGCAAGGAGGAAAGTGAAGAAAAAGACAAAAAATAAATAGAAGAAAATACATTATTTTTATTTTATCTACTTTCTTATTTAAATAAATAATTAAATCGAGACATTTTAAACCTAAAAAACAAACTAACGTGTGTAAAGAAAATAATAATAATAAAAAAAGTTGCATAGACATAATCGGGGCACTTCGTTCTCCTTTGAAAAAAATGACCAAATTCAGAAAACATTACCAAATCAGAGAAAAACCTTTCTCTCCCTTCGGATGCCGTTTATCATTCGTCCGTCTTTATCGTGCACCATCACACATTGTCGTTTACTGTTATATTTTCTTGCTTTTCTCTTCGAAAATTGCATAATGCTTCCCTAGTAGAAGCTTATGTATCCAACTTCAGTGGAAAAGCTCATATCTGGTTAAAGGGTTTTGCTTCAGAATTTAATTTGGGCCTAACTTTTTTTTTTTTAAAATGTTTATTAAAAGCTTAGAAGGGCCCCTCTACTGAAATGTTACTTTATTTTACGATCAAATTCAAATATCCGAAACAATTAAAATAAATTCACGGGACATGTCACTTTTTTTAATTTGTTTGTTTCATCGAAACACAGGCAAAAAGAATCTTTGCTGCATCAAAGCAATAAATTTGCTTTGACCCTGTTTAAGCCCCCTTCTGCTCATTATCCATAATTAAGTATATCACAACTATAATTTACGATAAAAATTGACAAATGATTATTAGCAGTTAATAATATTTTGAGCTTAAATGAAAAGTTTATCAACAATATTTAAGCTAAGAAAAGGCCTAAACGTATTGTTGCCGAAGACTCTTTTTAATACCTGTAATTGATTACTTTAATTGTAATTTTAAAATCGACTCCTAATGTCTTATCTGACTTGTAGTTACATGATGATTGGTTTAACATTCTTTTAAACATTTCAACGTTTTTACGAAAAAAGAACAGAAGTCTCAACATTTTTCGACTTTCAAGTTTTAAGAGAATAACACTTAATGGCAATAATTAATACATTCACTCCAATTATAGATTTGTAAATTTAAAAACTCAAATTAGAAGGATAACACTCAATGGCAATAAACCTCTGAATTTGAATATTCACTAAAGCTATATAAACTTCAAGATCAACAAATTGCCGACTAGACTTTCTACAACAAGACTTTGTCTTATTTCGCTGAAAATGATTCACAGATTCCACGTAAACGGGACAATCTTAACTAAATCGAAGCATACAAATCACAACTAATAATAACGATAAAAACAAACTGTAGCCAGAGTAGTTCCAGTTGCCGTTTATATTACGAATTAGAAAATACATAATTCTTAGGGTCGGAAAAAAACCTTGTCACATACAATTAAAGTAGCACAATATTAATATTTTTACCATTGTTTTTTTGAAATATATATGAGTATTAACGAATGTCTAAGAACATAAATTAAGGAACGTGGACAGTAGAAAAATTATGTCGGTTTTTGTCATGTTAGCTAATATAAAGTACAAAAAATATAAAATAAAACTCGTGTATTTTTTTTATTTTTTTTAATTCTTAGTTACATAACTTACATTCACTCGTTCTTATATGATACATAGGATTTAATAACAAGTTATGATAGACTTGGTAAATTGTTTTACAAGGTATAAAGTTGAAGGGTGGAGCATATATTATATGGTATTGAAGTAGCCACTAGAAAACATGGATATGAATGAATATCTTGGGACAGGGTAAGGTGTTCCAAATACTCTGCCCCTAAAAAAGCAGGACATCAACATTTTGCATATTTTTTAACCTTCTTTCTCTGCAATTTTCTCTGAATGGAGTGTCTCTTTTTTAACTCCAAAACGGGAGAGAGGCCTCCATGAAAAGCATCATAATCATAGTTCATGTTCTGAAGTGATTGGTGAACCATTTCGGCTGGGAAATTCAACACAGCCATTGACCCGCGCATTGCTAACGCAGCTTGGTCGTAAGCCAAAGCAGCAGCCTCGGCAGTGTCGAAGGTTCCCAACCAAACCCTCTCTCCGTTCCTCGTTGAGTCCCTTATCTCTGCGGCGAACTTCCCCCACGGCCTCCTTCGAACTCCTCTGTATGAAACGGGGGAACTCGATTCATGAGACTCTGCTGTTGCTGATTCCAAAGACTCTGCACCAGCCTCTGCCAGAACCTCGTAAAGAAGCATTTCCTCTGAGTCATTTTCGTTGAAAGGAAGGAAGGGAAATTCAAGGTTTGAGTTTGAAAAAATGAAAGACGAATCCATTCCCAACTCCAAATTAACAAGCTAAAATAGTGATTGTTTAGAGCTCTGTTTGTTCTGTTCTGTTCTAGAATTAGGAATAGTTTGGTGTGCGCGCTTATATATAGCCGTGCGATGCTTGGCATAGAGAAGGGATGATTTCATGAATGCATGGCCATTTGTGGTGGTTGATGGGACCCAAATGTTAAAGATGGATGCACGTGAGTCAAAGGACTTGAATGGCGGCTAGGGCCAGGTGGGGTTCATTCAACGTTGCATGACATCAAATTTATGTTTTGGAAGTTTTTATACTCTTTGGAGTGGCTATATACATTCAGACTCGTACCATTTTTTGTTGTCTTTTTCTCTTTCACATTACTGCTATACATAACCACTGCCCAAAGTCATGTTCGATTGAATAAGGAACCATTGAAAGGTTGTCCCGGGTAACATCTGAATTTCTATCTCCACGATCAAACAATGCTTATATCTGTCTTTCATTGGTTAATTTTGGATTCAAATGTTTCGTGCTGATTTTATTTATTTTGATTCGCATAATTTGTTTTATTTTGGAGCATCTTTTATTCGTCTTTATATATATATATATATATATATATAGTTGAAACATGTCACGGTCTCACAAAGATACAAAAGTGAAGAGCCAGGTTCATGGCATGGTGGATCTCGATTAGTTTTGGTCAAGCTTCCCTTTGAGCTTATCCTGTGATTGGGCCAATTCGGAACACTAAGTAACCGATAATTTTAAATATAAGGAGCCAAATAAAACTCTTTCAGAGAATGTATTATTGAACTGTCCTATGAATTTTATTAGAAAACTGGCTCCTAGCTAGCTGATTGAAAGCAACTTTCAAAGGAGAAAAGAATGTAACAGGAATTAAAACGAGGAGCGTAACAAGCCACAGGAAAAGAACACAGCAAAGAGGAACTACCTAGGCATGGATAGGGTACACTTTACTTTTCTCTGTCATTTTGGGAGTTGTTTGGTAATATAGGTGGTGGGAGCATGATCATGGTCCCCCCCCACTCATATGATAAATGATGCACTAGAATTAACTCATGCACGATTAAACACCTTTTTATTAAAAACAGTTTATAGTTTTATAAGAAAATTTATATTTTTTCAATTTATTTTAATAAATTTTTCATATAACTTTTTAAATCAGGTTCTTTTTATATTTTATGTTGATACCCAAACACATTTTTAATAGGAATGCTTTTACAAATAAAAATGCTTTTGCTTTATTACTGCGTATTATTTATTCAAAAATGTATTAGGGCACCGAAATTTTTGTATAAGTTTTCATCAGTTAATGGTTTTGTTATTTATTGATATAAAACTAGTTATCAAACTAATGATTTAATTATATTTAGCTAATCAGTGATAAATGATTAATCTGTTAATTACTGTATATATCTTATTAATTTACCCTTAAGTTATACAATTTACACGTAATTCATATATATTGATTTCTCTCAAATATGACAACGTAAATTTATTTAATTTTAAATTTTAACATATTATATTAAATTAATATGATTTAATTTATATTATTTTTAAAATCATTTTTCACTTAACATATCCTAACATAAAATTTATTTCGCATAGTTAATTATTATAACAATCGCTTATTAAAACAACCTGTTGTTTTTTAACTAATTCAAATACACAAAGTAATTTTAACACAAAAAAAAAAGGAAGAGAAAGGAAAGGAAAGAAAGTGGAAAATAAATGGAACAACGCATGCAAATGGTCCGTTCCATAATTTGGAATGGTTTAGATAAATGCATGAACCTGTAGCCGTTTTTGACAATTGATGCTGAAATGTTTTACGATCAATTATGTTCACTGATTTAACGCAACACGACGTTGCCGGAGAAATTGTAGTTTCTTTGAAATTAATATATGCAAATTTATGAGGTGATCTGGATTTTAAACTTTTTTTTAATATGTGGAATATGAAAGTAATTTGGATAATATATGAAGAACTGAAGGGTGTTATTAAGATTACTGTATGAGCTCCATCTAACAGTGAGAGAATGTTTAAGTGATTCAATTGGTAATTTTAAAATTAAAGCCAAGAATTGATGATGATGAATCCGTTGCTTTCTTCATTGTATATTAATTTTAATGAATCGCTTCTTCCACGGACAAGAATAAATTGAAATCAGAGGCTAATGCAAGACTAAATAGAGCTTTCAAACCTTTCCTAGTTAGGTTGAATGTTGAAACTTGGATACCATCATGTTTATTATCACTTATTTTTTTTTGTAATTTTATCATTATTTTTAATTAAAAATTATGTTTATTAATTTTTTAATTAATACTCTTAAGATATTAACATGATATAATACCCAATACCAATAATTACTGCTCTTCCATTTGCTTTATATTGTTTCATAAAATGAAAGGTTCATAATTCCAGCTTGTTGCTGGCTTCATCTTTTGGAAAAAGATGGTCAGCCATTCCTTCTTACAGTCAAATATGAATGGAAAGGGAATTAGATTAAGACGTAATAATAATTGTGTTCCTTAAAAATTCACATTACATGCCGTTGTCTCCTGATTAAGAGATCGTTGGTCAAACCAAGACTTGCCTAAGAAACTGGTGAGGTTTCATAAATTTTTTGAAAGAATGTTATTCAGTATTTTAGTTAAAGAAAAGATAATATATAGTCATTATATTTCTTTTTATCTATCATTTAAGGGATCATAACTATTAAGTTAATTAGGAGGATGTGATCTACCCTTTTTCGTTGACCAAAAATGTATCATACACGTTGGTTTTGACTGTTTGAGTTAGTGCTCACATAATGATTCAAAAAGAATAGTTAGCACTCAATCTCACATGTATTAAGTTAGTTTCACACATCAATAAGACAATAACTAAAGCTACCTCTAATGGCTGGATATCAATATCATCATATAAATTCCCCGGTTTTTCTTTTTGGGTAAAAATCGGTGGGCTTTGGTAAGCACTTTGAGGCCACCCAATGTGGTCTTGAATAAGGACAGTGAAGAAATGAGCGTAAGAGACTAGAGTTATAGTAGTGGGTGGGTCAGAGATTCCACACAACCAAACACAAATAGGTCACAGTTTAGGGATTAAGGTTAACAAAATAATAGATATATTATGCAAGTATAAGTAATGTGTTACTTAACTGTATCATAAAAATATGAGTAATCAATCGTCTCTGAATTTGAACTCACTTAATGAATAACTATTCTATCTACTATTATAGATAGTTTTTATAGATACTCGTTAAGTTAGGTTCAATTAACATCTCTAATTTTGTAAAGCATAATGCGCTCTATATTTGATGATAGTTGTGACCGATTAACGAGAGTTACTGATATATACCCTTCACCGCATTCGATCTCTTCTTTGGGCTTGGGGCTCCAACTATGAGCCTCTTAGCATGCTAGATTGTAAAGGACAAGTTAATTAAAAACAAATCATCTTACATATTTCAAGTTGTAATTTTCTGATACATCTGTTGCAAGTTTGCTAAGAGGCAAGAGATTTCGTATATCAAACAGTTGCCATAGATGCTGATGTTGAACCAAGCGTTTACACGTAGGTATATAATAATAATAATAATAATAATAATAATAATAATAATAATTAAAGAACTAAAGAGACATCACTTATGAGTAAAATTTAAAGATAATACTTACGACATGCTAAGAGACCTGATTCATTAACCAGTCAAAGCACTATAATTTGTCCACCTCATGCCTAGTTATGCTTCAGCTTTTTAAACTGTGGTGTCTCCTTTGCTTCGGCTTCTGATTCTTTCTCTTCTATGATCTCTTGGGCCATTGAATCTTCTATTATAACTTCTCTGGGCTTTTCCTCTGTCACCACTTCCATGATCTCAACTATAATCGGAGCTTTAGTTTGTGAAGCACTTTGGGCGTGTATTTCTGTTGCTGCTATATACGATATTAAGAATACACGATGTTCATCTTTCTACAAATTACTGAGTAAATAACTTATTCTACAAATCTACAATGACAATAAAGATGACCAAAGTTCATTTTTTCTCCTTATTTTTCTTTTAATGTGTTTGGTTTTGGTCCAGTTTGTTTTAAGAGAAGTCATAATAAATTTAGATTAAGTGCTGCATATAATCTAATGTATAATGAAACCAGATTATTTCCTTTTGCACTAATGTGCACTGAAAAAGTAAAATTTTACTCTACTAACACAATATTCGCTTAATTAACTTTTAAAATATTAAACCGAATGACAAATCAATTTTTCATGGTCATTGTACAAAATATAAAATAAACTAAACGTGTGATTGTGTGAGCGTTTGTAAATTTGAGTTGTAATGAACTTAATTACGTTAAATTAATTTTTAGAGAATTATGAAAGTATTGGAAAGATTATAATTCTATTTGTTTCTCCATTAATCGAGTGCAACGAAGGTCTACAACTTGGGACGACTTCTTTTGGGCTTTCAGTCTGTGTACTCAGTAGGCATCTTTTTCCTACCTTCGTTATCGTTGCTGTGTATGACTTCAATCTACTGCCTCAATCTACGAATCACCTATTTATTATACTCTCTTAAGAAGTCATTCACACTGAACAGTAACATATATGAATTTAACATCTCATGACACATCCTTGCACCAAAGATTACATAGATCTTTGCTTTAGTTATCTGCTATCTGCCCACAATCTTCTATTACCACAATTTCCGACGTCTGACCACTTCCCGAACCCACTTGCTCCATCTTCTTCACTACATTGAAACCATCTACAACTTTTCCAAACACTACATGTTTTCCATCAAGCCACGGTGTAATTGCAGTGCATATGAAGAACTGAGAACCATTTGTATGGGGCCCAGCATTAGCCATGGAAAGAATGCCTGGGCCAGTATGCTTCAACTGGAAGTTTTCATCTTCAAATTTGGAACCATAAATGGACTCTCCCCCAGTCCCATTCCCCCTGGTAAAATCTCCACCCTGACACATGAATCCCGGAATAATACGATGAAATGTGGATCCTTTGAAGTGTACGGGTTTCCCAGCTCTCCCAATCCCCTTTTCCCCGGTGCAGAGAGCTCTGAAGTTTTCGGCTGTTTTTGGGGTGACATCAGCAGACAACTCCATCACTACTCGCCCAGCTTTCATCCTTCCAATTACAATATCAAAGAAAACTTTTGGATTTCTCATCTTCATACTACTTTCTCTGCCTACAAAAACGAATTTTCCTCGTTCATATACATAACATTGCAAAATATCAAAGTTAATGAAAATAAACTTTAACCAAGCTCTTTGAAAGAGTATTTTATCAACTAATAATTTTAAGATTTTATAAAAAACATTTATCACACTTTTACAATTTTAATGTAATAAACATTAACTATTTATGGATCCTTCTACTCGAGGTTAACAAAAGCCTAATATTAACAACAAGGTATTGCAGAATCGATGCATTATTGGTTACAGCTGAAAAGCTGATAGCATATCGATACACCAAATATTGTTCTAACAAATGCTACGAAATAACACACGCTTCAAATTCAATATCCCATAAATAAGATGTATAAAAAATCCCCTAAATAATATTCAATTTCTGTTTTTGCTTTTTTCATGACTAAAATGTTTGCCACAATGAAGAACTGTTGTTCTCACACGAATAATCGGAACACAGCAAAAGACATTCATAGTGGCAACATTAGATGTAGCTTAGGTTTATGTTATGTGCTAACGTCATAGCTAATCAGCACAAGACCGTCCATAAGCACCGAATTTAATCGAAAAGAGACTAAACCCTAAATAGTGCAAAACAAACCACAAAACTGCATATTTTTTTTATATGTTCATCATTCAGCGTAAATCCCCAAGATAGGCGCATCAAGAGGACCTGATTTGAAAAGAGAATGACATGCGATTTGGCACATCTATTGAACTCACAGGCTATAGTGCAACGCCAGCAAGTCTTCGATATGTGCGATATCGATATATAAAAATGGAGGAAGTTGAAAAATAAGTACCTTCGGCTCGAGCCTGAGGTTGAAGCTTGAAATGATGAACAAAAGGGGCGCAACAATGGATTATAAAGCTCATGCTGCAGGGTTTAGGGTTTTGCATCATATTTGTGGGCTGGGCTTATACTCCAGGCCTATTAAAAGCCCAATTACCAGTGTTTTTTTTTTTTTCACATTATATCTCACACAATCCGACCATCTATTCATAACTAGATAATTGTTGGGTAATCAAATGGTGCTAAAAAATAATACTATATTATACCTAAATAATAATTATTATTTAGTAATGCGTGAACAATTTAATTTGTTCACATAATAAAGTTAAGTTAAAATGTATAAAATCGTAGAAATAGTGTTACATAGTGGTGAAAAACTTGTTCAAAATTAATCACTACAAACAGTGTAAAAAAAAACAATAATATCTCCCTAGCCGCATCTATATTGTTAACTTTTTTTCGATTTTAAACATGTAAAATGGTATTTTAAAAAAATTAATGTGGATTATATTTTTAATGTAACAAATATTTTTTTAATAAAAATGTACAATTTTTAGTTATTTAAAATAAACTAAAATTGAACTTAATATTTTAAATAAATATGCACGCATATAAAAGTAAACTAGACTGAGAAATTGATATTACACGTACTCCAACCCTTTGATATTCATCCTTCTTTTGGATTTTTGATGTATAAAATTAAAATTGATATGATTGTGTGTATTTAAACTAAAACAAAGCATTCCACTTCCCAGAAAATATTTTAAAAAACTAAATATTATTCATTAGTTAAACTCTCATTCGTCATTACTTTCAGTATTATATTATTGAGTTGATAAGGTACCAAAGAAAGATTATTGAGTTGATTAGTGTGTAGAATCAAATAGTCCCTCTTGCGGCTCTTGCAAATAGAATAATATTGCTTTGGTAGGAGAGGGATGTATATTGGAAATAAATAATCAAATATCAGTTAGAAAAGATGGGTGTAATAATAATGGATCAAATAGCTTTTGACATTTATTTGAAGTTAAACTTGTAAGAAGAATAAATGAATAATAGTTGAAAGAATATGTTAGGATAGGTTAGTAGCCGAAAAAGTTTTGCAACGATTGACACGCGAAGAAAGGCAAAGAACTCAAACTCTTACTTGTACTGTAATGTATTGTAGTAACTAATAAAGTTAAAATTAGCCAGTAAGTACCCATCCTCTTACTTATGTCATCATTGTCGAAACGCGAGCAATGACGTGCACCCCAACTTCTCTACCGCACACAATCCCACCCCAACACATAAACTAAACTCAACCCTAATTAGCTCATTCCCAACACCATCCATTATTTTTTATTTCCACATTGTTTTCCCGTTTTTGAGTCATCTTACAAGAACCTTAGCTCCCCCACTAGAACCCAACCCACTACAATATTATTACTATTAATTGCTCTTCATATTCTTCTATCTATCTTATCATATATATTTCTTCAACATAAAAGAGTGAGTTTGATGCAGCATCGACAAATTAATATGGCGAACCGGTGGTGGACCGACTCGGTTGGGCTGGGCGGGGTTGACACCTCTTCTTCCCCCATCAAAAAACCGGATCTGGGCTTTTCCATAAACGACACCGTATCGGCACCACCCACAGTGAACCACGGCGCAGAAGAGAAAGAAAACAGTGAAGATCCCAAAGAGGGAGCCATAGAGGTCTCAACACCACGCAGGCCCAGGGGCCGCCCACCGGGCTCCAAGAACAAGCCCATACCGCCCATATTCGTGACCCGCGACAGCCCTAACGTTCTCCGAAGCCACGTCATGGAGATAGCAAACGGAACTGACATCGCTGACAGCCTCAGTCAGTTCGCCAGAAAACGCCAAAGAGGTATCTGCGTTCTCAGCGCCACCGGCACCGTCGCCAACGTCACTCTCCGGCACCCAACCGCTCCCGGCGCCGTCATGCCACTCCACGGCCGGTTCGAGATCATTTCGCTGACCGGTTCGTTCTTGCCTGGACCGTCCCCACCCGGTTCGAGCGGTTTGACCGTTTACATGGCGGGAGGACAGGGACAAGTTGTTGGCGGTGGAGTGGTGGGTCCATTGGTGGCTTCAGGAGCGGTTATGATAATGGTGGCTACGTTTTCCAATGCTGTGTATGAGAGATTACCTATTGAGGATGATGAAGACGATGAAGGACATGGTGGGGTGGTTCGTGGAGAGGGTTCGTCCTCGAATCTGATGTATAATAGTAACAATTTGGATTTGGGTGGTGCTCCGAATCTGCAACAGTTGAATCATGAAGCTTATTCTCCTTGGTCGCTTGGTCATGCTAGACCACCCTTTTGAATTTTATGAACATCTTCAACTTACTTTCTCTTTTCTGTTGTTGTTGAACGGTGAATGTTTAGTCAAACGAGACGACAATTGATAAGTATGTTAATTTTATATATTCTTATGTATATTTTCACGTTACTGCAACAGCGATCATATGATCTAAAATCCTTTTGTTTCTTTTCTCTCTCTCTCTCTCTCTCTCTCTTTTGGTTTATAGGTTTCTTCTCTTTCGTTATCTCTTGTATCTGATCATGATACTGCCAATTCAGGTATTTTTATGTGCTTAGTTCATTAATCAAACTTGTAATGTTAATTTATGATTCAAGACAAATATAGGTGATCATTTTAGTGAATTTGCTAGCTAAAAGGATGTTACAACGTAGATGAGGAGTTTTTTATTCTTTGAAATTTGTCAAGTAATAGTGTGAGACTGAGTTTTTGAAGTTTTAATCCATTGTGTATATCAACTGGTTAAAGTATTAGTTATATCATCTGCAAAAGAAAGACTTTAAAAGCATCCCATGTACATTTCTATATTAATTTCATTCCGTCAGAGCTGAATCTTTTCTCCCTCTAAAAGAGAAGAAGATGATTTTGTTTATGTGGGTTGCCATTATATTGCAGTTGATCATTCCTTATCATTGCTTCTTAATTAATTTATGTAGAAAAGTAAACGACACGTACTTGAATATATGTAAAATTATATTAAACTTTTAGATATTTCATTCTCACATGTACAATTAACGTTATCCCACATGTTATTACTATTTTGTATAATTATAATATAGTATCATCTTCTGCACTTATACATATGATCATGATTTAAAATTTGCTAGGTGTAGTCTCACTCCTGCGTCGTGTAGCGATTTCGGAAAAATACTCCCGTTTCATCTTAACAATCCGCATAGGATCATATGTTAAATGAAATCGCTACTCAATTAATAATACAAAAGAAAGGATCAACGAGTACCATCCCTCATGTTTATAATTTATAAATAAAACTAAAAGAAATTATTCATATATACAAATTAAGTTGGCGCTTGATTGGAAATAAATGGATTACCAAAAACAAAGTAAACTATGCATAGAACTTAATTAGACTCATGTAAGTATTAATATATGATTGGAATAAAGGATGCGATTTTTAGTTCTTAACCTTTTTTCCCATTGATTCCGTTCCTAGTCTTGATTTTTCATACTTTTGGGCTTCTGCTGACTATAATTTTTTTTTTTCTGGTAAAAGAAACCGTATAGGAACAAAGAACATAAGTTATTACATTTTAAAGAACCAAATTATATATTATTAATTCACGAATTCATTGAAAAATAAGTAAAATAAAACACTTTCTGAATCCTAACCCCCACTATCTAAAATAAAGAAAAAAAAAAGTTGCATTCCTCCTTTATATATAATTGCAGTTATGTCATTATTCATGCTAACACAAAATCTCCAGAATTAAAAAGACACGAGAAAAAATGCAGAAAGCATTTATTTGCAATACCAACCATATTCAGTTCATTATATATATATAAAAAGAAATCACAAGCAGGAACTGCATTTATAGAGCTGGGAATTGGGGGAAACTTATCGTGCAGGTAATAAGGAGTAGCCTTCTAGCTATGATGTGAGATCTGAGGTATCTCTTTCCATCCCATTTCTACTTGTCATTGAACCCAGAAATTAATTATATATTATTGTATATCAGTTTATATTTTCTTTTTTTTCGTAACTGTTGAAACCAGAAAACCGTTAACAAAGTGCGCAACAAAGTACAAAATATACACTTTAAAACAAAGTTACACCCAGAAACTTTATCTGCTTGGAAGAAAAAACAGCGGATAAAATATGTGTACGATTGAAAATGTAAGCCTTTTGGAGCTAATGACATCACTAGATAACAATGTGATATTTCTTCTTCATGCATGGGACAATCAATATACGGTGTGGTTGGTAAGTCAAAAGTATGACTAGCAAACTCTTAAACAAACTTGAGCTCAGTACCATTTATCGGAACGCTTTACACAGTCCATTACACATTTTTTCCATTTTTTTATTGGGGGTTAACGCAAAACATTATGGTCAGAATCAGTGAATTTGGTTTAAAGGTATGTTTTCTTGACACTCAAAGTATCCAAAGTAATTCAAGAGAACGTGGAGGACCCAGTTCACATGGCTTCACATGTCAGTGTTTTGGAACACTAATTTATTATTCATTACTCCGATACAACATTCCAATCGTAAAGTAGTGATGATGTTGCCCCACTCAGGAGTAAGGGTTCAATATAACACTTGAATAAAGACTTACCAACGAATCCTTTATCCTATTGTAATTTTACACGTTGTTCATCATTTTAGGTGTCAAGTTATATATGCCTACGATCATAACACCTAGTAATTAATTTAAAAGTCTAATAACCTAATTATTAATATTTTATATATAGGTCAATTGGTGGGTCATTTTTTTCATTATGGTTTTTGTAAAATAAAATTACAAAAATATAGTATTTTTTTTACAAAATTACATAAATATGGTGTATATAAAAACATCAATGACGATTTTAAGGCGAAAAAAATAAAATCTAATAAAGTAAATTCATCATTAGCGATTTTACAGTACAAAAAGATAAAATTTGATAAAGTAAAATCGCCATTGACGAGTTTATTTTATCAGAAAAGTAAATATGACTGGTAAAAATTATTAATGGCGATTTATATTATTGAAAAAACATTCACTTTTTTAAACTCGCCAATGGCGACTTTTGACCAATGTAAATTTTTAAAAAATGTCATAAAATGCCATTGGCGATTTTTATTTGATGAGGCTGTAAATACTAGAATTTTCGTTCATTGTAATTTGTCACTATAAACATTTGAAGTTCTTAGAGAGTGTGTGTGAAACTTATGTGTTTATAAAAATAAAAGATGAGTGTGTCTATTGTGATTTATTTTAACGGTGAAATTATACCAAATACGAGTGAAGGTATTTCATTTGCATGCGAGAAACTAACATGTGTGTATATTTCATATAATGTATCATTTGAAGATTTAAAGTGTTGACTTTGTCAATATGTTCATGAAGTTCTGTTTCTAAAAATAGTGGAAAGTGTTATGTATCGATGTCTAGTGTCAGCAATTTTATGCAATATCATTCAATTCCAATAACCAAAGATGATGACATTCAACAAATGTTTTAGATACATCAACAACGTCATCCTCCAAGTGGTACAATTGAGTTGTATGTTGTTTTTAAAAGTAATGAGGTTCAAGAAAAATTTGTCATACTACTAGAGAACAACAGTGAAAGCGATGACTATGACTTTGAATGAGATTATCAAAGTGATGAGGATATTAATAATGATGCTGATAAAGAGGAGCTGGGCAACATCCTTTTGGCGAACTACCCTTCATGCGTGAATTAGATCTTGATGTTATAGATGTTTTTGAGTTTCAAGAGTATGCAAACTTAGGTATGTGAAATTTGTAATTATATTAGTGAGATTAATTTTAGTTTTGTTAATTAGTTTATGTTCGTTATTAGTAGGTAATACAAAGATAAATGGTGAACTGTATGTTAGAAGGCAATTTAGTGACAAAAAAGCTATTATAAAAACAGTAAAACATTACAGTAGTGTTAATTCCTATTAAGAAAGGTTTGTATAAATATTATGATGTAACATAATAATAAGATTTAGTATAACTCTTTACCTCATTAACCTCCATTTGATTCAATGCTAATCTAATATTGTGAAGATTCTTAAATGGAGTATTTGCTTGATATATAAGAGCAAGTAGAAATATTATTGGTTGTCCTAGGATTGGAGCTAGCCATGAAAGGCAATGTCATGCCCACACCTGCAAAAGTATCAAGCAGCCACAAATTTCTTTAGCATCATGTCTAGAAGCACGATCTAACTCTCTATAAAGAGAGGTCAAGCATGCTGATCCCCAATTGTATTTGCCAATTTTATTTGCATCTGTTAACAATTGCAAGAACTTTGCATATATCACTAAATTACTTTTATTTGGCATCAAAACATGTTCCAACAAGAAAAGAATATACCCATGAACATGTTGTAACCTAATGTCAGAATTCAAAGGAAGTCAATCAAGGTGTTGTGATAGTTACTTTAATCTAATTTCTGATCCGTCAATGTCGTTTGAATCAAGTCGATCTCCTATTAAATTTTCACACATATCCTGTACTACAACAGTAAAGGGATTTGTAGAATCAATCACTGCTGTACCATTGATCTTAAGTCCAAGTAACATATAAACATCTTATAATATAATTGTGCATTCTCTAACAACTAGGTGAAATGTGTGTTTCAAGCCTCCAACTTTTCACAAGTGCATTTACAAGTGAACCATTTATTTACATTTGACAAAGTTGAAAAATTCAATTAAAGTCAATATGTTATAAAATTTCCATAATTTCTGTTCTTGGAGAGGTTACCGACAAGTGACGAGAGCGTCAGTCTCATTACTTGTTATCAATAATATAAAAAACATTATTGAAATACATTATCTATATTAAATAACTCATACAAAATATTTATAAATTATAATTATTTAAAATACAATAAATAATTATTAAAAAATGTAGTAATTACTTTTTATTAATTATTTTAAATTAACTCTCAGATTTTATTAAAATATTTTATGCATGCAAATAATTTTTTAACTAATTAATTAATTTATTATAAATTGCCCTAACTCATTCTATAGAAAATTTAAACATATTTAATAAATTTAAAACAAATTCACAATAATTACTATTTAAATTATAATTATTTAAAATGTAATAAATAATTATTAGAAAATATAGTAATTACTTGTTATTAATTATTTTAAATTAGCTCTACGATTTTATTAAAATATTTTCTGCATGCAAATAATTTTTTACTAATCAATTTATTTATTATAAATTTCCCTAACTCATTCCATAGAAAATTTAAAAATATTTAATAAATTTAAAACAAATTCAAAATAATTACTATTTAAATTATAATTATTTAAATACAATAAATAATTATTAGAAGACATAGTAATTACTTGTTATTAATTATTTTAAATTATTTCTCAGATTTTATTAAAATATTTTATGCATACAAATTATTAATTATTAATTAATTAATTTATTATAAATTACCCTAACTCATTCCGTATAAAATTGAAACAAATTCAGAATAATTATTATTTAAATTATAATTATTTAAAATATAACAAACAATTATTAAAAAATATAGTAATTACTTATTATTAATTATTTTAAATTAACTCTAAATTTTTATTAAAATATTTTATGCATGCAAATAATTAATTATTAATTAATTCAATAATTATAAATTACCCTAACTCATTCCATATAAAACTTAACTAATTTATTATTAAATTAACCTAACTAATTTTACAGAAAAATTACCTTATAATATAATATATAAAAATTCTTAAAATTAACATAATCATTAAATAATTATTATTAAATTAACCTAATTAATTTTATAGAAAAATTACCTTATAATATAATATATAAAAAAATCTTTAAATTAACATAATAGATTAATGATAATATATAAATATATATTAAAATACACACTAAAAATATATTAAATAAAATTATAAAACTTAAATTTAAATTCTGAATTTGTTCGGAAATATGTTTTCTTGAATTAACAGTTGTATCTTTTACCATTTTTTTTGAAATTATTTTTCTTTTTTCTATTTTTTTCTGATTTTCTACTATCTCTCTCACATCCTTCTTCTTCTTCAGGCCTTCTTCTTTTTCAGCAAAAAGGTTCTTCTTTTTCAATTCATAATCTCGCGCACGGAACATCAGTTCAGGCATATATAAAGAGAATAAATTGTCAATGGCGATTTTAATGGTTTTCATTGCTACAATTATCTGCAACGCATGATGAATGAAGTTAAAACTCGCCGATGACAATTTTACAGTGTTCATAGCTTAGTCCTACCATGTTCCTATGCATTGCAGTGTTTGTTGTTGCCTAAAAACACCCTTGGCGACTTTAGCCCTTGATCAGCGTCAAAATTGACATTTGCGATTTTATAGGAACTTGAAACTACAATTTGTTCAGATTAAAATTGTCATTGACATTTTTGTAAAGACAAAAAATTCAGTCTACATTTTGTTATGATACTATTCATAGTAAAATCGTCATTTACATTTTTTCCCATATTCCAGTAATAAGTAAAAAAGACCATATTTTTTAACTTCTTTTCTTAATATACCATATTCAAATCACTTTCCCTTTTGTGGTAGGGGAGTATTTCAACTTATTTTATAATTTTAAATTTGAGTTTTAGTTGTTTTAAATATTTAAAGAGAGAATTTTATTGTTAGAAAAAAAGTTTTGTCACCAATAGTTTTCCAACTCAATTTAGACAAGATTAGTCTATTTTTTTTCATATCAATTAATCAAATATTAAGAAAACATGAATGTTTAATATTTGATACGGCGTTGTAACTGGTCTTATATAATATAAATTGAGTAACGATAATTTTCACAATATTCTCTAAAAAAATATTAGCCTCGGTTTTAAGAGAATAAGTAATTAAAAATAATGGTTTTATTAAAAAAATTATATAGTATCTTAAGAATATAAAAAATAATAAATATTAATATTTTTTAATAAAAACTTGTTATACATAATTATTCAAAATAAAAAAATATTTAAAAATTTTAAAGTAAAAGATATAACTCCTTGATGGGAATCATACGTCAGCAATTGAAAGTTGAGAGCACTTTTATTGCCGATTGTGAAAATAATCAATACTTAAAATATTTTTACTAACCGCAATACCTTGCCGTGAGTACACGGCTAGAGCTGGATATGCATGTATATAGCTTTAAAAGAACCACCTAAAGTTGTATTTCAGATTTTCAGTCCACATGCGAATTACAGATGCACCATGCACATTTACATGAAGGTATTGTGTATTTGTGTCAAAATCAAAATCAATTGTGTGGCAAATCTTAAAGTTACTCGTTGGAGCTAAACCATTATCTCTAACAATGCATCAGAGTGACCACACTGCGTCTTCTAAAATATCACATTTAATTTAATACAAATATGACACAAATTATATAATTCTGCAAGCTGCTGTAATAAATTTAATAATTTTTATCTACTCAAACCTGAATATTACTACTTTAGAGTTTCTTCGCATGATAGTTTTGAATTAACTTGAAGTGTATTTGGTAACACAATATTATATATATATTGTGTTAATAAGTTAATAAAGTTATTTAGCGAAAAAATAATAAAAACATTTATAAATTTTAAAAATTAACTTATTATGAAAATTATTCCAAATAACATTTAATTTATTGAAATTTAACTTTCAGTTTTTTTTGTTTTATCCTTTTGAATAATTTATATTTACATAAAATAACTTTAATGTTTTATTTTTAACAAATGAATATATTTCTAACTAATTTCTCGACTAGAAAATTTCAGATAGTTTTACATGGAGAACTTTGATCGTCACACTTCAAAATGAAGCCTAAAATTCTTATGTCAAATTTAGTTATCATCATTCATGCGCCACCCACCACCGCAGGCACCTAGAACAGGGGAAATGCAAAAAACTTTCGACCAAGAAATCTAAGTATCATTTTATGTGTTATGTGTGAATAATACATTCAGGAGGGAAATGAAAAAAAATCATAATTTGTCAATATTTAAGAGTAGATTTTCGATGCATCAAAAGATGGACCACTCATCTGTGGTCAAACGGCATTATTAACTCCTTTTGGCAATAATTCAATTTATAATTATTAAAAGTAATACGAGTTTGTAATTTATACAAAAGTTAATAATTTGTTGTTAATAAATTACTAGAGTCATTTGATAGTAATAAAATAAAACCTATCATTTTAAAAATCCATCTTACAAAAAAAACTATTTCAGATAACTTCTAGATTATTTAAATCTTACTATCAAATTTTCTTTTATTATTATTCTTATTCTTTTAAATATTTTACACTTACACAAAATAACTTTAACTATTTTTTTTTATTTAACTGATTTTAACTAGTTGTACAATTAATTTTATCAAATAATCCTAATTATCAAATGGGCTCTAATATTCAGCAAACCAAGAGAATAAAATCAACAACCAAACAAAAGTAAATTCAAAAAACAATTAATTAACTTAAAAAATTGTGCCTAATATTATTCGTGATTGTTGAATATTTTAACAAAACCATCTACCATGTCTAGTATCAATTTGTTTATTATTTTCTGTAGTCCTTTTATTACCTATTTGATATCATTATCATATTTCTATAAATACTTATTTTTTACATTATTATGCACATCATGTTATAATAATAATGAATAAGTATAAAGCCATTTATTATGGAAAAGCATAAAATTTTATTATAATAATTTATATTAAAAATAATATAGTTAAAAATATTAACACAATAGTATCTTACAATTGATAAATTTCTATAAATTATAAGATTTTGTTAACCTCAATCCTTAAATAAATAAAAAAATTATGAAAAATATCTATAATTATTATATTCAAATTATAAAAATATAATAAATACTTTTTTTAATAAAATTTTATTATTATTAACTATTTATTCTCAATCTTGAAGGTTAAGGTTAACAAAAGCTTAAAATATAAGGTAATTTAAACTTGACCTAATTTCTTAATTGTGAAACATACGACCCAAAAACACTTTGAATGCATTTAACAAGACAAGACCGGTTGTAGTGAAAAAACATGAACTACACATTTAACAGGGGATAAGCGTCACTGGAACATACCTTGAAAGTTGAAACATCTCAATTTTTACAACTTCGTTAATATTATCCAACAAAAAACAACTAACTTCACAACTATATATTCACAATTACAAAACATACGCTAAAAAAATTCATCATTTCATAGTTTTCACACATTCTTCAGATCCATTTTTCAAAAATAACTACAAGAAATTATATGCATTCTCAGAATTTTTTATTTCTTCTTTCTCTGTTTGATGGTGGCAGGCAGCTCTATACACCTAGGAGAGCCATAATTCATTATAAGGCAAAAAGATCAAACAGAAAAATAGTTTAGCAAAATAAACCTAGTATATTTAGTTTGTTAACAGTGTCAGAATGTCGAAATAATGAATTTTTAGGAACCTAAAAAAATTGATATATTTAAAATTGTTTTTACAGTTTTTCACCTGCACGTTGCAGGACTGTTCTAAGTTCATCTGCTATATCATGGAGGAGGATGGGTTTTCGAATCAATCCATTCATTCCCACTTGTAAGCATCTCTCCTTTATGCGTTCTTCTGCACTTGCAGTAAAAGCTATAATCAAGGGCCAATTACGGCTTTGAAACTTCCGAATCCTTCTTGCAACTTCAAAACCATCCATTTCAGGCATGTGAAGATCCAACAGGATAATTTTGAATGAGTTACCAGAGGCACTTATAGCACCCAAACATTCGAAACCTGATGGAACAGCAGTTACTTGACAACCCAGCTTCTCAAGCAGCTTCTTGGTCACAGTCCTGTTTACATCATCATCATCGGCTAACACGACCTTAAGCCCTCTAAACTGCGGGTTTGAAAAATCTTTAGGAGCAAGAATGAATCTTCCAAGCGATGATCCTATACGAAACTTGAGAAGAAGTGTCATCCCTTGTGCCAAACCCAGAGAGTTTGGTGATATCCGAATATTACCATGCATCATCTGCGTATTATTCCATATTGTGACAGTCAGAATCGCAAAACACAATCCTACCAACTAAACATATTTCCCTAGGTTTATCCAGTGAAAGCTGCTCAACCAACCATCAATCAGTTAATAGGCAAGGACAAAACCCACAATCACCTAAACACATTTCCAAGATGTACAAAACGAAGTGCACAAACCCACTTATTCTTAAACAACAAACTAGCCATATCATATATATGGCTTTCAAATGTCGAGTAGATGATAAAAAAACAAGACATTTAGGTGAATCTACCGATGTTGCATACAGTCATTTGCCGACCAGTGACTTGTAATGCATGGTGTAAAAAATAATTGAAGCAAAACAGTGGATGCCATTAACCATTCTGGACATGATACTCAACTTATATCCCGTGCATCTTTAACCACTAAAGCTAATCAAATAATGTAATAGTAAGCAAGATTTAGAGGTATTCAAGCAACCTTACTACAATGCATATTGGTTTTAACAGCACCCAGCACGTAATTAATAGCAGCTAGACTAAATAGGGGCTTTCTACGCAAAGGCCACTTTTCCCATTTATTTCTTATTCTTAAAAACCTATCTGACACACTACCACATTCCAATGTCATTGACAGTTTCATCACACATTATTAACATAATTATCAAATCTCCATTCCACTGTTCACTTACTCAAATATTTGAGGAAAGTGATTCTGTCAAACCAAGAATCATCTTCTAAGCATAAAATGTAATTCTAAGGTTTACGGCTAACTGTCAACAATTCATACAAAATATTGAGTGGCACATAACTTCTCAAGAGGATGGCAGAGGGTGCATACTAATAAAAAGTCAAAACTACCATAGGAATGATCCATATATAACTACCATCACTAACAGAAAATGTAATATAAATTTTCAAAAGAGAATAATGCATGTACCTGCACCAGCGTTTTGCACATGCTGAAGCTTAGGCCCTCCTTAGTTTCATTGTTGTAGTGCCTTCTACCGGTATAATTTATTGTTGAAATTGACTCTGAGTGGGACTGGGAACTAATACCAGCTATCTCAAAATTAAATTTTATATGTACATAATCATTTTGCATGGTTGATCTCCATGTTCCAAAACTTTTATCATCTTTATCTCCACTATCACTTTCAGAAAAAACTCGAAAAATGAGAGTCCCTCTATCATATATGTTCAATAAATAGCCAACCATATGCAAAATTACTTGAAAAGACCTTGCCTCATCACCTATGACCAGATCAGGCAAAGACTTGTCAACATCAACATCAAGACTGAAGCCTTTATATACACACAAACACTTGGCAATACAAGAAGCTTCCCTCATCATCGAATGAAGATGGAAAGGTTTCATCTCTAATTTGAAGCTTCCTTTGTCATTTGCTGAAATCTCCATTACATCATTAATCAACCTTGAGAGCGCATTGCTAACTTTCAACATTGAGTCAATAACAATCTTCTGTTCAGATCTTACACTATCCTCTTGAAACATTGAAAGCAAGCCCAGGATTGAATGCATAGGTCTCCTCATTCCATGACTCATAACTTTCTCAAACGAGCTCCTTGCCTGGCTGGCCATCATTGCATTCTTTTGAGCCTGTTGCAAAGCCCGGTTTTGCTCAGCAAGTTTCTGGCTCATAAGCTGGGACTCTTCAAGAACGGAAGCATGAGACAAGGCTACAGCCACCTGGTCAGCAACTACTTCCATTATCTCCATTTCATGGGAGGTCCAATCCCTTGAGTTTGAATTTGGAAGAACCAAAACCAGTATGGCATAAGATGTTTCAACCAACTCTGGTGTCCCTCCTTTGAAATTCGAAACATGAAGAATTGGCATGCGAATGGCAGCTATAGGACCAGAATTCTCGGATCGACCACTACTTGCAGCTCCTAGTGCAGAATCAGGTCTCAAAATCCACACCCCTTTGCTCTTCTCTACCTCCAACACGTCTGGATCATTTATAGGAATAGAACTGTGAAAATTATTTGGTGAGCTTCGTTTCACCTCATGAGTCAAATGCATTTCTCGCCTGTCCTCATCAGGCGTCCAAACCGCACAATTATGCAAGTCCAAGGCCTTGGAGAGCTCAACAAGGGTGGTATGCAAGATGGTATGCTTATCTAGAGACTTCCTAATCTGACGAGTCAACATCCTAACATGCCAGCTGGCTTCCTTCTGTTTCTTCATCATCCCAACCTCTTGGCCCAATTCCAACACATTCTGCCTCAAGAAGAGTTCCCTCACTTTGATTTTGAGAAGAAGAGGAATGAGAGTGGGAAAGGTAATAGCAGTGGCACAGGAGACAAGAGCAGTGAGGAATTTAGCAACGGTAAGGGAAAGAAACAAGTGGAAAGAGTGAGGTCCGTAGTATGTATAGGCATTGAGTAAATGGGTCAATCCACAGAGGACTATGAAGGCAATGAATTGAAGGAAGACCAATTTGAAGGGAACATTGGAGCAGCTGACAAAGTAAAGAAGCTCAATGGGTATGGAAAAGTATGCAATAGCAATGAAGAAATCGCTTACTTTCTGGCAAACCAGAATGCTCTGTATACTCCAAATCCCTTCCTCATCACAACTGCAATGTGCATATTCCACGTCGATTGCAGAAACAGAAAAAACCAACAGCATAAACAACAAAGGAGACAACCCTCTTTCCATGCTTTTCCAAACCATTTCTCAGAGTTATCATTCTTAAAAAACCCCACACCTCATATTCACACAAGTTATAGGGTTTCTAATCCAAATTTAAAATTAAACAAACAAATAAATAATAATCTCACTAATTAAATAATTACATAATCAAATAGAAGAAGAAAAGGAGGAGAGACTCACATCAGAAATTTGGGGGAGAAGCCGAGAAGATAAGAATTGGTTCGCAGTGATTGGAAGGTTTTGGGGAACGAAGTGATACGAATGGATGAATCTCTCTTCTGGGAGAACACACACACACACACAGAGTTGATTGTGGAAGAGAGGGAGAGGGTGGGACCCACACAGCTTTACATGAACTGAACTTAGACTCCTAATCTCTTATTACTCTTCTCAATGTCACTCTCACACCTTTACATGTAATAATCAATTCATAAATATCATTACCGCAACCATCAACCGCTAATTAATTATATCATTTATTTCATTATCTTATCATCCATCTTTATAATAATACATTTGCATGTATCCTCGTTCCTCAGCCACCACGCCCTTGTTATTATTTTAATTTGAGAATAACACAATGAAATAAAAACATATCGAGTGTTAGTGATTTTATATAAGATAAATATAATTTTTAGTATCAATTTTACATCTAAGAATTTACATCTATATTTTGTCTTTTTTGTATACTTATACTCTTTTGACGACTTATATGGTTGACTTGGGATATTTATAACAAAGTTATTAATCGGTGTTTCAAAAGTAGTAGTTATTTTTTTAGAAATTTTTAAAAAATTATGAAAATATAATATGATACATTAATTATAATTTCAATAAAAATTATATTCTAACTCTTTGTTTAATTTTTACAATAATTAACATTTATATATTTTAAATTAGATCATTTAATTAAAAATTTAAAAAATATATAAAAAAAACAATCTAATTTAATGCCGAATATCCATACTTACAAAATACGTTGACATATAGTTTACATAATGTAGAGACTTCTAGTAAATAGTTTGTGTCTTTATGTAATTATAAATCCTATATTTTTAATATATGTTTCTTAAATTTACATATTAAATTAGTTTTATTTTTAATTAATATTTCACGTAAAATTTTTTTAGAATACGACTAATTTTTAAAATTAAAAAGTTTATAAAATTGTATTCTTATAACTTAATTTATACATTTTATTCTTAGTGAATACTTTTGTCAAATTAAATTTTAAATATTTTGAGATTCATAATTTCGTATTTTATTATTTGTAAACACAGAAATCCTTTATAGCTGCTTATGGAGCAAATGTCTCTTTCAACCCAAAAAATATCTAATATCTTTGATAGCACTATTTGCCTTTTTTCGATTTTGTATAGTGTGACGCACAGAAATGGGCAGTACGCTAACGTGCTGATATGGCCGTCGACAGGATTCGGATTCTCTCCTATAGCCCAACATCTTATTAGCGAGCTAAAATATATTCTAATTTGTTAACGTGTGCTGAAGATGTATAATAAATAATAATTTTTATTGAAAGATGAGAATATAGTGTTGGATGTGTGAATATATTAAATGATATATGTAGCTTACGCAACTTAGAAATTGCACATTATGGAATCTGTACTCAAACACCTTAAAAGCTTCATATAAAAAGAAAACTTGGAAGTTCTTCGCTTATGTAAAATTACTTTCATGAACTTGTTCCGGAAGGTGAAAACAAAAAAGCGTTATTGCTTTGGAGAAAGGGTTATTAAATGAAGAACTATAATAATTTAAGCTGGACATAATATTAAGAGTGCATCTTGAAAATGGAAGGGAAAATATAGGCCATAAAAAACCTAATCTAGGAAACATATATCTAACTTATTAATTCTGGTGTAGAAAAACTAACAGGCCCGCAAAAAAATGAAGTATTAGCCGGCAACCCTGATTTATAAATACATGATGAGTAAACGAGGCAGAAGAATATGTTCAAGGACAAGCATGAGTACTAATTTTCAGAAGCCACGATCCTTAATGAATGGGCATACTATAAACGGCATCACGTGACAAAGATTGCTGGTATGTAGAGATATCATACATCTGTCTACCACACATTGATTGGTGCTTTCAAACCCAAAAACCATCTCAATTTCTCAATCCGGAATTTGCTCATACCCACCATTCTCAGGAGACTGGTGTGCCCCATGACCTGTTCTTCCTGCAGATAGGAAACCTTACTTCAGTCTACCCTTTCTCTTGCACCATAGTTAAGTAATTGGTAATTGGAAGGGGGAGGGTAAGTTTATACCTGTCAGCTCAAAACCAGTATTTCTTGAATCCGGACGACCCCCCCAGTCTGTGGACCGCGGAGGTGTTGCGTGCAAACCAAGCTGTTGAATCATGAAATGACTTCCCCCTATAGCTTGATGCTCATCATTTCCGCGGATTGGATTTGTGTTTGAAGAGTCAACTGTTTGACGGAAATTTAAACTTGATACTGGTTCGCCAACTGGTGATGGCAACTTGGGGGCAGAGGCATCACCTTTTACACCAACACCAGTATCCTTCTTGGTGTCAATAAAGAAAGTACCAACAATGACCTGTGTTGATTAACTATTCATCATGAGTGATTTGCGTGCCGTAATTCATGTCAAGCAGTGCTTGGTAGGAATCAAAACAGGAAGGTGAAAAATAAAATATGGAAACTTGACAATATATGTGGACATACATGTATGCCTGATTTTCTCCACAGTTTTTAGCTCTCATTTTTACTCTTAATAAGCACAACCCGATATGCCATCTCATTTCCCCCCTTTTCTTTGTAGGAAAAAATTGTGTATTAAATGTAAAATCACATTTTTGTTCTACTAGGAAAAGGCTATAAGCCTATAACAGAAACCGAAACTACAGAAGCAGGAACATGCAGGGTAGAGAATCATTCTTAATCTTAAACTTTCTTCCCAATCCCTTCAACCTTGGAGCGTCAGTTTGCTACTTCTCAGACAATGAACAGACTAATCAACAAAAAAACCCTCATCCCACTCGGTGAGATTGACTATATAGATCAAATGACAATAAAATGTCCTAGCCATAAATCATGTTTAACGACACATCATATAAATTTAAATCCTTCTCAGTGGTTTGGTGGCCTACAGTTTTTCAAGGGACAAATGTTGTATTGATCAAGACCAAAAAGAATAAAAAAAAAAAAAAAAAAAAAAAAAAAAAACAGGCACAGCTCATATCCCCTACCTACAAGCCATTCATAGTTCTATCTGAAATTACCTGAACTGGACCAGCTGCTTTAAGGGGCCCACCAACTCCACCACCTATGATTTGTCCATCAGTATTAGATAGGCATACACTAAGACCACCAGATCGACCTCCAAGTTCATTTCGGACATAGGAACCAGTAAGTGAAATAATCTCAAACCGACCCTGATATCAAAGCAAGAAAGACTTAAACAGTGATAACTGCCATGTGAGCACATGACTATCAAATATAAAAATTCAAATTCATGACTAAAAAACAAATGATAAAATTAACAATTAAGAATTAATTTGGTGATAACACAGGAAAATGATATTACCAGTTCACTGCTGCTTGGTACTAATTTTAAGTTAGCAGTCATTAACTCGTAATTCATATGGACAGTTCTCAGAAAGGTTCCTCTTACTGTCTGTGCTCTTGAAGGTGAGCTAAGATCAATTTTCTTATATGAAGGGGGTGCAAGAGACACATAAAGAAAATGAAACCATTTTGTTTAAGCTTCTAATTTCTCAGTCCAACTTTGACCATCCAAAAATTTGTCCATAACTATTGGGTTTATACAAACTAGCCATGTACAAGTGTATGTATAAAATTAAAGTGTCAAGAGAAAAACAAAAAATATAGTAAGAAAATTAATTATTGTTGTTAAATAATGTTTTTCTATTAACATTTCTCATCCAATATTTTTATTAGAATATTTGAGCAACATGGGACTCAGAAGGGACTTTTTCTGACATTTATGGAAAAAGAAGACAAAATCCTGATCTCTTTATTTCTAGTAGAAAGAAATGCAAATTTGAAATTTTCAATCACCTTATTTGATGGCAAGAGAAAAATCTTAAACAAAATTACATTTTCCTCTCCAAGTGATGCTTAAATTACACTTCCTATGTCTACATTTAAGACAAATACCTCCCATGTCTACATTTAAGACAAATGTCCATTCCTAGACCTATACCTGAGCTGTGCCCAGGTAACAACTCTAGTATCCAACCATCTATCCTATTGGTACTTATATAATCGTACTCGCGCCCATTACTTACATTTTAATTAAATGAAATATATTTTTCTTTTAATGTACTTCCTTTTTTACAGACTAGTAAAAAAATGCTATTTTAATACTAAAATTAATTGTGAAAAATCAATAAAACAAGGCATTAATAAAAAATGCTATGGCACTTTAGATTGAAGAACAATTGACTAATCCTGTAACTGGATGGAGACGAAACCATGAAAATGCTAAATGTTAGTGTTAGGACAATAGCACTTAAATGTTTTGAGATGAAAAGTATATGACTTGTGTAGAGTTGTACACCCCATTTGTGATCAATATACTTATAAGTAATTAAGTCTTATATCTTTAAAATTTTAAATAGAATTTATTTAACACTCTTTCTATCCTTTTTGTAAGAACCTTTTAAAGATTTTTATAGGACCTTAATATAAGTCTCTTTACAAAACTTTAGGAACATTTATTTTTTATTTTTTACATATTTACCATTCATTTTTTAACCTTTCTAACTTCTTAATAATTAATGTAATAACAGAGTTTGACTTTAATTAGGGATAAACTTGAAATGCTGTAATTAATTTTTCAAAAATTAATGCATTAACTATTTCTACCAACTTTTCTTAATATATGTAATTTAATTGAAAATAGTAACACAATATAATCTTTCAAGGTAGGGAGTAAAATTTACACTATTTAATAATAATAAAATCCAAAATAATATAGACAACATTTTGAGTGTAGGCTATCTTAATATAAATAGATTTTAACCGAAGGTTGCAATTTTCAACAGCTCCATTTCCTTTTAAAAATTGTTTGAAGAATAAGGACCAGAATATAACATAAAAGGTATGAAACTAAAAAGTGACTAATATTCTACCTCATATGTAATGTTGCCTCCTGAAGTTGCTGGCTGGCGAAGAGAGGCATTAGAGATGGAACCAGAAGCAGACAGAATGCACATCTCACGCCTACTTTGTTGCATAAATAACATAATTTTCTGGCCAACATCCTATTGTACGCATGCTCAAATAGTTATAGAAATAGAAGTAATATGTATACAGAAGAAAGCTGAAAATAAAACAAGGCAAATGACAAAACATAATATATTCAAACATTATGGACAGAGGAAAATTCAAGTTATATAAAGAAAAATAATGAACTACAAGGAGAAAAGAAATAACATCAGAAAAAAACAGAAAAGCATATCTCACTGGAATAAATTTAATGTAGAGTTGCAGAAAAAAACCAATAGAAATTACTCTGACTCTAACAGTTAACATCTCATTAATCATTCACTCACAGGTTAGCTGTAGCTAATAGGCACACCCACGGTGCCTCACCTGGATCCATTTCCATTATAGGAACCCTTAAGCAGGTGCAACTTGTTGAACTTCAGGAAGAGAACCAGTGTGACTATAGTGTCCCCTAAAAGGCAATATTCCAGAATTGCAGTAGAGCGCTCCCCCCCCCCCCCCCCAAAAAAAAAATAAAAATACACCATCTCAATTACAAGAAACATTGTCTCACTATTTATCAAATCTCTGTCATCAACTCACTTAGAACTTAAATCTACCATTTGACAAGACGGAAATCACCACCACACAAATATAGAACAAACCATATTGAACTAATAAATCCCAATATAAGTAAGAGTCACCAAGTGGACAATTATATGCACAACTTAGTATAGAAGTATAACAAAAAAATTGGAATCGTGTCTTCAGGTGGCTGTACTTGGGTAGTGCAGCAAGAAGAAGCATAATCTAAATCAACAATTGTTACATACCTCACCAGCAGCAACAGAAATGACATGTGGAGTGAAGCCTTGTCCTGCATTACCTGCCACCACAACCATCAAATTAACATTATCATCACTCCAGACCCTTTTGCTTTGTTAGTCATTAAAACGAAGTCAAAAGCACAAACTCAAGCAAACAGAAGCAATTTATACAACTACCTTAAATCACATAGTAAAACCATCCACCAACAATAACGTTTGTTGCAGTACTCTTAAGCTAAATTTAAAATTTATTGAAAAATATCCATAAAAAGTAAGAGAGAGAGAGAGAGAGAGAGAGAGAGGAAATTAAACTGAATTGAATTGAATAAAGAGAAGAAGAGAATAAAAGGGAATCGAGGAATTAACAAACCTAAAGCGAAGGAATGGGATTTCTTGGAAGAGTAAGGGAAAGGTGAAGAGTGGGTCTTCTTCTCGGAAGAGAAAGACTGAGACGACGTGGTTGCGGCTTTCTTCGCAGCAAGAGCTTGTTCGGGGGTTCCATACTTTCTGGGCCTTCCACGCTTCCGTTTGGCAGGTTCAAGCTGAGAAGAAACCGCGGAAGCAACGGAGTGAGGGTAGAGCATGTGGGACCCATCGGCGTTGGGCAAGAGGCCGTTGGTGGGGGAAGCGGTAGTGGTAGCGGCGGTGGAGGGTTGCTGGTGGTGGTGGTGATGGTGGTGGTGATGGAAGAAGGAGCTGAGTTGGTTGTCATTAGGTTCCATCTTTGAGTAAAGGGAGACACAAAGATGTGTGCTGCCAGGGCTCGCACTGCAATTTTTTTTTAGATTTTTTAAATTATTTTGTATTCAACAAAAAGACTTTATCTCGGAAGAAGAGTGGATTTAGATTCTGAACCCTGTGATTTGGTCTCTAATTTTGACCTTTCCCTTCATCATCATATCATATCTCCTCCATTTTTATTTTCAGTTTTCAAGCCTTTTATTAATTTTTATTTCTTAATATTAAATAAATAACTAAATTATTATTTTTATTTTTATGTGGGGAGGACTCAGACGTGGATATTTATATGGGTGACAGACATGTAGTGAGGAGTGAGTAGTCACAGATAGCGACACTGACAACCAAATATGCAAACCGATAAGGGCTGGGCTTCCTAGTCACTCACCCCTCCTTACTTTAATTATTTTATTCCCTTTTTCTTCTTACTGGGTTGGGCTCATATTCTTGTAAATTCTAAATGACAAATAAGCATCACAGATATTTCTCTTTTCTCTTTTGTCTGACCCAAAACAACAGATATTTATCTTTTGCGTTGACCTCCCAAACAAAAATGGATTTCTCTTTTCCTTTTCACATTATTTTAACAAAGAAGGGAATTGCTTTGCTAACCAATTAGCTAAATGCTATCTCGTCAAGCAGGTGATACGTATTAATATTTTAAAACTTAACTAAACTGATTAGTTTAACCGACCAAGTCTTAAATCGGTAATTGTCATTGTTTAAGTATTATTTACTAATTATAATCCGATTTCAAAATTGATTTAATCTTTAATCCTTACATTTTTTTTAAATTTAATCTTTACGCAATGAAAGCTTTCAAGATACCTCTTATATGCATACTTTTTAAAATTTGATTTTTACCATTTTCATACATGATAATAATGTGATGACATGGTCATGACATTTCAACCCTGCAATTTATGACTACATTCACAAATTGTAGTTATGCGGGATGAAGGGAATGGGAATCTTGATTTAGTATAAGGTTTTCTAAAGCTTTTGCAAATGGTCATCCATCCTAGAGCCAAAATTGGATGTTAGATTTTGTTGGATCGTGCTATTGAGTTTGTGGATTGTGGTCGAGGAGACAATGGTGAGTGAGAATACTATACTAATTGTGTGTAACATGACATTGTCGGAGGGGCTATAAGATCTCAAGGGATAAGCACCCAAAATTTTATGATAAGGTATCGTAGGAGCAAGAATTTGTATTTTGGAGAATATTAAGGTTAGTGATGAACCTACATGTGGTGTTAATTTGATGCAAGGACCACTACTGTTGAAAAGTAACTAAGTTTGGTAGGAGGAAAGAATAACAAGCAATATCTATGGATATGATTCTTAACTTAATATTGGAACAGACTTCTTTTATTTAAGTGTTTTGATTATGTACAGATTGCTATTCTAACGTGGCTTAGAATTTTCAGGTACATTATGAGTTATTTTAAATAGAACTCTCAACTAAACACTTAAGAGAGGGAAAGAAAAAATAGATTAAGGAGATAAAGTCAATTAAATTTCTTCCATAAGTTAAAATCCATTGACACAGTTGACTTATGAGAAATCTAAAAAATAAACTTCTAAAAAAGTTGAGACACAAATTATAAAATATTTTATTCACTTTTCTTTCTAAATTTATTTTTTATAAGTACTTTTGAAAATTTTATTCAAACTGTCTTTGGGTTATTCTATTAACAATTGCACGTTCTTAGGACCACATTTAATCATGGCATTAGATAGGGAAATAATTGCAAGTTCATAGGACCACATTTAGCCTTTCTTTGTCTTGCCTCAATCACAAGCTAATCGTTTTCACACAGATAAATTTTAAAAAAATTTCACCCTCATACACAAATAAAGATTAAAAATGAAAAATTAACTACATAAATCATTGCTACATCAATTGTTATACATGCAAGACATGTACACATTATTATCACGTATACAAATAGCAAGGATTGAATTGAAAATAATATGACATATAAGGACCAATTTAGAAATTTTTTCTTGCAATAACCAAATAAAAAAAAACTTCATTTATGAAAATCAAAAGTCTAATTAAATATATCATTCAGTAATTATAATTCATCCATAATTTCATTACAAATTTATTACTTGAACTAACTAAATCATTACTCAAAACTCTAAATGGTTTAGATTGGATTTTTAAAACATCGCTACAAAGGTAAACAAAATCTCGATTCAGATATTATGAAGGGATTTTTTCCCCTTCTCTCGCATTAACAAGATAGCTGAGAATAAAGGCGATGATAGTAATTACTTTAATCTCAACAAAATGGATAGTCAAGAATATGTGAATAACCATCGTACAGGGTTTTTAACCCGTAGACGTAGTTACGGGGTGCTGTCACTCGTAAACTGGTGTTTCACATTTTCTTCTGCCAGTTTCTGTGCAACAAAGTGAAGAAACTAGGACAGGCAAAAATTCCAAAATATCATTGAAATTCATTCCATCGCTATTTCATTGAAATCCATGAAACAAGCAAACTTTTGTAAAAAATATTTGTTTTAGATATCAGAATTGCATGAGAAATCAGCACCGTTTAACATATATAAATCAAAGCTCAAGTAAAAGGAAGAGAAGAAACCCGGGAGTGGGGGGAATGATTAAAAGTTACAATAGAACCCACTGAAGACGAGGAACAACGAATAGACCAAAATGGCAAAATCAAGCAATAGTCACCCCCATAAAAAGAAAGAAAGAAAGAAAGAAAACATCGCAACAATTGCAAACCAGGTTAAATACACTTGTATGGACTTCCAAGTACTGCAAGTTTGGCCGCAGAAGCTTCACAGTCCATCTTTAGGAGATTCACTATCAGTTGTTTCCTTGGTAGATGCCGTTGACAAGGCATGCGAGTTTCTCATTTCTTCTAACTGTGATGCAGTATAGGACATAGAGAGTTAACACTAAGATCAATTGACTAGAAAAATATTAGAGTTAGCATTTTTTTGGGTGCGGCGGGGGGGTGGGGGTGTTCTTTTACCGGGTATCCACCCAAATGCAACTCTGAAACTGAAACCTTGGATCAAAAGTGGTGGATAAGTAGAACTGTCCCTAGATTGGTGATTCTTCTGGCCTAATATTTCAGGTGTTGAAAATATATGAAAATAGGTAAAGTTCCTGGAATAGGATTAACAATCCACTTTTACATTGATCAACCATTATTAAAGAAAGTTAACTTATTTAATACAGTTAATGACACTCAAAATTTTAGAGAATCTTTACCATTCATTTCAGTGGTATGTATGGGAACCAATGCAATAATTAATCTATCACATTTCTCCAATCTTGAGAGGTGTTAACTTGGCCAGGAAGTGTGTGTGTGATTTAGGAAGGGTAACATGTGAGTGAGAGTGAGGAGCTGCTAATCTTGATCATACAACCAAAATAAATTATCAAAACTATATTTAAGTAAAACAAACTTGAACATTCATATGAGATTATATAACTAAGATAAACTAACTTTATCATGTTTCACTCTCTCACAAGACATGTCACACACACACACACACAATGTGGCCAGATAAAATATATGAATATGCTACTTGTACTATCAAGGAGAGATAATAATTGGCTGATGTCCTGCTCTCTCATCTACTGTGCATCCCCAACCGCCTTCCTTTCTATGCAGGTTCACAAATCTTTTTCAATCCCCATTTCCCCCTACCTTTGTTCCCCCACATTACCTGCTAATGCCCCTAAACATAGCCAAGTTCCTGAACCACACAAGACATTTGTCCATCATAACCAACACTGCTAGTCCATATTCTTGTTTCTAATCAAAAGATCCTACTTTTATCACAGGCTTTATACAGTGTAAATATATTTATCTCCCCAGCCATCTTGAATCCCAATATCCCAGCTTTTACAACCCCAGCACATTATGAGAGAAGTTTGCAGGTACCTATTAACTTATACTTGCAGAAACAACACCTATAATAATTTCATCATGGTAAATGAACACCAAAGTAACTTGGAACTTAAAACGCCAACACACACACGTCATAACACAGATTGTATTTTAACTACAAATACACCAACTAACTTGACCGCATTATGTAAATAGTCTTTGTTAAACTGTGATTGATACAGGTAGTAAGTAAATAATCTATACAGATATCAAGCAAACAAAACAACAGAAGAACTTTTCGAATCAATTGCAGGTTGTAGCAAAAGATAAAACACCAAACCAACAAATTCCTAACTGGCATTAACTATATAAACTATGGTGTACATTTCAATTTTAAACAGAAATGCAAACCAAAATTTGTGCAATAAATATTAAACTATTTTTTGATAATGCACAATGCTGAAGTTTTTTATAAGGAAATGATAGGGGCAGTGTTGAACCTCTTTGCAGGTTTTGCGGTGTGCTGCTAAAAGCTCATTATATTTGAATTGTAGATCGGAGAATTCAGCTTGCAATTTTTCAAATTCGGAGATGGAAGGACAGCTTAATTTCTGTTGAATGAACCTGCGAAAGAAGCGTAAACGCATGTCGCATCACAATTAAAGTAATCAGAATTGAAAATGACAATGAACATACTCGACGGCAGAAGAAGGCTTGTCGTTTTGCTCGTATAATGCAACCAGAACTGCAACAAGCGAAGAAGACTTTGAACCATTAACTAAGCAATTATTTGAAAAGAAGAGTGATAATCGAATGAGAAACCTTTGGTGAGAGCGTCCACAGCTCCACTTGATTCCAGATATTTTCTGAAAGCTTCCTTCTTCGCTTCTTTTTCCTATAATTGTAAATATAAATTAATTAAATAACATTGTGATTTGTCATAAAGAAAGAGGGATTAGAAATTAGAACCTCTTTGTATCGCATCATCCTCTGTTTTTCTTCACACTTGTAGCTCTATTCTTTGTTTTGCCTCCGAGATGTGTCTGTTGATCTGCATCCCCTGCGGTCCAAAATACAAATCGAATCAAGTTATGATTATTATTATTATTCTACCCCTTTTTTTTCACTCACTTGATTTATTTCTTCGTGTTTTTATTTATAATTTTATTTTAGCTTAATGGATTTTTGTTTTTTGCAACGGAAATTCTAGGCTCATTTTTTATATATTTTTTATTTAAAAATACAAGAAATATAGAAAATTTTGGAATATTACAATAATTAATTTGAGATTTTGGTTGCCAGCGTTTTTTTTTCAAATTTTTTTTTTTAGAAATGTCATTGTTTCCAAACTCACCAACGGTGAGATTTTTAAAAAATAATAAATTATAGATGTAAAAAATCAGTTAGACAACTTTTAATAATTAAATTTTTTTAAATATATATATAATTGTTACTAACAACTTTTTTAGTGTGTTTAAATAATTAAAAAAATAAAATAAAACAATCATTAGTGATTTTTAAGTATTTAAAAAATAATAATAAAATAAAAATCATCATTACTAGTTTTGAATGATATAAATTAATAAAAAAATATGTGTATATAAATATTGAGTTCTTCATTATTTAGAAATTGCAAATAAAAGGAAGATTTTTAGATATAAAATAAGTTTATCATAGATTAAAAAATGAACGTGCTTCTATTAATATATTTTAATTGAAATTATTACAAACTTATGGAAGTGTTTTATTTAGGTGCTAAACATCAACATGTGTGTATAAGAAATAATATATCATTTGAAAAATTGAAGTATTATTTTACTCAAAACATTAAATTTAAGTTTCCAAAAGAAATGGAAATGATTATTTATAAGTGTCAAATATTCATATTTAGCAATTTTATGTAATATCAAACAATTTCAATAATCAACAATATTAATATTTTACAAATATTTTAAATACATCAACAACGTCATCCAGCAGCCCTTGCTAGTAAGTTATATGTTGTTTTTAAGAAAATTATAGTTAACATTGATAAAGAAGATTATGAAGAAACATATGCAAGCACAATACCAAACAAAGAGATAGAATGGATAAATGTCAACAGTTAAAGTGGTGACTCTAAGTTTGAAGGAGAATATGGAAGCGATAAAGTGAGTGAAAATAAGGATGTGGACGACAATGGTGATGATAAGGCCCATTTGTCAAACATAATGATTGGGTAACATTCATTTAAGGAGCCATCTTTCATGCGTTTATTAGATCTTAATGCTATGGATGCATTTGAGTTTTCAGAGTATGCAGATTTGGATATGTGTTCTTTTTAACAATGTTGTTAATGAATTAAATTATGGTGATATAATTATTTTATATTCTTGTTTGCATTTGATAGGTCATTTTGATATAGATGTAAAATTGTATGTTGAAAAGCAATTCAATAATGGATAAATTGTTATACGAATAATTAAGTGTTAGAGTATATCAAACAAAGTGGACTAAAAAGTGGTTGAGTCAGAACTAAATATATTTTCTTGTAAATATGTAAGGTATAGAATAGATTGTAAACGATTTTTTCGTGGTACTTTTAGAAAGAACGAGTTTATTTTGGAGTTAAGAAAGTACAACAACTGCACACATGTACAAGGAGTAGGATTTCTAAGAATCATAGGAAATTAGATTCCAACACAATTGCAAAATATATAAAGCTAATGGTTGAGTCTATCATTCCTTTAAAATAAACTCATTATTAATGAGATTTAGTCTCAGAATCGCTACACTATAACATATCAAAAAATATGGATGAGAAAACATAAGGTAATTGAAAAAGTTTATGGTTAATGGGAAGCCTCATTTGAAACTTTACTGCAATGGTGTGTAACAATGTGTAATTGTGTTTGAGGTTTCATTGTTCATTATGCTATAGAGGCCTACTGTGCTAATGAGTTAGTTCCCAATGTTAAAATATTTTGTCTAGTGTTTTGGACTTCTAGTTCATGTATTAGAGCATTTAGACACTGCAAAGTAATTGTGCAAATTGATGGGATACATTTATATGAAAAATACAAGGGAGTTCTATTGGTGGTCGTTGCACAAGATGATAATTAGAATATTTTGTCAGTTGTTTTTACTATTGTCGAGGGTAAGGCTGTGAATGTCTAGTTTTTTTTTTCTTGATAATTTATGCAGACATGTTGTCACCCAATATGGCATTGACATAATTTTTGATTGACATGAGTCAATTAATGCAATAATAAGAAAAAGTAATAGACAACGAGAACCTCTAAGAGCCTTTCATATGTATTGTATTAAGCATATTGCGGCCAATTTTTTACAAAGATTTAAGACTCCTTACTTGCATAAACTTGTTGTCCGCATTTGTATAGTTTATAACATTGATATATTTAAAAATAACAATTGTATGAAAATGTGTATGCTTTTCAAACTACTAATATGAATCCTTGTAATTGTTGCAGGTTATTCAAGAACCGAACGTGATTTTAATATTCATTATAAGCGATGATGAGAACATAGAGAGGTTTATTCAAACTGGCTTAATGAAATTCTACAAGAAAAATGGTTCTAGCATATGACGAAACCATATGTGGGGTCACATGACCACAAATTTAGTTGAGTGCATTAATTAAGTGTTAAAAATTGCTCAAAATCTTTCAATCACAGCACTGTTAAGAGCAACTTACTTCTGACGGGCTCAATTATTTGCTTAGAAAGAGAGTAAAGCTTATGTACAAAAAAAGGTAGGACATATATTCTCTGAATCTATGACAACTTGACTTCAATCAAACGAGTCAAGCGCTAGAAACTTGCGTGTTACTCAATTTGATAGATGAAGTGAGACTTTCCATATTCAAGATTTATCTACCAACCAAAAATATAGAATTTATCTAAAACGAAGGTATTGTGGCTGTAGTGATATGCATACCGATAGATATTTGTGTCGTCACATGATTGTTGCTTGTTGTAGTAAAAACATATATCGGCGTGCTTATATTGATGATGTTTATATAATCAATGAATTATGCAAAGTTTATAAAAAAGAGTTTGGAGTGATTGGGAATGAAAGCATGCGGCGGTGTTATAGAGGACCAAAACTTTGTTCTAATTCCAGCTTAAAACGCACAATTAAAGGTTGTCTCAAATCAACTCATTTTCTTAATAAAATGGATATGCATGAAACGTGAATACCATGACAGTGTAGTCTTTGTCGAGCCGAGAACCATAGTCCAAGGTAATGTTTTCATGTTGCAGGATCAAGTTAATGATCTATAGTTGTGATGATGTGGTGTGGTGAACCATCTAATTTCGTGTTGTTTAAATTTTATGGTGTTTGTGGTTGTTTTATTCATTGACCTTGTCTTTTTATGTTATCAATGCGATTTGGTTTTTATGTTTTAATAATAAAATATTACTTTTATTAATTAATTTTATTTTAATAACAAATTTTGTATAATAATAATTGGTTATAATAATAATAAAAATAATAATAAGAAGCAAACAAAATAAAACAACTAATTTAAAATCTCATTATATTACATAACAAAGTAAGCAAACAAATTCAAACAATAGATAACATCATATTAATCTACATAACAAAGTGAGCAAGCAAACTACAACTATGGATAATAACATGACTATCCTTCTTTGTCTTTTTTCTTCTTAATTACTGACAGACTATATCTATTAGAAACTTAAGTAAAGGGACGTAACAGACATGAAAAAAATTCTCTAAGTCTTCCTCCTCTATTTGCATCATCACCAACACCCTCATGTTGTATAGGATCATTGGTTTCCTACTCATGCTTCTGCTCCTCCATATGACTAGATGTTTGGGTAAATGTGCTATCTTGTTGCGTGAGATCCCAAAACATCATTGGCATGGACCATTAATTATCTGGTGAGAATATTCCTTGAGATACAACCCTATACTCTGGTGTCATTGATTATGTTCAATACACATCTTCCTTATGTACTGTTGCTTCTTCTATAGTTGTATCATCGTTTAAGTCAAAGTTATATTGACAATTGGGTTGAGAACTTTGATCTTCATCAAACACAAAGTCACTAGCACTATTGCAATCAACAGACCTCTTATCTCGTAATTCCCTACTTCTTGATCCATAATGAATATTCATTCTATCTACAGACATTAATCCTTGTTCTTGTGGTGAACAATAATATTCTTGATTTGGTTGAACTGAAGATGGTGGCATACCTTGATGTTGCATGGGTGATGTATCCATGGGAAAGTCTTCAGGATGGGACAGTAATGGCTCCTCAGGGAACTGCTGTTGTTGGGGTGATGGTTGCTTTATCTGTGAGGATAACCATAGCCAATTTGCTGCATAAAGTATGTACCATGCTCAATATCCAACTGAAGGATAATAGTTGTCAACTGACAATCCTTATAAGATAGGCTGATATCGATGCTCTCACATTATCAATCAGTCATCATGAATGAGCCTCCAATTCTTCGATTCTTTTAATCCTCGTAAGTCTTTATTATGAACCCCTTCCAAACTTTCAGGTGGTTGAAGAATAGGTTGGGCATATCCAAATTGTTGTATGACACAATCAACTGCGTGTCGCTCTATAACTTCGAAACAAATCAAAGAGCTCACAATTGACCATACAAAACGTTCTTTTCTCGTGTTATTTGGAATTAAAGCATCAATATCATTATCCTCATATGGTCGCCATAAAAACTGTATGAAGCAGCAAATATTTATGTTATAAAAAGTTATATACAGAAACAAACAATATTAGTAATATTAACAATATATTAATAAATTACCTCATGAACACACATTTGATCCAGAACCAATCTAATATTCCCAAGAGTCTTAAACATAGTGTTTGTTTGATATCGCATTTTTTCTCAATCTGAGAACAAGTGGAAATACTATTGGTTCACCAAAGATTGGAGCCAACCACGGTAGTCGGTGCCAAGCCCATACTTGCAACAATATTATGCATCCACAAATTTCTTTAGCATTATGTCGTGAATTACAATCTAAGCCTCTATAAGGAAACGAAAGACATGTTGAACCTCAACTATAATTCCCAATTTCATTCACATGTGTCAATAATTGCAAGAATTTTGTAT